AAGTGTGAACACGTCAAGGCATTCTTCGTGATTCAGCGGTCTTGCAGCTGGCAATGCCGCGCTTATGAATGCACTTACGGCCAATGGCTGTCAAGCACAGGTGACCCGCCTGCGCACTTTCACTGCTGTAGGAATATGCGTTTACATTACCAAAGCGGCCCTGGCGAGACTTAGGCGTGAGTTTCACCGATCCCTGCATCTGCAATGCTCAGACCACCTGGCTACCACAAATCTGCTTGCGTCGCCCTTAGTCTTGCTGGTAGTGTGCGAGCGACAGGCGTTATTGAGGCCTCTTGCCGGGCTACTAAAGGGGCACATCGTGCAGTTGCTTGGCGAAGCTATCCGAATACCAAAAGCGATGCCTCCATGTTGAATACCTAATACCAAAACCGATACACTCACACATGTCCGGTTTCGGTCCCTTGACTATTGCCGCTCGCTCATCCGTGTTCGACCACCCAGGAGCAGGCTTCCAGGAAAAACCCGCTGGACATTTCAGGAGGAGTGGAAGCTTTGGCATTCACAGTCGAGGCTTGCCCGCAGAACATCTTTGGAGCTGAGTGAAGGGCAGTGTTTGGGAGTCTGAGGGCTGCAAGACGGGCACGCGACCAGCTCAAAGCATCCTGGCCTGGAGGGGAGGACTGCGGCTTAAGCGAGGGAAGCTTGTGTTCGGAAAGCCGCAAGCCCGTGGACGCGCCCCTGACACTGACCTAGTTTGTGTTCAAAGGCCAGGACTTGTTGCCTATGGGTCAGGGAGCATTGGGCGCCAGCGCTCCATCTCCATGCTGCGATTCTAGGCGCCTTTCCGCAACACACGCGTGTTGGTGCCCGAAGGCAGCTGCGCATGATCTCGTGCCCATGCACGGCGTTGGCACAGCAGAGCGAAACTTAGCGAAACTCAGTCTTGCTGCCGGTACATGTGCGTGTCCGTGTTCGACCGCCCAGGAGCCTCTCTCATAGGCAGAAGTGCCCACATCGCGCTACAACACAGCTGAGAGGATCGAGGATCTAAGTTTGAGGAGTATCATTCTAGAGGCCTCAGTTCCAAAACTGCATCAGAGTGCAGTTTCAGGTCTCACAGGAACATCGCTGCAGCCGATTTTGAGGGCAGAAAATTTGCTCGTAATCGGAATCGCAACAGGATGTAGTTCTGAGGCTGCGGAGTTGTGGAGTGTAACAGCGTGGAACTCCACAACTCCGCAGCCTCAGAACTACATCCTGTTGCGATTCCGATTACGAGCAAATTTTCTGCCCTCAAAATCGGCTGCAGCGATGTTCCTGTGAGACCTGAAACTGCACTCTGATGCAGTTTTGGAACTGAGGCCTCTAGAATGATACTCCTCAAACTTAGATCCTCGATCCTCTCAGCTGTGTTGTAGCGCGAGCAACAGGAAGCGCACCCGACGGTTCGTGGAGAGCTCAGCGATGTCGGTCCACAGCCCCACGTCGAGCTGCGTGACCTCCTCCACCACGAGCCAGTCCAGCTCGCAGCGGCCCGCGCGCACGGTGCGCCGCACCCAGTGGTCCGCCATCTGCGCCCCCGCGCCAGGTGCGTCTTCCCCGTGCCCGGCATGCCGGAGAGCAGCAGGCTGCCCCCGTCGAGGCAGTGCGCCACGGGGTCCTCCACGTGCCTCCAGACCTCCTGCGGCGGCGGCGGCTCCGTCTCCAGCCGCGGCTCTCGGTAGTCTCCCTCCAGTCGCTTCACCTCCTCGAAGCGGTACTTCGGCGTGCCGTCCCGGTGCCGGTGCCGCGTGAGCGCCTCCACGGCGGGCAGGAACTTTTTCGGCAGGCCCTGGCAGACGAGGCAGTCGGTCTTCAGCGCCACGAGGTAGCGGGGCGGCACCTCCCGCAGCGCGCGGTTGATCCTCGCCATTGCCACGTACTCGGAGGCCATCACGAAGTCGTGCGCCGGGCGCATGGAGCGGTTCGTGAAGAGCTCCGTGGCGTAGACGTGGTCGGAGTGGCAGGCGCCCGCGGCGTCGAAGAAGACCTGCAGGAACTGGGAGCCCCAGGCGTCCGCCTCGTGGCTGCTCGTCCTCATGGAGTAGAAGACGTCCTTGGAGCGCGCCCACAGCCCGATGAGGGCGTTCACGCTGAGCTTCGCGAAGTGCTCCTCGCCCTCGGGCCAGCCCCCCTCCATGACCTCCAACGCCCGCGCCAGGCAGTCGGGCGCCACGTGGGCCGTGGCCTGCAGGGACCACTCGCAGTCCGCCCATCTCGCCAGGCCCGCGTCGAGAATGTAGGCCACCGCCGGCTTCCCGTACCAGCCCGGGCCGACGTAGGGCAGCCGCGCCATAAAGCCCTCGCGCTTGTCCTCCCGCTTCCGCACGAAGGTGAAGTCCGCCAGCTGCCCCTCCTCCGCCGGCCGGATGCTGTCCAGGGGGCAGAAGACGGGCAGCGGGAAAGGGGGCGTTGGCCAGGGCGTTCTTCCGGCAGCGTACCACGTCCACGCCCTGGCACACCTTCTCAGGGTTGCATTTCGACAGGCCGCACACGAGAGGAGGCAGCTGCGGGGAGCAGGCGTAGCTCTCGTAGACGTGGTGGCAGAACCGGCTCTCCAGGCTCGTGGCGGGAGCACTCCAGGAACGTCTTGGCGCGGTGGCACTCCAGGCACAGGGCCTGCAGTGGCTGCCGCTGCCCGAAGAAGGACTGGTGCACCGGCACCACGTGGTCCGCCTCGCAGCTGCCCGCGTCGATGCGCGCGGCGCAGAGCGCGCAGGCTCCCCGCTGCTCCCACAGCAGCCGCTGTCCCGGCGCGTCTTCAGGAGCGCTCCGAAGACCTTGCTGGCCGCGCCGGCGAGCCGCTGCCCGCGGTACACGAAGCCCAGCTTGCCTATCCACGCCTCCAGCGCCTCCGCGTCCTCGGGGTACTCGTGGATCACGCAGTCTCCCTGCTGCCCCCGCACGGGTAGCGCCACTCCACGAGCCCCCGCAGGACCACCTTGGGTTGGTGGCCCTCCGCGAGCAGGCGGAAGCGCGACGCGCAGGTCCTTCGCCCAGTAGTGCCCGGGCTCAAGGGCGCCCTGCCACTCCTGCCACTCGCAGAAGGGCGGCACGGACTTCCGCCGCTTGCCTCGGTAGTTCGAAGTGTCTCGTGGCTCCCCGTCGCACCAGGCCACGGCCCGCGCGCTCTTGTAGAAAGCAGGCCTGGGGGCAGATCGCGTCGAAGTCCGAGGGCAGCTGCAGCAGCTCCGCGATTTGGCGCACCACGCAGAGCCTGTTGGCGCACTTACTTGAAGGCGCTCTCCGCGCCCCGACCAGGCCCGCGCGGGTGGCCGTCCGGCCGAGCGAGCAGCTGCTGCGCGTTGGAAAGGCGGAGAAGCTCCGAGCCCTGCGGGGAGGTGCGCGCGGCGACGCCCGCCTCCACGGCCTGCCGGATTCTCGGCGTTGCTGTGCCCAAGACACGATTTACTACCGCCTCTCGGCGGCGGCGGTCGGGCGAACGCGGTCCTTAAAGGTCCCTAAAAGGTCCCCTAAAAGGTCTCCTAATTTTTTGTCGATGGCTCTGGCAAGCCGGTGTCGACGGGTGCCCTGCTGCTTGGTGTAACCCGTGTCGATGGTCGAACGCGTTTAGAAAGGGCATTGTGGCCTCGGCGGCTCGGCCTGCTGCAGCATCACGTCCGTGCCGCACTGAGAGCTGGAGGTCCCACTGCTGCGTCGGCAGTTCCTCCCCCTCTGGTCCCCAAATGTGCACCTTCTCCCAGTGCATTTTCAGCTTGAGGAACTCCGTGCCGCGGGTGCTGGTCTTCAGCGCGCTGGCCAGCCTCCTTCACCTCTCAGGCTTCAGGGGCTTGCCGAAGATGCGGAAGTCGCGCTGAGAATGTGTACAGCCGACGCCAGAGGGCCCCTGCGGCGAGCGGCAAGTGTCGTGAGCACGGGGGTCATTGCCATCTACGCTGCCTTCATCCAACCCCGGAAGGCCCCTGTCTAAAGCAGGCGAGAGACAGCGAGGTCCGGGCGTGCATCACCGGCTGTCTCCGTCCGACCCCTGAAGGTTCCTGTCAACGGCAGGCGGTGTACGGCGGCAAGGTCCTGGCGTGCAAGGCGCACGGCGGTGGTGGACAACCGCGCCCACACCCGACGGCCCTGCCAAAAGTTCGTCGCGCACAGCGGCCGTAAGGTTCGGGCATGCAGGGTGCATGGTGGAGGACACGCTGCCTCCATCCCGCGTCCGACGCCCTGTCAAAAGCTGGCGGTGCAGGGCGGTGTGGTCCAGGCGTGCGTTGCACGGAGGATGATGCTGCCTCCATCCCACGCCCGACGGCCTGTGTTAAAAACAAGTGCGTGGTGGTGCGCTGCGGCTCCGAGGCCTGCGCTACGCTGGAGTCGCCTCCCTTGCAAAATTCCGAAGCCCGGAAGGCCAGCCCCTGTGGCACCAATTTGAAGTACACAAGCAGAATGGACTTGACAGGCATGAATTTGAAGCACACAAGCAGAATGGACTTGAAAGGCACCAATTTGAAGCACACAAGCAGAATGGACTTGAAAGGCACCAATTTGAAAATGAAGCTGACTTGAAAGGCACCAATTTTCGCACACAAGCAGAATGGACTTGAAAGGCACCAACTGGGGCTTGCTTGGCTGCTCAGTTTCCCGACCGCGCGAAGCTGAAGGGTGCGCAAGGAGCATCTCATGCTGGGGGAGCTGCAGCGACCTCCCATGGCTGGGCGAGCGCGCCACCCAACTGGTGTGGGACTGCCCGGTGCCCGGCGGCTGCATTCTGAAGCGCCCCGACATGCTCTCCGCCTCGAGGACCGCTTCGTGCAGGTCGCTGCGACTCAACCCGGATGCGGAGCGAGTCGCAAGCGAGTCTGGTTTCTGCGTCGGGGACGCGAACGCCTTCAACGCCCTCTTTGACGCGGCCGAGGCCGCGGTGGAGGCCTTTGTGGGCGAGCCGGCGCCCGAGGGAGTGCGCGTGGTCGGGCTGCCCGCGAGCTGGTGGGGTCAGTGAATGTGCGGGCTGTTTGAGTGCTACAAGGCCCTGTGGGTTCATCATGTAAATGGCACCCGTGAAACTGTTCAAGACGCCTCAGTACAGCGTCAAGCAGCCGCCCGATGCGGCGGTCTGCAAACTCCCCGCCAACGGGATCCTCTGCGCGCCCTCGGCCAGCGGGAAGACCGTTCTGCTCGTGTCGATGATTTTGGAGCAATATCGAGGCTGCTTTGAGCGCATCTTTGTTTTTTCTCCCTCAGTGATGATTGATTCCGCCTGGCAGCCCGTCAAAGACTACGTGCGCGACGAGCTTGGGGTCAACACTGACAGAGAACAGTGCTTTTTTGAAGATTGGGACGAGGCTGCGCTGCGGAAAATCATGGCGGACCAAAAGCGCATCACCCAGAAGAGCAAGGAGTTGAGCCTCAAAAAGCTCTACCAGGTTCTCGTGGTCCTCGACGACCTAGCTGACAATCCCGCCGTGCACCGGAAGACAGGCGACGGCGTTCTGGACTCGCTGTTTAGTCGTGGCCGGCACTACTGTATCTCGAGTTGGGTGAGCACCCAAAAATTGCGACTTATGAGCAGCGCCGTGCGGGTCAACACCATGTTTTACTGCGTCTTCCGCCTGCGGAACCAGCTGGAGCTGGACGCCCTGGTGGAGGAGCTCTCTGCCATGCTCCCGAAGGAGACCCTATACGCAATGTACGAGGAGGCCACGAGGGAGCCCTACAGCTTCTGGTACGTCAATCTGCGCGCGCCCAAGGAAGACATGTTTATGGTTCGCTGGGATCGGAAGTTTGTCGTAAACGGCGATGGGCAGCCTGCTGTCCCAGATGGCGGCCAAGCTGCTGGGGGGAGGGCCCCTGTGCGAGACCGAGTGCAACAACCTTAGGTGCTGCACCACGACCACGGGCGTCTACGACCCGAGCCGCTACTGGCCCCCGCCGGAGCGGCCCCGGCAGGTCTCGGAGGAGTCGGCCGTCAGCGAGTTCCCGGCGCGGCGCACGGGGATTTTCCGCCGTAAGAGAAAGCTCATGGTGTCTCTGTACGTGGATTCTCGGATGCGTACACAGGGCACGGACTCCGACTTCTCCTTTGACATCGGTGAGAGCGTGCACATCCAGAGCGGGGCCAAGCTCGCCGTCTACAAGGTGCGCATCGCCGACGCCTTCCTGAGCACGGACCGCGGCACGTTCCTGTACTGGACGGACACGGTCGCCGACACCCTGCACTACGCCGAGCTCCCCGTGGGCGCGTACACGGGCCCTCGGCTGGCCGCCTGGATCTCCAGCAACTTCGCCGCGGCCACGTACACCGCGGAGACGAACGAGCTGGACGTTAGCTGGGACGGCGTGCGCCTGATCCTCAACGACGCCGAGCTCCGGCAGCACTTCCCGGGCACGGGCTCCTACCCGCCGGGCGCCTCCCCCAGCAAGCCCCTGAGCATCAACCACCTCCTGGGTCCCAGCTACCTCTCGGGCTCCGTGCAGCGCTTCGTCTTCGTACAGATGAACGTGTACAGTGAATTGTATCTCAGGTGCCCGTCGCTGGCCAACGGCGAGACGACGGTGGGCCCGCTGGGCCACGACATCCTCTGCAAGATCGTCGTCTCCAAGGGCGTGGGTCACATCATGGAGACCCAGACCTCGGAGGGCCACTACGTGAACCTCCACGGGCCCATCACGCTGCGCCACCTCCGCTTCAAGCTCACCGACTTCCAAGGCAACGTCGTGAACACCAGGGGCACCAGCGTTTCCTTCGTGGTTTTCCTCGACACCGAAAAGTAGCCGACCGATAAAAAAAAAATTTTTATTTAAATGGCTGAGCAGGATGCACCCGCTCCTGTGGCCGCCGAGCCACCCGTGGCCGAGCCTCCCGTGGCCGAGCCTGCCGCGCCCGAGCAACCCGAGCCAGCACAGCCCGCACCCGCCCCAGCACAGCCCTCGGAGCCGTCGGTGGTTCCCGCTCCCGAGCCGCCGCAGCGGAAGCGAAGAGGCAGGCCACCGGGCTCCAAGAACAAGCCCAAGCCCGCCCCGCCCACCGTGGCGGTACAACCGGTGGTGGCCGAGCCTCCGAAGGCTCCTCCGACGGCTGCGCCCGCCCCCGAGCCCCCCGCGCCCCCTGCCGCGCAGCCCCCGGAGCCTGAGCGGCCCGTCCGCATGACGCCCTCGGAGGCCCGCCACGCCCGGCACCTCTCCCGCGCCGACCGCTTCCACGAGCTCCTTCTCCGCAACACCATGGATCTATGATCCTCTAAATGATGCCCTTCCCCGAAAGGCGCAACGAGGCGGCCATGTTGAGGGCCTTCCACAAGCAATACCCAAGCTACAACCTGACGCCGCTGCTCTACAAGCGGCAGCAGCAGCTCATCGATGCGCGGGCCTTCAACGAGTGGCTGGCCAACCGGCGGCTGCGCCAGGAGGGCGAGAGCTACGCGGACGAGGTCGGGCGCATGACCGACGCCGTGAACCGCAGGATCCCCCAGCTGAGGTGGGCCCCCGCCGAGCGGGCGGGCGTGCGCCGCATGGCGCGGGACGTGGCCGCCGGCCGGAACACGGCGGACTCAGGGGTCTATGGGGGTCTCATGTAAAAATGTACGAGAGCCTGGTGGAGCAGGCGACGGAGAGCGACTGGACGGAGGAGGAGAAGCGCGACTGGTACAGGGAGCGCCCGGACGACGCGGAGTACTACCAAGTCCAGCGCGACCTCTTGCGGGACGGGCTGACCCGCAAGGCGCAGCTGACGCAGCTCGCGCCCCACCGGGAGGGCGGCCCGATGCTCTGGGCCATCGGCCTGGAGGGCCCGTCGCCCCTGAAGCGCCCCGAGGCGGAGCAGTACCACCCGCTGCACGTGAGCCTGGCCTTCGACGACGAGCTCTCGGAGGAGCAGAAGGAGGACCTCCTCCGCGAGTGGGGCGAGGAGCGCGAGGTCACGCTGCAGTTCCACGGGCGAGCTCTCCCTCAACTGGGATCCCATCGCCAACTCGGAGAGCGTGCAGAAGGCGCACGAGCTGGGCTTCTTCCGGGACCGCGCGCTGCATGTCAGCTTCTAAGGTAAAGACATGGAGGAGCGGCGCGCGCACGGCTTCCGCGTCAAGCCCTCCTACTCTCAGGTCCTGGGCTTCATCGCCGAGGGCGAGCCCCTGCCGATCAACCTCCCGAACCGCAACGCCAGCATCTACACCTCCAGCCACTTCTGGCTGGACGACTACCCCAGCGCCGTTGCCGCACACGACCGTGGACCCCGCGGCGGCCTACGAGGACGCCAACGAGGGCTACGATGGCGTGCCCTTCCCGAGAAGGGACTTCCTGCGCCCGCGGCCCTTCGACATGGAAAGCGACTCCGACTTCGGCGCCGTGGATCCCGGGCAGGCGCTGAGAAACGACGGCTTCCAGCCACTGCCGGCGCCGGGCTTCCTGGGGCGCCTGCAGCAGGCCGAGGCCGCGGCGGGAGCAGCGGCGGGGCTGGCGGGCTCCGCCTCCGCCATCGTGGGGCACGGGCAGGACCTCTACAACGCCGCGCGCAGGGGGCGCAACTGGATCGACCGGAACCTGCGCATCCCGCGCACGCCCGAGGGCCGCGCCCCCGCCCGACGAGGTGGCCCCTCCGCAGATCATCGGGAGGCCCAGCGAGGTGGAGCCGCTCCTGGAGCGGGCGGGGCAGCGGGCCCAGGAGGTGGAGCGGGCCGCGGCCCGAGACATCGAGCAGTTCATGAGCGAGCAGATGGCCGAGGCCGAGGCGACCGAAGGGTACGCCACCGTTGCCGAGGCGGCCGCGGGGGCAGCGGAGGCGGCCACGGCCGCGGAGGCGGGAGGAGGCACGCTCGCGGGCATCGGCTCCGGGCTGGCCGCCGCCGCGCTGCCCGTAGCCGCCACGCTGGAAGCGGCGGCGGGAGGCCTGGCAGTGGCGGGCGCGGGTGCAGCTCTCGTGGGCACCGCGTGGGCGCTGCACGGGGGCATGGTGGCGGCAGAGCACCTGATGGGCTGGGGGGGAGGAGGCGGAGGCACCGACACGGACGCCTCCCGCCCCAGCTCCGCGCCCGACATCCAGACCCTCAACGGCATGCAGGAGTTTGGGGCGGAGCAGCACTTCCAGGTCCGGGAACAACGCCCAAGGCCCCAGGTCTACCGCATGGACACCGAGAGCGAGGCCGAGCCGCGGGCCCAGCCAGCGCCCAGGGTGCAGGCCCGCCCCGCGAGGCCCACGCGCTTCCCCACGGGCCTCAACCCCGCTCCCCTGGCGCAGTCCTCGGGCAGCGACTCCTCCCGGCCTCGGATGCAGCGTCAGGCCTCAGACAGGTCCCGCGCGGCACCACCGCCTTCCTTCGAGGCGCTTCGCAGCGCGAGCGAGCCGGAGGCCGCGTGAAATCTTTCCGGTAGAGTAAAACCATGGAGCAGGTGACTGCTGCCGTGAACGACGAGCTGGTCCAGAGCCTCGACTACAAGCTCCAGTCGAGCAACGTCAATTACGTGCAGAGCCGCAAGGATGTGGTCTACTACCCTTCGAGTTTGAGCGTCTTCACGCCGACCACGAGCCGCGTGTGCCGCATCCCAATCACAAGCGGCATGGACTTCGTGGACGGGGAGTCTGTCAAGCTCGGCTTCACGGTGCGCAACAACTCCACCACGGCCACGCTGCAGCTCGGCTCGCCGGACCCGTCGGCCCTCGTCGACCGCGTCGAGGTCTTCGCCAACGGCACCCGCATTGAGGACATCTCCTACTACAACCGCTGCTCTTATTTGTACAGCCTCCTGAAGCCGGAGGAGTGGTGGCTGAACAGGCACATCCAGGGCTTCCTGGCGGACGGCGGGGGCCACGCCGAACCCATCCCGGCCTCGGGCTCCCGCACCGTGCTCATGAGCCCGCACCTCATCGGGATCTTCAACTGCGGCAAGATGCTGCCCCCCGAGCTCAACCTGGTGCTCCAGATCACCTTCGCCGACCCCACGGACGGGGCCCGCAACGTCAGCGCGAGCCAGGACTACACCATCGAGAACGTGAAGCTCTACGCCTCCCAGGTGACCCTCGACTCGGCCCTCCGGGAGAGCGGCCCTGGACGCCGCGCTGGCCCTCCGCGACGGGAGGCTCGATGCCGCCGAGGCGGCCCTGGCGGCGCTGCAGGCAGCGGGCTTCCAGTCGGCTGCCGACGTTGCGGCGGCGCTCGCCACGGCCCTCGCAGCCTACACGGACACCGCGGGGCTCAACGCCCTCCTGGCCGTGCGGGACGCGCGCCTGGACGGGCACGACGCGGAGATCCTGGCCCTGCAGGGAGCGGGGCCCTTCGCGACCACGGCGGACCTCTCGGCCTCCGAGGCGAGCCTCCAATCGGCCATCGACGCGCTCAACTCCGCGCTGGCCGCGCTGACCACGGGCGGCGGCACGAACCTCGCCAACGCCCAGGCGTGGCCCGGGCAGACGACCTGGGACCTCCTGGTGGGCACCAACACCATCCGCAACCTGCACTTCAGCGGCGCCCCCCTGAGCGTCTCCCTCAAGAACGACAACTTCACGCTGTCCCTGACCTGCGACGCCTACACGCAGGCGGAGGTCACCGCCCTCCTGGCGCCCCTGGCCAGCGAGTCCTGGGTGCTGGCCACCCTGGGCGGCTACTACACGAGCGCCGAGACCAACGGGGCCATCACGGCCGCCCTGGTCCCGTACAGCACCACGGTGCAGATGGATGCTGCTATAGCGGCTGCCGTGGGGGCCATCGACCTCTCGGCGTACAGCACCATCGCCGCCCGGGACGCCGCCATCGCGGCGGCGCTGGTGCCCTACAGCACCACGGTGCAGATGGACGCCGCCATCGCCGCGGCCGTGGGGGCCATCGACCTCTCCGCGTACAGCACCATCGCCGCCCGGGACGCCGCTATTGCAGCCGCCTTGGTCCCTTACAGCACCACGGTGCAGATGGACGCTGCCATCGCGGCGGCCGTGGGGGCCATCGACCTCTCGGGGTACAGCACCATCTCTGCCCGGGACGCCGCCATCGCGGCTGCCCTGGTGCCCTACAGCACCACGGTGCAGATGGATGCGGCCATCGCGACGGCCCTGGTCGACTACGTGCCCTGGACGGGGCTCCAGGCCCCCATCGTCAACGAGATCAACATCGCCCTGACGGATTACTGGGACCAGACGGAGACCAGCGCGGAGATCGCGAGCCAGATCACCGCCGGGTTCCTCACCGAGGCGCAGGGGGACGCACGCTACCACCCCGTGAACGGCAACGCCGGCGGCGGAGGCATCATCCCGATGGTTCTGGACAACTTCACGCCGAGGATGATCCGCGCGCTGCTGCCCCAGGCGCCGCTGGGGGCGAACCTCATTTTGGGCAACTCCGCCACGGTGCAGCTGACCTGCGACTGCTACTCCAAGAGCGAAAGCGACGGCAGGTACTTCTCCAGCACCGACTACGCGCCGCTCGACTCCAGATACAACATCGTCAACGGCAACGCGGGGGGCGGAGGCATCATTCCTATGGTGCTCGAGAACTTCCAGCCCCGCATGGTCCGGGCGCTGCTGCCCCAAGCGCCCCTGGGGGCCAATCTGATCCTGGGCAACTCCGCCACGGTGCAGCTGACCTGCGACTGCTACAGTAAGAGCGAGTCGGATTCCCGGTACGCCACGCCGGCCGACCTGGACGTCATCAGCTGCACCAGCCTCACCGCCGGCAGCTTCGTGAACACGCTCAACTTCGCCGCCACGGGCAACGTCTCGGGCGTGGACGCGCTCTTCACGGTGGACGTGCAGACGCCGCTGCTGCGGGCCGTGAGCGGGGACGGCTACCTGCGCGTGGCCGCCGGGCTGGTGGGCCTCCAGTTCCTGGACAGCGGCGCGGCCGTCATCGCCGAGATGACCTCCTCCCAGATCGCGCTGGAGCAGGACGTGAACGTGGCCCAGGGCAGGACGCTCACCTGCGCCAGCGTCGCGACCACGGGCGGCGTGGCCAACCTGGCCATCCAGGGCGGCACGCAGGGCATCGTCTGCACCTCCAAGGGCCTCAACGTCACGGAGAACTTCCCGCTCTCCGCCAACCCGACGGACGGCAACGTGGCCGTGCGCGTGGAGAACACGGCCCCCACGGGCTTCGCGATGCTGGAGATGAGCGCCAACGGGGGCGCGGGCTTCGTCCGGATGGAGACGCCGTCCACGGGCGGCTGCACGCTCTACGCTCCCAACCAGGAGATCTGGCTCCAGAACCGCACGAGCGGCTCCGCGCCCCTGGTGGTGGAGACGGACTCGGATGTCACGGTCAACTACGGCTTCAACAACCTCAGCGAGAAGGTGAAGACGAACATCGCGGACGCGGACCTGGAGGCGCTGCAGGCCATCTTCGACGGCGCCCACCCGAAGACCTACGACCGCACAGACATCGAGCACTACGGCCGCCTGGGCTTCCTGGCCCAGGACTTCGTCGGGGCGGGGGTGACGGGGAAGACCTACAGGGACGGGGAGGAGCTGCTGACGCTCGACTACAACCGGCTCACGGCCGTGCTCTGGGGCGTCGTGAAGAGGCTCCAGGCCCGCGTGGCGGCGCTGGAGAAGAAGCCCAAGAAGTAAGAAAATGGCGGAGGAGGCGGCGCTCCAGTTCTTCCGGGGCCTCGCGGAGGAGTACAACGTGCGGGACCCGCGGAAGCTCCACCAGCTGGCCCGCCGGGACCACCCCGAGCGCAGGGACCTGACGGCGGCGCGGGCCCGCCAGGCCCTGCGGGGGGACGTGGCGCGGCAGGTGCTTGCGCCCAAGCCGCGGAGCCTGGGCAAGAGCGCGGCGGAGGGCCCCAACGACCGGCTGCAGGCGGACCTGGTGGACTTCTCCCAGAACACTCGGGGGAGGAACAAGTACGGGCTGGTGGTCACCGACGTCTTCACGCGGGAGGTGGCCACGAAGGCCCTGCCCGACAAGCAGGCGGAGACGGTGACCCAGGCCGCCGCCGAGATCATCCCGAAGCTGGTGGAGGACGAAGGCAACTACGTGGTCTCCACGGACCAGGGCAACGAGTTTCAGGGCCTGGAGGAGGCGCTCCCGGAGCCCGCGGTGCACCGGCACAAGCGGCCGGAGGACCGGAACGCGCTGGCCGTGGTGGACAGGGCCATCCAGACGCTGAAGCGGGACCTGGCCGGGAAGGTGGCGCGGGACGGGGGCGGCTGGGCGGAGCACGTGGAGGGGGCCGCGGAGGCCTACAACAAGCGCCCGCACGAGGCGGTGCACGCGGCGCCCAAGAACGTGGAGAAGCAGCCGGCCACCACGTTCCGCGTCTACCAGGACAACGCGAGGAAGTTCCAGCACAACCGGGAGCTCACGGAGGGCCGGCAGCGGCGCCTCGCGGAGGCGGGGGCCTTCCGCGCCCCCACCAACGCCCAGAGGAGCTTCCAGCCCCAGTACGGGCCCGTGAAGCAGCTGGCAAGCTACGACTCGATGACCGTGCGGGCCACGGACGGCACGGAGGGCCTCCTGAAGCACGTGCAGCCCGTGCCCAAGGCGAGCGGGGAGCCCGTGCAGAGGCTCACGCAGCCGGGCGTGCCGCTGGCCGCCAGGCAGCTGCGGGACTTCAACGCCGCCCCCAATGCTCTGCCGCCTGCGCCTGCCCCTGGCCCTGCGGCGGCTCCCAAGGCCGCGCCGGCCAGGAGGCTGCCCCTGGCCGTGCGGCAGCTGCGCGACTTCAACGCCCCGCCGCCGTGCAGGGCGCCCCGGGAGCTCAACTAGATCGCGCGGGCGAAATCGCAGCAAAAACTGCAGAGCTACTCGGCTTCCTTATAGGTCAAGGGGGGGGGGATGTTGCCTGTGAGGCCTGAGGCTGGGCCTGAGGCCTGTTGGGGGGGCGCGCGCGGGCGACATCGCAGCAAAAACTGCAGAGCTACTCAGCTTCCTTATAGGTCAAGGGGAGGGATGTTGCTGGGCCCCCTCTAGGTGCTCTCCGAGGGACGGAACGGTGGGACGCCCCGCGAGGGACGGAACAGAGGCCACTTCGGACACGCCCCTGCGGCTCTACATGATGGGGCGCGCGCGCGACGACATCTGAGCAAAAACTGCGGAGCTACTCAGCTTCCTTATAGGTCAAGGGGAGGGATGTTGCTGCCAGCTGCCTTAGCTGCGCTGACCCTACATGTGCCTCTGTAGAAGTTCTCGAGCTCAAACCCATGGCGAGCTTCCTGGACTGCCTGCTGGCGCAGGGCCGGAGGGCTCTGGGCCCTGCACGTCGAGGGCGACTCGCCCCTCCGTGGCGGGCACCTGACGGGCCTGCACGTCTCTCTCGCCTTCGAGGGCGAGATCGAGCCGGGGCTGCTGCGGCGACTGCAGCGGCAGTGGGGGAGGCCGCGTGAGACCTGCCTGCGCTTCACGCGGGTGGGCTGCGGGGGCGCGGGGATCCTGGCGGGTTCCTGCGCGGTGGGCCGCTGCCCATGGCTGCGGCAGGCCCACGACGGCGGCGCGAGCCCTGAGCAAAAAAAACTGCGACAGTGTTGCGAGGTGGCGTTGTGCCTGAGGCGGTGCAGTCGAGGGATCTCAGCAGCCGGGCTCAAGCTTGGAAGCAGGTCAGCAATGGCTGTACAAAGCGCGGCCGGGCGCATCGCCCTGGAGTGGCTCTTCTCGGAGACCTTTCCGCTGCACACCCAATTCGTCGAGCAGCCGCAGCCCCTGCGCAAGTGGGAGCTGGGCAAGTGGCACGACTGCGTCGCTTACATGTGGTGGGGGGAAGACGTGTACCAGTGCCTGCTGGCTGGCGTCGTGCCCCCGGAACAGCGCCTGTTCGTGCGCCTGCAGCTGCAGCGCGCCGGGCGGCTCTCTGAACTCCACAGGTCCGTCTACGTGCGTGACACGCTCCGCCTGAGCGCGGAGCTGCAGCTGCCCATCCGCCCGCGGTCGTGGTTCCTCGGACCCATCCACTGGGCTGGAGAATCACAAGAGTACGTGGACCGCGTGTTCAACGTCGCCGCCCTGGTGGCCGAGGGACGGGAGCCGCCCGCCGAGCTGGCGGGAGATTGCGCCGAGGACCTCATCGCTCAGCACATGGAGTCGGAGGAGGAGGCGGAGTGACGCGCGCGAGCAAAAACTGCGCAGCTCTTCGGCTTCCTTATAGGCTGAGGGGAGGGATGCTTGGGACTGCACCGGGCTCAAGCTCAGGGCTACAAGGATGGCGCCCCAGCCCTGCCCGCACTGCCGCAAGGCCTTCCAGTGCCGCAGCCACCTGCAGCGCCATGTCATCGCCGTGCACCTGAAGGAGAAGCCCTTCTCCTGCGCCGAGTGCCACAAGAGCTTCGGCACCAAGTACGCGCTCGACATACACGTGCGCATCCGCCACCGGGACGAGCGGCCGCACCGGTGCCACTTGTGCGCCTACCGCTGCCACCTGCCGGCGGACCTGCGGAAGCACCTGGACAGCCACGCCAGGGGGCGCCGCGTGGGCTGCCCGCGGGAGGACCGCGTGGCGGCCTGGCTGGAGGAGGCGGGGCTCCCCTTCGAGCGCACGGTGCGCGTGGACTTCTGCGACGGCGAGAAGCCCGAGCTCGCCCGCCTCGACTTCGTGCTGTACTTCGCCTGGGGCGCCTGCGTGCTCGAGGTCGACGAGCACCAGCACGAGCTCCGCTGCCCGCGGCGGGAGCGCCGCCGCATGGAGCGCGTGCGCAGCCACCACCTGGAGCCCGTGAAGTTCGTGCGCTACAACCCCGACGCCGCCGCCGGCCCCGAGGAGCGCCGCCGCCGCCTGCTGGAGTCCCTGGAGGCGCCGCCTCGGGACGGCTTCGAGGCCGTGTACCTCTTCTACGAGCCGGCGTGATTGGGCAGAAAAAAAACTGCTGCACGAGCCTATAGGGACGGGTGTCAAGTAGAGCGCAGCACCGCCGGCCGCCGCAGTCCTGTTTTCAAGCTCCACCCAGCAGCCATGGAGTTCCCCCTGACGGCGCTCATGGGGATCGCGGACTGCCTCTTTCCGATGGAGTGGTGGGTGGTCTCCGAGAGGCACTCCCCGCTGGTGCGGGCGCAGGTGAGCCGCATGTGCTGCCGCATGAGGGAGGCCAACGCCCACAATCACGCCGTGTTCGCGGCGGGACGAGACCTGCGGAACCTCTGGGCGGCCAGCCTGAGGAGCCGCGTGGACCTGGGCGACGCCGCGGACTCCGCCTTCTGGCTGCAGGCCGCCGTGCACCACGGCTTCCTGGGCGACTGCACGGCGCACCTCTCGGCGCTGACGGCCGGGCGCATGCCCTCGCACATGCTCCGATGCTTCGTGGCCTCCAGGACCGTGCCCTCCCAGAACCACGAGCAGCGCCGGCGCGCGCTCTGCGACTGCCGGCTGGTGGAGGCCAACGCGCGCCAGCCTGGCCTGCCGCCCGCGGAGCTCCAGCGGGAAGCCGGCGTGCTCACCGTGAGCGCTCCGCTGGAGGCGGCGTGGGCGCACATCGAGATCGACGGCGAGCGGCGGATGGTCCTGGTCTGAGCTCAGGGCAACGGCGAACCGCACAGGCCGCGCCCGAGAAAATAAATTGTCGACTCGTCAGGGTAGCCGGTGTCGTTGTCCCACCCGATTGTGTCGCCGCCCAATTGTCCCACCCGATTGTCCCACCCATTGTCCAGTGTCCCACCCGTCGACTGAGCGTCGGTAAAAAAAAATGTCGACGGACCTCGGCGTAGCCGGTGTGGTTGTCCCACCCGATTGTGTCGCCACCCAATTGTCCCACCCGATTGTCCCACCCATTGTCCCACCCAGCGTCCCACCCGTCGACACGCGCGTTCGCCCTGGTCCGAAGCTAATCTCCAGCTCAACAAATTCACTCACCCGCTTACACAGCCAAGAGCAAACGCAGCCATGCCGAGCCAGCCTGCTCCGGAATCGAGGAAGATCAAGTACCTCACCAAAAAGAGCAAGGCCGATGGCGTGTCTCCTGAGGAGCGAAGTATGAGGCGCAGATCGCAGCCTTGAAGCAGAAGCGGTCGCGGGGCATCCTGGAGCGCCGACACATCACCGCGGAGGCCGACCGCGTCATCGCCAGCAACCAGGCTTCCAGCGAGATGGTGGCGGGCGAGGTGCGGCAGGGGACCGCCACGCTGGAGAAGCGCTTCGACCGCTTGGAGGCCATGGTCTCCTCGGGCGCGTCGAGCTCCTCCGGCCGCGACGACCTGCTGCAGCGCCTCGCGGGCAAGCCCGGCAGCTCCAAGGAGACCCAGGCCGTGATCGACGCCAACAAGGAGCTAAAGAAGCGCCAGCTCAAGGAGGAGCGCGAGGAGGAGAAGAAGGCCGAGAAGCGCCGCAAGGCCATGGAGCCCTTCGAGATCCCGCTGGAGGAGGGCGACTCCCGCCAGGACGGCGTCGTCGTCCGTGCCGGAGCGGAGCGGCGGTTGTGCGACTACAAGGCCGACGAGCCCTTCGACTTCCACGGTGTGACCTGCCGCCTGGTGGAGATGGGGAACCACGGCGCGCGGCTCCAGCTGGAGCCCTGCAACGCGACCCAGCTCAAGGCCCTGCAAACCTTGCCGAGGCATCCCAGGACGGGCAAGAGCCTCTTCGAGCAGCTGCAGGCCGTCACCAAGCACGGCGCCGTGGCGGCGCAGCTCGTGGACGGGAAGGTCAAGGAAGCCGCCAACCAGAAAAACATCACCGCGGCGCTCCTGGGCCTGCGCTTTCGCGCGCAGTACTTCAACCCGGTCGAGTTCCTCAGGCTGAAGAGGGAGGCGAGACCGGCGGCGACCACGGCGGAGGAGCCCGTGCGGAGCCACGAGGTCGAGCAGGTCGCGGAGCCCGCGTGGAGCCCCCAGGAGCTGGACCAGGAGAGCACGGTCGCCAGCAGCGGCCTTGCGAAACCCGCCGAGCCCGAGGAGCCCCTCGGCGAGCTCCACGAGCTGGACCTGAACGGCGAGAAGCTGCGCTTCACCGTGGTGGGCGTCTTTGGCCGCTCCCCGATCGGACCCAGGAGGACGCTGAAGCCGCAGACCGGCTCGGCGACAGGGAGCCGTTGATCCAAAGGCAGCGGCAGGAGAGTTGAGCAAAGAAACCCCTTTTGGCAAGATCCTAGAGAAGGAGGCTGGTGGTGCGCTCAAAGCTTGTGACTTTGGTGCACTCATGCCTTTCTGGGAGGCTGCTTCGAGCACACTTTTGCATGTCCACGATTCAAAACCTGTGCTTCTACTGATCAACAAGACAAAGCAGCAGATCCAAAACACCACTTTTTGGAGAGCCGAAGTTCCAAGTCTTGCCAAATACCCTCCGAAAAATTCCATGACATTGGTAACTTTCAACATGCCATGCATTGAATTGTACCAGCTCTTAGAAGAAAGAATCACAGAGATCGTGGGCAGCAACGTGGCCAGTCTCAACCGCTGGAAAAAACGCAGTGGAGGCATTCTTTGTCAAAAGCATCCATCACATGGTTCACGACAGTTGGAGTTGGTTGCTGTGCCTTACCCTCCTCTGTTTTTGACGAAAACGGACTTGGAGCAGCAGGGCTTTACAAACAGAACGCTTCAGGAACTAGGCTTTCCAGCAAAATTCTTCAAGGCTCGGGGATGGAGGGTCCAGGCCGGCGACTTGGAAGACCTTTTCTTCGGTATAAGAGAGCTGAAGGAGGGTGGCTTCACCGCAGCGGAGCTGAAGGAGGCAGGTTGGCATGCATATACTCTGAAGCAGTTTGGCTTCAACGCAAGGGAGCTGAAGGAGGGTGGCTTCAACGTAATGGAGCTGAAGGAAGTGTCCTTCTCCGCAAGGGAGCTGAAGCAGGGTGGCGTCAACGCAAGGGAGCTGAAGGAGGTTGGCTTCAATGCCTGGGAGCTGAAGGATGCTCTCTTCCCCGCACTGGAGCTGAAGGAGGCTGGCTTCAACGCAATGGAGCTGAAGGAGGCTGGCGTCACCGCAACGGAGCTGAAGAAGGAGCTTCAGTTTGGCATTTACTTCAGGAATCCGCGCGAGCTTGGCTTCAACGCAAGGGAGCTGAGCGAGTTTGGCTTCAAAGCATGGGAGCTGAAGAGTTTTGGCTTCAACGCAAGGGAGCTGAAGGAGGCTGTCTTCTCCCTAAAGGAGTTTGGTAGGGGTGACTTCAGCGCAAGGGAGCTGAAGGATGCTGGCTTCACCGCAAGGGAGCTGAAGAAGCAGGTTTTCGTCAGCATGACCGCAAGGGACCTGCAGACGATTGGCTTCAACGCAACGGAGCTGAAGGATGCTGGCTTCAATGCAACGCAGCTGATGAGGCTGTTTTGAATTTGGTAGGCGCATAACGCATTTACAGGCGGACGGGTCGTATATAGTCTCCTCGGGGCCCGGGCCGACATGTAAGCCCGTACAGGGCCTGTAGAGCCGATACGGCCCGTAGAGGGCTTGAGAGTGCCGAGGCCTCTGCTTCACCATAAGGAAGCTGAAGACCAATCCAGTAGGGGACACTGAGTCTGTACAGATCCAGACACTGCTCAAGGTTCAGCCCCATGGCCATCAATCTTGCATGTCTTCTTTGAGCCCATCTCCTCCCAGTCCCTTTGAGCCTGAGTTCAGCTGAGTTCGGTTCCCTTTGGGCATGGACTCTCGTACTCTGAGCCTTAAGCCCCTAAACACCCAACACCCTTCGCGGCCAACATGCAGGCAGCACTCCAGCGTCCCTTCTGGAGGCGCGAAGTCGTCACCAGCCTGGCGCGTTGCGGGGGGGAGGGGGGGTTCCACCCTGGAGAGCGGCTCACGCCCAGGCCCAGCACTTGTAGTTGAAATTCCCTTTTAACACGAAACCCTGCCTAAGTCGCTTGCTGCTTTGTAACGAAGGCGCGGGAGCGTGCGAAGTTCAGCCCCTGCAACCAACAAGCTTCAGGGTTTCGGTGTTCGGCTTTCCCGAACCTCAGAGATTTGGGTCTTGTGACTCTTCAGGGTCGCTTTTGGGCCTTGCCATCCTCGTGCATGTTGGAAATCTTTTCGGGGGGAGATTAGGGAGTTTGACCTTGACGAGCTCTGTACGCTTGGTCTCAGGCCACGTTGTAAGGGAAAATTGCGGCATCCCGCGCCCCGCAATGTCTTAGCTCGAACTACAGCTAGTCAGAGTTACTTATGCAGCCCTCCGCTGCGTGGACTCAGCACGGAAGTCCACACGTCACCCCAGGCCGACAAGGTGTGCAGCCCCGTAGTCCCTAAACCCGGTGCTCTTGGTGCTCGTAGTTTTCTTGCTGCTCTGGATGCAAGTTTGTTGTTTCAAGTTAAGAAATATTAAGAATCCATGCTCCCAAGGTAGGACCTTTTTTCACGTGTTTAGGGCTCCATGCCGTATTTAAACTCTTAATTTGGCTCGAAATTGTCGAGAAACTATATATAAAAACGGCCAGCTCAAAACATAAAGGGGAGAAGATAAGTCCGAACATGCTGCCGATCTAGGACATTTTTTCGCGTTTTTAAAGCTCAATGCTGCATTCAAATTCTGAAATTTGCTAGAAATTTTCGGGTAGTAGTTTTTAAACACGGGCAGCTTAAACAAACAACAGCGAGTAACCAGAAATCCGAACATGCTTCCGAGCTAGGCACTTTTCACGTGTTTAGGGCTCGATGACATACTCATTCCCGGAATTTGTGTAGAACACGTGACCAAGTCTCATACACAAACAATCGATGCAGTAAAAAGACCGAGAAATTACATGCTGCCGAGCTCGGCCCTTTTCACGTGTTTAGGGCTCCATGCCACACTCGAACCCGGAAACTTTCCAAAAATAATAGGGCAATAATTAATATACAAAACAACAAGCGCAACAAAAAAGAATGATCACACACATTCGAACATCCTGCCGAGATAGGATCGTTTTCATGTGTTTAGAGCTCTGCGCCATACTCAAAGCCGTGAGTTTGCAAATTTTTGTAGGATTCGCAAGCAAAGCTGTGCCGGCACATTTGGCACAGCGGCACGGTAGGATCTACGGGCCGAATCTACGGGCTGTGCCGCACAGTGGAACTAAATGTGCCAATTGTGTCAACAGTGACGGCAAGGTTGGCACATTTCCAAGAGCCAAGTGTGCCAGTGTGCCAGACCCCCCAGCACAGCCGGCACAATTGGCACGCTGGCACATTTGGTTTTGGAACTGTGCCGCTGTGCCAAACGTGTCGGCACAGTTGGCACACTGGCACATTTGTTTTTTTTAATTGTGCCAAACCTTGCGGCACAGTTGGCACAGCTGCTGCAGGGAGCTGTGCCGGCACGGCTGGCACAGCGGCATGGCTGGCTCAACGGGCTGTGCCGGGGGGTCTGGCACAGCTGCTGCGGGGAGCTGTGCCGGTGTGGCTGTGCCGGGCGGGGACTCTGGCACAGTTGCTGCGGGGAGCTGTGCCGGCACGGGCTTTTTGATTTGTGTCGCTGGCGGGTTGTGCCGGCATTTCTGGCCCACCATGTGAGTTCTGCCTCATTAAAAAACTCGTGCTGATCCGGCAGGTTCGGTAGTCTGGCAAGGGGGCGGTACACGGTAGCTGCAAAAAACGCAGCTACGCTGTTGAACGCTGCCTGTTCTTTGATATCAACGCCAAACCCGCAAGTGGGAATTGACCTGATGGCCACGCCACGCCGCGTGGGCAGTGAAGGCCGGCAAGAGCGGAAGTCTTGAAATCCTCCGCCAGAGTACAGTTGCAGAGACACAGGGATATCAATTCTTCGCGTTTTTCATCGGAGCAGCGTCGAAAAGCCGTCAGCGTATACGCTGCTATCGCCCACATATGCCCCTCGTGAGGCTCGACCTTGTGATATCGGCGCGCGTTAAACGAGACCGGCTTGTCATGCATGTCGAGCCACGAGCCGCGGAACCGATGAATTTTGTTTTTCATCACGACTTCGTCCGGCGATGTTCCTTCAGCTTCTATACACCCGGCGTCTCACCTGAAAATGTTTGGTCAGACGGTTCCCGGCACTCCATTGCACGTTCTCTCCGAGTCTCCTTTGGATTCGTAGTGACATCTCAACACGAGTGCAGGCACTTCTTCCTGCGGAGCCGGACTGTTGGGCTGTCGGTCTGTCGGATTAATGTGGGCTCCTGTTGATCATTGCTTGGTCTCTAGAGGACACGAACAACAGGCTGTGGTAGCTTCAGTACAAAACCTCAAAAAACTGCAGTGACTACGGAAGTTGTAGCTGACAGTCCCACGTCCATGGTTTGACTTATGTGTGTGACCAAAACTGACCCCGAGCCCCTTGGCCGTTTGATTTTAGTGTGGATTCAACTTGTTTCCGTTCGTTGTACTTGGACGACAGGCTGCTGGAGATGATGAAGCCGAGTCAACCTCCTCCGATCCCATGCCGCTGAGCAAAAATTAGCAGATGCATCATCATCACGCTCCTTTAGAAGCTGAAGTAGGCATACGCAAGAGTTTAGAAGACATGTTCTTAAACAAGAGCTACTGCCAGACAGCAAGACTTAGAAGCTAAGATTGAAAAAGGTTCATGCTGTGGTCAACCAGAGGCCGCGTCTGCCTCCTAGGGCTCAATGACAAAGGGACGGAGGTTTTGCTTAGTTTTTCAGATCGTGGCTGCAGCAAGACATGATGGGACGGGGCTCATTGTTGGGGAAGCGGGGTTGGGAACTAACAATGCAAGCAATGCAGTAAGATGAATGAGAGGCAGTGATTCTATCGGCTGACGGGATGTAGCCTAGACAGTCCAAGAGGTTGGGGATCCAGATTGGCGAGTGCGGGTTGAAGGCAGGCTGTTGATGTCGGAACTAGTGATGTTAAATGGCATGCGTTGCCACGTGCTCCAAGCCCGCATAGCAGCAGTTCCGGTGTCCTCCCCGACCCCCTGCACGGTTTGCAATGGCCTTCGTTGCCGTCGTGCTGATGTTCGTCTCATCCTTGGCATGCCTGATTCTTGCCTATTTTCGAGGAGTTGAGTTAAGGATCCGAATTGGAGCTACCATCCGACATCATCATACGATAAGCATACGGATTACCCTATATCCCCATTCTTGCTGCTCGTAGCTGAAGACAAGCTTTTGAGCAAAAACCCAGGATTGGGCCTGCCTGGGCCGGGGGACTGCGTGGTGATCTCCAAAATGCTACGGAGACGACGCGGGAGTTGCCAACTGGGCGGCCTCTTGCTGCAGCCGGAAGTTGCACTGCAGAAGACGAGAGCAAGATGCATGATTTCGGGTCTGGTTATGCAGAAGGCACCTTTCCCTTCGTCGTGGCGTATTGCGAAAGGAAGAGCTGGCGCTTGGATGGTGGTTTCTACACCAAAGAGTTCGAAAACTGCGTTATCTCACACACTGGCTTGACACCTCCATGCGCCGCTTGCTTTTCGAAGTCCGCCATCTACACCTACGAGAACTGTAAGTTTGCCTGCTGGTTCCATTCCTGGTGCGGCCACGAATGCTTGAAGTGCGTCGATGAGTCGGCTCCAGAGGTTCGGCAGTGCGCGGGAGTGGACGTGCCGGGCGTGATCCCTTGCTGAGGGCACTCGATTTTGACAGTCTTCCGAGTCCTTCGGATTCGGCTGACAGGGCATGTTGGTCAACGTGGTGGTAGGGTGCTGCCTGTAGCTGTACGGAAAGAGATGTCGATGCGACACCATCTCCAGCATCCTTCCCCCGCGATGCTCGCATGCCCCAAAAGTGTACAGTACAGCTGTATAGAGCGGCGGGACGTGCCCAGCCTCGTCACTCCTCCCTGGGTTCACGAATGCCGCGTTCCTGGGGTCTTTTGGTGCCTTTGGGGGATTCCAGGAACCACTGGAGCCCCTGGCCTGACTTGGAGGTCCATCGCTAGTTGAATCTCCACCCGCTGGGAACTGAAACGGACCTCCAAGCTTGAGGCCTTACAGAAATCACGACCAAGTGTCGAATCGGAGACTGTGAAACCGCTGAACCGCTCAAGCTTACCCAGACTCAGCCCCGACAAGTGCCTCCAACCTGTCTTAGTGCGCACATTTTTGTTCCTTAACCTTGTCTCGCAACTTCGTGTCTCCGTTTGTAGTTCGATGTATCTCGAACACCTCAGGCTCTCGCTGAAGAGTTTGGTCTGCGAGGAGCCGGTTCGAATAGCTGCAACGGTGTCAGGCCGTGTCAGGGGCTTTGGAGTTTGCGCTTTCGGTCGGGTGTGGGCTCCAGGTTTCAGCGTTCAGGGCCTCGAGTGCTTGGCGCTAAAATACCGGTTACCCGGACGTGGGATGGACATAGAGTTGTTGAAGTTGTCGGTTCTTGAACCCTGCATGGGGGACTCGTAGGGAGAAGACTCTGGTGGCAGAGCCTGGAAGCCTCAGTATTGAACCTTCAGCAAACCATTACGGGAGCCTGGGATGGGGAAGGGCCGTTTCGGGCTTGTGCACGGCTTTTAGTTCTTTTACAGGCATACTCCTTAGTCAGTGGTTTGGTTCTTGGCACCTACCTCTCGGATGAAAGTCTGTCCCATGGAGCACTCAACAACTCTGAATGAACCCGACGCCACACAGGAGCTCTGTGTGTTTGCCTTGCTCCATGGCGCTGAATGCACCCATCACTGCAACGGGAAGAACTGTATGGTCGTGAATCACCATAAGTTTTTGGAAGGCCGAGCTTTTTGTCGGGCCAAGATGTCCTTTGTCTGCTTAGGTTTCTGAGCAAACAGCATCTCCTTGGGCTGTTTGACTATGTTCTCTGCAGGATGGTGACATCCCGGTCATGAAGTCAAGTCCGCGTCTGGACACCAGCCCAAAATCACCGGCAGTGCAGTTGCGTGGCTTCTGCGCGGCCTGGCCTTCGCTTGGCTTCCAAAGCCTACAGACATCTACAGACCCCCAAGACGCTTCCGAAGGGTTGTTGGGTCAGACTTACATATAAGACCCCAAATACGGAACCGCGGAGTGATCTCTCCAGAAAGGTTCCCCCGTCGGGCCCGATATCCAGGAATGTAGGTCCTGACCCAATGGGCCGGGCCAAGACGCTTCCACCACCCTTCGCCGAGTTGCAGTGGCCGGAGGGTCTCTGGGGCTTCATACCTGCTTGGAGGATCATAAGTGTTGTTAGAAGTACTTTACCTCGTTGCACGCAATTATGTGTATCGATACCTTGTTTCGAACCCTAGATACTAAGTCCTATGACCGTTTAAGTGGAGTTGTGTTGGGACGAGTATAGTGTAGTCCTTCATCCTTTTCGGGTACGACAAAGGGCTCGCTTGCAGTTTTGCGCGGCCTGCGCGTTCCCCTTGCCATCTTGGCATCATCTCCCGCCTTAGCACGTTACTTCCCGCAGTGTCGGCTGTGAGTCTGATGTGCTCTTCGCATGTGATGCGGGCAGCTGCATCAAGCGGGCCAAGTTGACAACTAGCCTGGACGTCTGGGACCACAGTCGTGAGACAGGCAGAAGAACACTTGCTTGGCGCCACCTCTCGAAGGGGGCTCGGCAAATACATAAAGACACACACACACACACACTCATTCTTCTTCGGGCACATGCTGTTTAAACGTTTATTCTCAATGCTGCCCGAAACCCAACAAAAAGGGAAAGGCATTGGCATTCGGCGGAACATTTTCAGCAGTCCCCATCAACTAGGCACTGGGCAGGGGCCGCTCGGATTGCCAATGCAATGGGCTTAGCATGAGCAATATTTGGAAATGTCAATATTTGTTATACCTGTTCTTACTCTCAATCATTGATTCGAAGTGCTAAATATAGACCATTATGCAAACTGATATTTTGAGCTCTCTGTGTTGATCAGGTTCACAATCCATAGGGGTGAGGAGATGTCTGTTTTCAGCAGTGTTTAGAGTCATGTAAAGTCTGATGAGTCTTCTGTTCTGAACGTGTGCTGGGACAGACATGAAGTATGAGCAGTGCTGAGCCCAACCCAAAATTTGCAAGGCTGCTGTGTGGCTTCTTGTGTGTGCTGACCACACACACTTTGGCTTCCACGAAGGATGCCGAGTTTTGTGATGATGCTGCAACAGAGTGCTTGAGCAAGAATGTCACATGGGACCAGGCAGTTTTGATGCAAAGCAGAGTTAAGCGTGTGGCTCCTGCAAAGCTTGCAGAACTGGAGGCAGGCAGTGTGCCTTGCGTTGCATTGGTTCAGGGGGGTCTGTGAGAGATTAGGTATCAGTTGTGGTGTGTTCTGTGCAAGCGCATGCAGAGAGTTGGCTTGGTGTCTGTTAGGTGATGGGAAATGTCGGCGTGGCGGCGGCTTCCTCCAAAGTGACAGTATACCGCAACGAATCGCAGGTAAGCTTCACCAACGAGACATCGCTGGCGGGGCTATACTGCTACGATGCTTACAGTGGCAGCACTGCCGCCTATGCCACACATCAAAATGTCGCAAGCCGAGAGGTGTGCCAGCAGATCTGCGCGGCAGATGCGCGCTGCAACTTTTACGGTTGGCATGGCAGCTCTGTCGCTTTGGAGGCCCCAAGCCGGTGCTACAACTGCGCCTTGTACCAGAGCTGTGAGTTCCAGCGCGAATCGGTGTGCGAGGACATCACTCCACCCTCCAACTTCCGGAAGACTCCCGCCGACACGTCTGCTCACAGAGTCGAGAAGGACTTTAACGCCGACTTCCGGCTCAACGGCCAGTTCTGCCAACGGAGCCAGATCTTTGCTGCGCAGGTCGCCAACGAGAGCGTCTGCCGCAGCTACTGCGAAAGCATTGAGGACTGCAAGGTCATGGCCTTCTACAGGGACAGCCAGGTGCGCGAGGATGCGGCGCCTGATTCTTGCGACCAGAACTGCCGGCTCTACTCGGAGTGCGACAGCCCCGTGCCTTCCCTATGCTTCCACCCTCCCGTCCTGTGGACGGTTGCTCGGGTGCAGCACTTGAGGATTTGAGGATCTTAAGGGGTCTCGTGCTGGAGAACCTCGGGATGCCTAGGGTATCAGGGGTGGACCTGGACAGGTTGAGACTCTGACCAGCACCACGACACCTTCGGCCCTCATGAACTCAGCGGGTGTGCGGGGCCCAGAGTAGACTGTGAGAGTTGCCTAGTCTTGTTAGATCTCTCTCTCTCCCTCTCTTTCTCTTTCGCTGTGTTGAGACAGCACCTTTAGCCATCTCAAGGGCCCTTGTGTCAGTTGGCAGGCCTGGACCGAGCTGTCTCTGGGCAATCATCCAACTGCACAGGAAGCAGCCACGCTCACAACAGGTCCCGGGGGCAAGCTCTACCACTTCGGTGGGCGCACCGAAGTTCAGCAGGTCAACACATTGCACACCTTTGAAAAGACGGCTTCCGGCTGGCAGCTTGTTCTTGTCAGTGGTTTGACAACTTTACCCTCCGCGAGGTTTTTTCACACTGCTGTGCATGACAGATCGGCTGACACCGTATTGATCTATGGCGGTACCAGTAATAACCTCCCGTTTTGGCGCAAAGATCTCTGGGCACTCGATGGGTCTCTGAGCTTTCAATATGTCTCTGATGGCCCATTCAGGTGGGCCCATTCGGCGGCGTGGGCTGGGCCAAGAGATGGCAGCTCTGCAGGTCCCATGTTGGTGTTTGGAGGCCGCAACGATGCCTACGCAACCCTGGGTGAGCTTTGGGAGGTTGTCTCAGGCACGTGGTCACAAGTTAATGCTGGGAATGGCCCGGCAGCCAGAGCCTACCACACATCCGTTTTCGCTGAGAGCTTGGGCCAAAACGGCCTCATGCTTGTCTTCGGAGGTGGCGGGCATGATGACTTGTGGGCCTACGACCACGGTGTCAGGTCTTGGTCACAGCTCTCAGCAGGACCAGCCGGGATAGGCAGAGCTCTGGCGTCGGCGGTGTGGAACCCCACCCAGCAAGCAATGCTGGTCTGCGGCGGCAAAGATAGCTCCTACGCATCCTCTTACGCCGGTCCCGACCTCCTCCTCGAGCCTTGGTTGCAAAGATGAAACCTACCATTGTCATGGCGTGCCTTTGAATCATGGTTGTCATCTCCATAAAGCTGGAAGGATTTGAAGTAGGGTTCTATTTTTCTGCTTTCGTATGTATGCATGTATGCATGTATGCATGCATGCATGTATGCATGCATATATATATATATATATGTTTCTCACATATACATGTATATATATATATATATATGCATGTATGTATGTATGTTATACCGAGACCCCTGGGAGGATCCAAAAAGTAGATCCCCTTCAGGGTTCCTTAGAATGACCCAATTTGTAGTACAGGGTACTGTTTGGGGGTTCTACTTTTTTGGATCCTCCCAGCGGTCTGGGGATCGGTATATGCTTATCTGTAGGTCCTTTTTAGGAATACCAATAAAACAAGAGCCCTTAACTTTAGGGTTCCTTGCAAGGGTCCCTAAAGGAAAGCCTGCTTCGCACGAGGAGTGGCGCAGCTCTGCCGGGTTTCGCAATGCGACGCCGGTCGGATCGGTGCCCTCGAACCGGACGACCCCCGCTGCTGCGTGGGCGGACGGGGCGCAGGCCCACAACCCTTTGCCCCGAAACCCTGGTTTCGGGCATCCTCCGGAGGGTCGCGAAACCCCAACATTGGGATCCACGTAAGACTGCGACCGTGCACGGAATCTTCTGAGTATGGGGTTCAGGGTTTCGGGAACCAGTCCAGTTCACAATAAGATAGAAACACTGAGTATTGCAGAGTCGAGGAAATCAAAGGTTTGACTTGAGAGACTTGCAAGAAAGATATTGAGAAGAAGGGAGTTCAAGTTTTGGCAGGGGATGTTGGAGCTTTGTTCTTGGAAGTGTGCTTCCTGACACACGAAATTCTCGTCAAGGGACGCTCAATGACACTCACCTGTTTCTGCCTTGTACCTGACAGAGTTCATGGGCAAAGTCGCTTGCAGGCCATGATCATCGTTGGCGGCACCGACGACCAAGGCGCCGTCATGGATGACATCTGGGTGTACGAACCCTGAGGCGACGAAGGGCTGCAAAGGGCGGCTTGATGAGTTTAGAGCTCAGACAAATCTAAGTCTAAGCATGTTTGAGGCTCTTAGTTCGGTGGCTGAGTGGGCCCTTTTCTTCCTGTACAGTTCTGATTGCGCCGTCGGGGTCCGATCCTGTGCTTGGTGTTGCGAGTGCTGATGACAGGTGATGGGGTGCTCAGGGTTTTGAGAAATGCGGGGTCCGGCTCCAGGCAGGCAGTTTAAGATGCCGCGTGTGTCTCCAGAAGTTTACTTGGCATCCTTCGCTTTCATTTAAGCCTTGTATGATTGAGCCTCAGAAAATTCATCGGACTGCTTTGACTGAAACGGCGTGCCCGCACCGCGAGCCTGCACCAAAAAGGGGCGCAGGGCAGGGGGCCGAGCTGGGGTGATGGAGGGGAGGGGAACCATGGGGAAATCATGTGACACTTTCTGCTCCACTTGTTGGCAGCCCAGAAGCTCGCCGCTCGAAGCTCCCACTCCGCTTGCTCATGGACTCCATGCAGTTGCTGGATGCACCCAACCCATCTTTCACCAAGTCCGCCCAGGGCAGCAAGCCCCATCAACTTGAAAGCACAGATGCACCCATGAACAGGTTATGCACACTAGCGTAGTTTAAGCCATCCATGAACACAACGGCAAGCAATGCAGCATGGCAGCATGCCTGGACTTGTAAGCCCAAGTGCATCCCAAGTGCACCGTAAGCAAGCGCGCCCCAAACCCTCCCTAATCCCGTGCCACCTTTTCCCAAATTCTTCTGCTTTTGGTTGCGTTTTGGCGTGTCAGCCGGTTAGAACTACCTTTTGGACTAGCTGTTAGGCAGCCTGGGGGTAGAACATGCGGGTCGAACCAGCTATTCTTTTGCATTTTGGTGCGGTTGCTTTCTGGGAAGCATACTGGGTTGCGAAGTGTGCGTTGGGAGATGGAGTCCTTATCTGGCTTGGCTCATGCTCGGCAGTCTTCCACATGATCTCGGCCCGAGACCCCGGTTGCACCCCTCACTTATGTCAAGTCCCCCCCCAATTCTGCGTTTGAAGGTTGCAGATGGAGTTTAACAACGTAGACTCGGGGCAAGCTGATCTGCATGGCTTAGCAAGCAGATGAGCAGGACCGACATGAAGTCCTAGCCTAGTGCCCAAGATCCCCCACCTCCCCCCCCCCCACCCACTGCAGCGCTGCATGGCGACGCTGACACCCGAAAATCGGAGGCGGCGAGCAAAGGATGACAAGGCTGGGACAAATTTGATCCATAGACATGCTATAGGGGCATGGACCGTCTCCGAACACTTCAGGTACGCGCTGCCCAAAAGCAGCCCAAGTCTGTCTCGCTTGCCTCCCAAGACCCGAAGCCCCAAATCCCAAATCAAACCAGCCCGCAAGAGCTTCTGAATTGCAAAGCCATCACCTTGAAAAGCCTGCTCGCCTCACAAAGCAGCACCGCACCCCGGAACCGCGCCGATGAACAGTCCAAGCTGAACCGTGATCCCCCGACCCCCCCCCTGCAGCTCTGAGATGTCTTAACGTGCCTTAATCCCTGAACTCTAGTACCCTCATTTTTTAGCCCCGTAGCCCAACATGTGAGGATGATGATCTTGATGATGCGGACGACTTCGGCGCCCTCTTTGAGGTTGCGGGAGAGTTGCTGGACGTGTAGGGCTCAGGGCTTTTGGGGTGTTTAGGGTTTTAATTTCACTCTTGAGTGGGCTAGATCCTCCAGCCCGAAGCAGGCTCCAAAGCGCGTGGCCCTCACTGCCGAGCAGAAGGTAAAGTTGGCAGACGCTGGTCCTGTCCTTTTGTTGGGTGAGCGGCTCCATATAATATTCGGCCATTTACAGTATCAGTTAGAATTAGTCTTCCCTTATCCAGCCACTCCCATGGTCGCGCAACCTAGCCGAAGGTGGATCGAGCGGGTGTAAGGCGTAAGGGACTCTTCGTTCTTTGCCTTGGCTCTTTCGGCCTGAAGGGGGTACGATGCTGCGATCCATGGACAGAAGTCTGCTCCAAAGGCCTTGCATCGAACGATTCGCCCGCAGCAGGTTTAGGAGCAGATGGAATGAGTCCCCTCGTCTTTTCGGATCATTCCTTGGCAACCCTTATGCAGTCCACCCTCGAATCTCCAAAAGCCACTCGAAAAGGAAGGGGCTTGCTTGATGCTTTCCATAAGCTGGCCTCCTGTCTGGGCTCTTTGTAGGGTTCAGGGCCCCCGAAATTCTGCGATGTGTTGATCTTCATCATCTGAAGACGGAAGCCCTACATCCTACACCCCTCGAAGAGTCGAAGCTCACACCGGCTGAGGAGTGGTACAACATCGCAGAGACCAACCTCAAAATTCATCAGGCGCTGCCCCTGTTGTGTGGGACTCTTACTCTGGTCTGCAACTCTTCTCTGTTGCGAAACTTGCGGCTTAGGATGCATTGTCTTACCAGTATTGTGAACTCATGCGTTCACGTACAAGGGGAGCTTCCAGAAGGACAACGCTGCACACCGCGTATCTTTTTGCCTGCCTGAGCCAGATCTCCGAGAAGAAGTTCGAGTTCTTGTACTTCTGGGTGTCTGTCCTGGCCTCAATTGGGTATTACCCAAGATTATTCTGGGTTGTGGCAGAGTTTGCGGATGTTAATGCTAGGACGGGAGTTGCCTTCTATTTTGTGGTTTCTACACTGCGGTCCTTATCCTGCTTGACATGTAGTTAGGGTACTGTGCTCAGAAAGGGGCCATCATCGAGACAGTCACCATGCAATCGCTGTCAAACACGGTCCCAAAGACGACTTTGATTTATAAGACTGAGGGGTTTCGTTCTGTGTTCAGGTTGTGCACTACTCGAACTCCGAAATATTCCGGGGAACTCAGTTGAGGTCCTGCCAACCTTGGTCCTCTCTTCGCTGACGAGCGTGCTGTCACTGCTTTCCGACATCTTTCCCAACTTCCAATTCTGGGGCCTAATCCTGGCGACTCTGAGCACTCTCAATGGCATCATCGTCGGTGTCTCCGCCTTCTGGAAATGGCAGGCTGTGCCGGAAGCATGAAGCGTCTACATCGCATCAGCTCCCGTCACCCCAGAGGCATCCAAAATCGTCTAAGTCATTTCTCTCTTGGGCCGCTTCTGTTGTTTTGTTTTTATAGCTTTTCGACCCTGGCATCCTTTCCAGGCGAAGATGGAGAAGGGTCGCTTCGCCGCGCAGGCAGCAAATACCGGGGGTATGTTGCTTTTCGTATTCGGTGGCGAGCGAAGGACTTTGGCCTTGTTTCTTTGTCTTGGGGCCCCAAGACGCCCCCCCACTTCTTGGCATGGCACCGCAGCAACAGCACTAGACCCCCAACACCCTGCTGCCACATGGTCTCACTTAAGAACATGTCCCAGAGAGCTTGAGCGGCAGGAGTACGACAACCTCAAACAGCGGCTCAATCTTTGGCGGACCAAGATCGTGCCTTGGCGGACGAGCCAGGGAAGTGGACGTATCGATGCTTTTTCTGTGCCTGGCCTGAACACTGAAAGAATCCGGCTGATTCGGCTCAGAGCAGTGTCGAAGCGAAGCCCAGGAGTACAACAAAATGACCTTCCTCATGGTGCTCGAGGTCGCTTTGCAGGGAATCTCAAGAGTTGCTTTTTGTAATTCAGAGAGGGTGCGACTTAGCGCCATCAGCGATGTGGGGTCTTTGAAAAGAATTACCGGGACTCAGAGCGTTGTGGCTGAATAACCTCAGAGATGTTGAGGAAACTCCCAAGCCGTTGTTTCAACTTGTGGTTGGTTGTGGCATTTTGGGGGGTTTGGAGATAGAGTGTAGAAAAGGAAGTCCCTATTCCCGACCCTGCTCTCAGGAAGTGGAGCAGACGTTGAATCTTGGGGTGTTTCTGAGACGTCTGTTCTTCTTTCAATGGTTGACAAAAGGCTGTTTGAGTGTCTATTCTTAATCTTGAGCACTTTCGCAGGGTGGCCGACCCCTGTGTCCTGAACAGTGGCTCCCCTTACAGCCAAGGAACGACATCATGAAAACCTGCGGCCCTCCAGATGAGTATCTGGTGGCGAAGGCCGGCTTTTCTTGGTAGGGGTTCCAGTTTTCGAGGTTAAGTATCAGGGTTTCTTGGGAGGGCCGGGGTGTAGGAATCAAGTTTTACAGAGGCTCACAAATGGTTTGAGTTGGTGCCGCGGGCTCTGTGCAGACCCTGCAGACCCTGCAGACCCTAGACCCGCAACCCGACCCTTTCTTGAGGTGAAGCAGGAAATCGCCATGCAGGCGTTCCATGCCGCCAAGCGGCTGGAACGCCGGCGGCAGCAGGTGCCCCTCCTTTGTCAGCAACGAAGGTAGCGGGGTCAGCCGGGGCTGAACGCAAAGAAGACTTGCAGCAGCAGCAAATATAGCAGCAAAAGTAAGAATGGGAGTAAAACGCTGCCTGTGGATTGTTGTTGTTTCAGAGAGGTTTTTTTCCCAGATGGTGGCTTCGTCGTTTCACAGGCTGTCCCAGGCGGTTGTTCCCAACTCACGCTTAAGCATTGAAGAGGACCTTTCATCCCTTGAGGTTGTGCGAACGGGCTTCATTCAAACAAGAGCGAGAGGCAAAGCTTCCCGAAGCATGACAGAAAAGCGTCTCAGTATGGCAACATCTCAGCCTCCACAACACAGAAAAGCTGACTTTGATCGCCCTCTGACTCATATCCAACCGTACTTGTAGCCGGGCCTTATAAGGTTTGGGAGACCCCAACATCTGAGAGAACACCCTCGCCGTTGTTTATTCCATTGCTCAGTACTGTATCACAAAAATGACTACACAGACCGTCTCTGTCTTCCTTTTTGTTGGGAGAGGAGCAAGTGCCCTTCTGGTGGCGCTGCCTCTGTTGCTGCTGCTGGCGAGATCTGCACCGGCACCGCGTCGGGCCTTTCAAGACCGGCCGGACCCGCGTCTTTGTGAAGAATGTATAATGCATGACTAATATACATATATACATATATATATATATATGTATGTATTGTATGTATATGAGGTATAGTATATAATACATGGCATATCGTATTTCGTATATACACATGTATGTATGTACTACATGATGTCTTCTATGGTATTTTTTCGGTTCTTCGCGAACTGGGAATATCAAGTACCCTAAGCTCACAGTCCACTCCCCCCCCATTGCCCCACACTCCCCCAAAAGGATTGCGAGGTTGCGGGTTCGACAATCTTGCTGTCTGCGGTGTAGGGAGCCGAACTTCCGCAAGAGATGTTTGGACAAGGCTTGGGCCTATTTAGGCATCCGTCTTCGAATCACTGGTGGAGATTGTTCCGCATCAGCGGTGGGCCCTGGGTCAGCACGTAAAGGCCTCCAGGCCCCTCTGATACCTACAACCGCCTGCATTTTTGAGCAGCTTAGCAGCTTCCCACTGGGGACCTATCGCTGCAAAGGATCGACCGGTCGAACAAGGCAGGTGACCATTACACTGAGATCGGTGTGAAGTGCATCGAGGACTGGAGCTGGATACCTGAATGGGGGGACCCTGGTTTATAGCTCAGAGTCTGGGAAGGGGACAGTGCGTTGCGCATGGAAAGATCTCCTGCTTGAGTTGGGATGGTGAATGGCCTGCGAACACCTTCCCAAGTCTCCCACTGGCTGTCAGATGACAAGCGAACTTAAGTGCACAACTAGCAACCTCCACCCCTCCACCCTGTATCTGACGAACTGTCGCTTCGAAGGACCAGCTGATTGATCTTGAGCAGAGCCTTTGGCATGGACTGGGACCAGGGTTTCGGCTGGGATCTTTCTCGTCAACGGGCCCATGGCGCCGATCCTGTGTACAGGTTCGATTCGGGTACCATGTGTTGCACGGCAACCTCCCAAGACAGAGCTCCCCATCCTCACCCCGTAAACGCTGAACCCCGCACTCACTTATTGGGATCTGGGAGGGGGGGGAAAGGGGTGCAGCATAAAATTGAACGACAGACCCAAACCCCGAAAACTGTGCGTGGAGAGTCATACCCTCAACCAACGCTCTGTACCGTGGGTTTTGAGGCATTCGCCTTAGGCTGGAACTGCAAAAAATGTAGGCTGTGAAGGCACAGATGCAGCCGCTCTCTCATGGTGCCAGGTTTGTGGCTGCAGGATTTGAGTGTGAACTTCGGTTCAGGGGGTTCGAGGGGTGGCCTCAAGAAAGTTCGGGAAGCGGTGACCTTCGAAAGCGACGAGGGCACCTCCAAAAGCATGGGCGCTACACGATAAAGGTTCCAACGCTATGGGCTTTTCGGCCCCAGAGCCCTGAACCCTGAGGTGGACGTTGGGATGTTGTCCCTTGGGTTTAAAAGGCTTGTTTGGGGAACTTGTTCTCCGAGTTCAAGAGGATCTTGTGCAGGGACAAGTTTTCGGAGGCTCAAGTCTTGAGCGCCAACCCAACTTGCATATGTTCCCAGGAACCACAAGAAGTCTGACCTGGGTAGCCTCTTTGCCATGTTCTGGAGCATGTTCGAGGCGAAAGCTTCTCTTTGTCTTTGACGGCCCTTTCAAGGTTGTGGGGTTGAGCTTCAGGGGGCTCGGGGGGGGGGTCGGCTTGGAAGAAGATCCCCGAGAGACCGAACCCTGGTCACTGATACTTTTGGGGATGGTTCGAGGGGTAGACCAAGCAAACTCAAGCCAAAATACCCCAAAGCGCAAGAATCTCCGGCTGCCACCTCGGAGGCCGCAGCTGATCGTGGAGACCTCCCTAGCTGCGAGAGGCATCGGGTAGGGGGTTCCATAAACCCTGACCTGACCTTTCGACACCCCAAAACCCTGACGACCCTCAAGCCCTAAGCCCCAAAAGGTTGTTGGGCTGAGGGCTCTGGTTTAAGGGTTGGGGCTTTGGGATGTTTCAGGCATGCAAACTTTCACACTTCTCAGCCAGCAAAAGCCAAGCCTGAACAAGAGCCAACCCCTGAAACCCGGAAGACAAAAACGACGCCACACAGGGTAACCTGCCTGTAAACCTAAACCCGCCACCCCCCCCAATAACCCCCCCTGAAGCCCCTGTAACCAAAGCCCCTAAACCCCATATTTCCCCCCCCCCCATAAGCCCCCCTTAAGCCCCTGTAACCCCCCCTTAAGCCCCAAAAAAAGCGGGGGGCCTGGAGGCTGCTGAAGGCCGTGGGATGGGACGTGGAGCTGAAGGATGCGCGGCACTGAGCAAAGGAAGGGGCGAAAAAGCGGCGGGTTTTTGTAGGGGGGGGGGGGGGGCTTTTTTGGGTTGAAATCGGGCTCTGAGGGTTGAGGGGTCCGGTGCCTTTCTATGGTGATGGTTTTTCTGGGGTTTGCGGGGTTTTTGTTCCGGGGGGTCCGACGTTCTTAGGTGAAGTTCTCCCCACCCCGAGCCGCAAACTCCTGGGTAGCTTTTTGGAGGGCCTAGAAAGCCTCTGGCCTGAACCCATTCAGGGCTTTGGGATTTGGGATGTAGGGTTGGTTCTTCAAAAAAGCTGAGGGCCCCCCCCAAAGTCCACTTCCCACTTAGATCCAGCTGAAGGGGCAGAGGCAGCCCTAGAACCGAGCACTCTGCGAAGCTTTATAGGGGGGTATTTCCTGTTCTGGGCTGCCTATAACAAGGATGATCGTGTTTAGGGGTACATACGGGGTACACCGATGTCAGAAATCACCCATTGGGTCACACCACGAAAATACTGACTCCGCAATGACCACTTTCGGGCCTAAAGAACCGTAGGTTGGCATGTTCCCCCTTCTACTAGCAGTCCTTAATCGGGATTCTAGTACCCCCTTACTAGAATCCCTATTGAGGACTGTTAGGAAATTGGGGAAGATCCCAAACTTTTTTCTTTCCGCGCTGTTTCGAGCTTTCTCCCAGTCCAGGCACCGGGTCAGCATGGCGTCCTCAAGGAGACGGGCAGCCCTGTTTTTGTTGAGAGCGGGGCGGGGGGGACGGGGGCTTGGGGAAAATTTTGCGAGGGTTTGTTGGGTTTAGGGGCTTCAGGGGTTTGTCTTGTCGAGCCAGCCGAGACTTCAAGTTGAAAATTTGGGAGGAATCTGGGTTGTTTCCACCAGCAAAGCCGCCATGCAAGACCCGGAGTTTTCAGTTACAGACAGTCGTCAGCCCTGAAAACCCTGAGCTCTGAACATGGTAGTTTCCTCTGTTTTCAACAACAGGGAGTGAGAATTTGCTTTGGCAATTTTTTGTGAATGGACCTCTTTTCGAAAGTTTGCTTTTGATTTTGGAAGAACTTTCACTTGTGAGTTTAGGTCACTAAATCATCCGATAAGCAACCAACCATGCAGTTGCAAATAGTTTGCCTGAAAAAGAAAAAGAGTACCGAATACATGTGGCTGTTGCCCCGCTTGCCGGGCCCTCTACTTAGCACGGTCATGTGACAGCCCGGCCTTTGAGTAAGGTAAAGGCTTGACAAATCTGCGTTGTTTGCAGGGAGCCAAGGCTTGCCATGACGAGCCTCAGCTTCTGCAACTTGCAGAGGCCTTCTAAAGCTCACTACACCTCGCGCGCCCCGGCCCCAGGATGACATGGAGGAGCTCCTTCATTGGCATCCGAACCGCCGGACACCAATGCACCTGGCAGGGGCCCCAAGTTGTGAATGTCATTTTTTAAGCAGCAGGGCGGGGGGGGTGGGGGGTAGGGGGATGGGGGTGCTAGGAACAGCGCATCCAAGGCCGCCCAGTACCAGTTTCCGGGCCTGGGGTCCTTCCTCGTCCAGAACTTCACGTACTCCGCCAGCGAGCACTGCCTTAAGCAGGAGAGACCCCCCCCCTGTTCCTCTGCCCAAAAGTGCCCTCAGACCCTGCCCTGGAACCCACCCGGAGGTTGGTCTAGGGATTTTAGTGCCTTGAAGTGTTTGGGGCCATCTCCTGGAGTAGTAAAGATAGTAAGAAGAAATTGATAGTGTTAATAAACGAAATAATAGAGTAGGAACAGGAATCAATTGCCTCTTCACGCTTTGCAGGACTCGGACAACAACGTCCCCTACCAAATTCTCTGCCAGGCAGGGGTCCGCAGAGACGCGCGAGTATTTCACGAGCCGGTCATCCCCAAAAACCTCACATGTCGACATGTCACACCAGTTCCATGGGCGTCTAAGGGGCTTTCCCTGACTCAACTCTGGGGCCTTATGCCCGAAGCTCCGATTCCACTCCATGATGGTCTAGACCTTAGACGGTTTACACGCGGTCTACCAGCTCCAGGCGAGGATCCCGCCGGACAGCGAGCTCCATCGCTTTAAGCGCCTCGCCCCTGAGTAGGATGAGCTCGAGGCCCTCAGGATTCGGGAGGCAGGAGGAGATCTTTGGTTTAGGGCTCCTAGCAGCTAGGACCCTCTTTGGGGGCGTGTCCCCGGGATATTTGCCAAGGAACCTCCTCCTCTTCGAGACTTGCCGGCGCTTCTGCGTGGAGAGCTCCCCGCATGGAATCTCAACCTCTTGCAATTTAAGTCCCGAGACCTCCCCTCCGTCTCAGACACCTAAGTCAGTCAACCCCTAAACCCTCAAGCCCCCTCAAGCCCTTAGACCCTCGAAGCCCCGGGGTTTAGGGTTCGGGGGCCAAGGAGGTTAGGGCAAGGGGGCCCAGCCCAGTGGAGTCCCAAATGCCTGAACCATGAACTTTCAACTTGCGCACTTATCCCGAGCCAACTTGGATAGCCACCCCTCCAAGGTTCCCCTAAACCCTAAGCCCCAGACCCTGAACCGTGAACCCTAAACTAGACCCCAAAACCCTGAACCCTGCACCCCAAAACTGCAGGCTGCTCCAAGTCTGAGCAGACGAGCGTCGCGAACGACCAGAAGCTGCGCGATGTGGAGATCATGCTGGTGGAGGCGAGAGCTTCAGGGGCCTCGGGGATCACGAGGGGTTGGGGCTTGGGATTTAAGCTTTCGATGCTCGTGCTGAGAGGGGTAGGAGCCAGAACATAGCAAGCACCATGGCACCCTGGCAACATGTTCTGAGCCAAGCCCGAGACTTACCTCAATTGGAGCAACGCAGCAAGGCCTTCGGGTTTTGGGATGTTGTCTCCGCAAACCCTCAAGACCCCTTAAAGGCCCTTCGAGGATCATCCCCGATACCTGCAGATTGCACTGGCGTACCCAGAAAATTCTAAGAAACCTCGGAGGAACTCCGTGGCCTGGTCACAATGAAGCGAAAGAAGGCTCCGATTCGCTGCGTGTTTTGGTGTCATTTGGGTTCCCCTAGCAGCGCTGAGCGCTAGGAGCCCTACCAAGAGCCCCAAGAGGCTCCTAAGTGACTCCTCAAAGTGCCTGGGATCCTCGAGGTCGGGGCCAGAGGTCGTGTTGAGGGTCTTCGACGTGCCATATCGACGCATATGCTTTTTCTTCGGAACCAAGACTCAGAAGGGTTTACGGTGTAGATGGGGAGCGTCCGGGATTCGGATTTGTCCGACCGGCAGGCAGAGATCTATTTCAAGAAGGACTTTCCTCGGATTACCTGCGAGATGCTTGGCACCACGTGCTTTGCAACTGATGTTGGATCAGCAACCGGGTTCTGGGTGAACGGCGCCCCTGCATGTGCCAAATTGCCATCAAGCTTTCTCCTCCCATCTTTTCGCATGTGCGGGGGGCTTCAGGAACATGCCCGGCAGCATGCAGCACAGCCTCATCCACGTCTTCGCGCACTTCGGCCAGCGAAAGGTTCTGGAGCAGCTCTTCGACACGGAGAAGCTGTACAAGGCCTCTTCATACCCCAAGTAGGAAATCCTGTGGAGCCCTAATTAAGCATGATCCAGACCTAAAAACCATGAGCCCTTGAAGCCCGTTTCCAAGGCCTCTGCTGCCCAAAAGAAGGGGTTCCCGGAAGAAGTGTGCAGGTGAGCTACGCGATGACGACCGAGGACCCTCTTACTTCTTGCGGTTTTCGGGTGAGGTGTTGGTTAGTGGGCTGAGGTTTTGGAGCTGCTGGCACCAGCCGGTGGCCCCATTGTTTTTTAAGGGCCCTCGACCGTTCAAGCGCTCTCTGACGTAGCGCTTCCCCTGTGCAAGGACCTGAAGCATATGCAGATGCACCACAAGCTGAAGCTTCTCTGCCTCACCTCGCGAGAAGATTCGCCTGCGAGGCAGACTCGCCGAATCCCCACGGTAAAGCTTGAAATGAGGCCCCTAGCACCCCGATCACGTTCGTCTCCACATGCAGGTCTTTGGTAGTGAGCCCGAAGCCTGTCCAAAAGCCCCTCAAGCTCCAAGAAGACCACCGTACCAAGTGAGGGAGTCACCCCAAACCTGAAGTTCCTTTCAAGGTATCCGCTGGGCTGCGCCATCCTCCAGGGGCATCTCAGCACGTTCCACTTCCTCTTCAAGCAGGCCTACACTGAGACGGTTTAGAGGGTAACACGGTTCTTAACCTGGTTGAGGGTTTAAGGCTGCAAGCCCGACAGCATTCAAAGAACAGACCTCCAAAGTTGCCCCCTGCACCCCCAAACCCGCAGGCACTGGAGTTGCAGGAGTACTTCACCGAGGTCTCGGCCGCTGAGAACTGGCCGAAGCCGGCCTGGGGCCCCGAGCTCCACGCCGAGTTCCTCCACATGGTCCAGGAGAGAACCCTTCGCAGACACCACTTGAGAGGCCTCGAGCCGAGCCGAGCTTTGGGATTCCGCTCGTCCTTTGTGAGGTTTCGTGCACGAATCAGAAAGCAAACCACGGGCGCAGTAGACACCTGAAACCTAAAAAGCCTTCCAGGAGAGCCTGACAGCCTTGGCCTCCGTGCCCGTCAAGTCCGAGAAGCGCCGGGTGACGACGGACCTCGGGGTTGGCGAGTTTGGGGGTTGGGGTGGGGTTTGTGGGGTTCAGGGCTTTGGGGGAAGAATGCAGATGCTGGCTGTTTGCCCTGAGTTTGGGGTTCGCGGCCTTGGGGAAGAGGGTTTTAGGGTTTCAATCCTTAGGGTGCTACTACCGATGCCATGCATGGTAGCATGAGGTGCCGGACCAGCAGCAAGAGTCAAAACGGCTTGAAATCCTCAACCCGACTCCCCAAGCCCCAGCAAGAGGAGGGTGGCCTGCAGTTGGCAAACAAAGCTGTGGCCGCAGCTGTGCCGTTCTCAGCTTTCTACCCAACTTCGTGAGCAAGGCTTAGCGTACGGAGAACAAGCGAGACCTTCGCTGTCTATGCACGAACTGCACGAACAGCCAACGAAGCCCACCACCTGCCTTGCCACTGTAGGATCGGTGAGCGGACCTATCATTGTTCCGAAGATCGAAAGCCCTAGAAGCGTCAACGAAAAGCTTACATTGCTTTTGCCCACACGCGAGGCTGCGGAGGACAGCGCATGTCCCAACCACTGCTGTCTGAGGAGCCAGCAGGGGGGTTGGGGGTGGACATCTCTCTGTGGCAGAAAGTGGTGGTCCTGTTGAGTAGGGGCTTCGGGATTTGGGCTCAGGGTTTGGAGTTCAGAACGGCTTGGGTGGTGTTTGTGGGGTTTGGGGTCCGAAATACTTGGACGAGGAAACCCTCAGGGCAGATGGATGCCAATGCATCAGAGCCTCGAAGCATGGGGTTTACCTGGGTCCCAGGACTTCAAATCCCTCAGCCCTCAGTGCCTCAACCCAAAACCCCCCTTCTTGGATCCTCGACCTTCAAGCCCCCAAAGCCGAGAGGCCTAACGCCATGATCCCTTGTTATAATCACTGTTTATAAGCCCTTCTTATACTCCCTCTATCGTTGGCTATCCCATGTTATCCCATAGCTACAACGTCTTACGTAGGTCCCCCCAGACCCTCCCAAACGCTTGGCACCAGGCCAGATCTCACGGTTCCACCCGAGCCGCTCCGCGCCTGGGGCAGCTTCACGCTCCTTGGGATGGCACGAAAGTGGTTAGAGAGGGCTCTTTTGAGGGTGCTCTTTGATGTGGGTGTCTTGCAGAGTTGAGTGCCCCGGCAGGGGCTAGGACCCAAAGTCCACGGTCTTGTTCCAGGTTTGTCATCAGTTCTCCAAATGGCGGGCTTGCGGCCCCTTATACTTGTGGAACTCCCTCCAAAAGGGGGGGGGACCATGATTTAACGAACTGACCCCATGTGTTCGCGAGTCCCCTCAACCCTAGACCTCCCAGAAATCTGAGATCCCTGCAAGGCCCCTGAAAGCAGAGTCTTTGGGCTTTGGGGTTCAGGGTTTCCCGACGAGGGTCCACGGGGCCCTTTGGGCCTCGAAGGCCTCTGGGTCGGGGAAGGGCTGCTGCAAGGTACCAAGCTGTTGCTCCGAAACCCTCATGCCTCAACCCTGAACCCTGCACACCCAACGCCCAGGATCTACGACGACAGCAGATCTATGAGCCTGGCGGAAGCAAGCCGAAAGCCTCAGCAGCACGGCCTGAACACTGAGGAGATACTACTTTGCGGGTATCTTAGCGGTACCTCTTTTTGGGCAACACCCATATGTTTCAAAACATCGAAGGACGTGTGTGATTTACGGAAGATTCCTTAGACAGGTATGTGGGTTCTTATGACGGCTTTTGAGACGTGTTTCTGAGTTGTTCTATTTCGCAACATCTGGTTCTTTTTCTCGGCTCGTCCATCACATCTTCGGGTTGATCTTCGTTTTGATACCCTCTTTGGGGTACCTATCAGAGACAGGTTGACTTTGTTCGGAGGGCTGAAGAGGTAGATTTGATGGTGAAGTTTCGCATTTCTCCTTTTGATTGAAGTCTCCAACCGACAGTTGCTGTTGCCATCATGGCTCATGGCTTTGCGGAGACACTCGGAAAGCGCGCATGTGCTCCACATTGGAGCACCCGTACGAGATGCCCAGCGACTGTCGAAGGAACACGAATGCCCAAAAGGGCGGAACCCCCCAATGCCTGTAGAGGCAGCATCCCTTCTAAATATCCCGCTCCGAGGAACATGCTGCAGCTGGCCTGTGGAAAGTGGGAGGGTCTCCACCTCCCCGAGAAGCCAGGTCGCCGTTGGCTTTGCTTTCCTTTTTTCAGCTGGTAAAGTCTTTTGAACTCGCCAAGCTTTGCGCCCCTAAGCCACCGTAAAGACTCAACCCGCCCACCCCCCCCCCCCCCCCCCCGAATCCCAAAACTCCCCAAAAGCTTCAGGCTTCTCAGCCTACTCAGGCGAGTTGTCCGACGCCTTGTGTATCACAAAGTCGACTATGCCGACGGGAGGACCACGGAGGTGGCTTTCTTTTTGGTTTGTTCAGGCTTTGAGGGTTTGCTATTTCAATAAACGCATCCCAAGTCCCAAAATCAGATCTCCAATGCTTGCCAGAGGGATGAGATGTTGAGTTATGGAGAGCGTTGCTTTGTTTTGTTTCCCTTTCTTCTTCTTCTTCTTCTTCTTCTTCACATTGACAAATTGAGGTGTTGCGGAGCTCTCGAGTCTAAGCGCTCCTGTGATCCAAGCCTGACCCTGATCCTTGAAGCCTTTTAAGCATTCCCGAAAGCCCTCCAAAGCTCTCTGTAAAGGTCCTCCAATTTCTATGCAGGTCAGTCGCCATGCGGAGCCCACAGACGTTGGTGATGGGGTGCGGCTTACAGCGATCCGCATGCTGCTGCAGGAGTCTGGATTGGCATGTGTTTGTCTTTCAGGGTTCAGGGCTTAGACTTTAGTGTTCAAGGTGTTTTTGGTGGTCTAAGGCGTCAGGGTTTAGACTTCCAGAAGGCAAGTTGCTTTATGAAAGAGTGGATGCGTCGGGCATGGCTGTCTTTTGCTGCATTGACTGCATAAGGTCGGTTAGAAGTTCGGATTTCTCGTCCAATCACAGAGTTTCGTGCCTGTCCGCGTGCTGTCGGATCATCCTTTTACGTGTTGCGCATATCAGCATGTAATGGCAACTGGGTGTGAAGGGCGAGTTGGCATGCGAAGCTTGTAAGGCTTGGCGTTCCAGTGCTCGTGGGACTTTGTAGGCAGATGTCTTGCGCGTGCTTATGTCGGTGCATATGGTAGAAGGACGCCGCCCAGCAAGACTCCGGGGCTTTGCAAACGAAGCCGCTGTGTCTGCAGTTACGGGCACTTGACAAATTCTTGCTGGTAGCATGGACCGAAACTGGTGTTTCGGATGCATACAATCTAGGGGCATGTTCCAATACAAACAGTGTTGAGCAGTTGCCCCTGAACCCCCCCCCACCTTCTCCCTTTCCAACCACCCCCGGGGTCCCCCCCCCCGGCCCCCCCATGAATCCCTGAAGACCCTACCCCAAACAGGGAGGTCCCAAACAGGGAGGTTGACGCCGTGCCCTGACCAAACCGGCGCTTGCGGAGAGTCGCTGAGTGACACCCAGAAAACCTGCCATCTCGGCAAAACCAGTTGTAAATATAGTTACCTTCTTGCTTGCTTAGAGTTCCGGAACCTCCAAGTGTAGTAACTGTGTTTGCTCCCCTACTCCCTCTAAGCCGCCTCAGAACTCTCAGGAAAGACGCTAGACAACGCTGAAAAGACTCCTCAATTCAGCCATGCGCGCTGCAGTGGGAGACTCCTAAACAGCAGAGGCAGAGGCTCTTCTACACGCTGGTCCGGTCGGCCTTGGAGTGTAACTTCAAGGATCCCATCGAGGACCTTACAACCTCTTTTTGTTGGGAGAGGTGGCGCCTGAGAAGTTTGTGTCAATGTCTTCTTCTTCGTGCTTATGAACTTCCAATTTCAACGCTGCAGGTGTTTGGAGCGAATGCAAGCAGTCCAAAAACAGATCACACTGCTCTGGCGGCGTAGATGTGCCGAAGGCACCTGCCCCATGGTTTGTGCAAAGGTGCAGCCATCAAGCACAACACACACACGCAGGAACACCTCACATGTCGAGTAATAATCGCCTAGAACAATTCGAAGTGGGATCGGTCGTGGAACTTTCTAATACGTGGGTTCTGAAGTAACTCCCACTACCCCTACCTTCAATTAAATGCCCTGTATTGTAACAGGTCCTAAGGTACGAAACCTGCTGCCCCGAGTTGTCCTGCTCTGAAGCCTCACGGAGGATTTGGTGGGCTTCTTGGATGAGCCGGATGTCTGGTCTCCAGGGGAGCGGTGTCCCGAGGCTCTGCCCTTCGGCCCAGACTGTCTTGAATGGGGCGGGGACGGATTTTGGGTTTAGGGCAGAGGTTTCACGATTTGGCTCTGTGCGTGGGTTTGCATCAGTGGCCAAGGCACGACCTCCCTGGCTGGGTGCAGCAAACGACGAAAGCACTCCACGACGCCAACTTGGACGGCTCGCGCTTGGAGTCCTCCGCGCTCCGCCATCGGCTGCGGCTTTTCTGTGGCTACGTGCCCAAGAACCCCGACAACCATGACCAAAGGAACCTCGGCTTTCCGCAGGTGTTCTTACTTCGTTGACGGGTAGGCGCACTCATGGCAGGGATCTGCAACACAAGGTACAACAAGGAGAGCCTGCTTCATGTGGCGGCATACGCCTCCATCCGGTACAACAGTGCTGTCTCGGTGCGGCTGGTGGCCATGATGCTGTGCCCTCGTTGGTAGAGCTTTCAAGTTCAAGGTAGTGTTGCAGGTTGATTCCTCTATACATTGAAGACTCTACATACTGCTCCAGCTTTTCCATACGTAAGCTCAAGAAGGATGTGACGGATGGAACGTAGCATAGTGTCAGGATGTCTGTGCTGGTGGACTTCCCCGCCACAGCCCACTACAGCCGCGAAAGCTCCAACTTGCAGCCGCCACTGCGCTATGCCTTGGGGACGCCCCTGACGCTGGGATGTTCTAGAAGCTCTGAACCTTAAACCGGTTGAATGTTCTTGGTGCAGGCCACGAGGAAAGGGAAGTGTCCTTGTCCCAGCTGCAAAGCAAGCAAGGAAGCAGACGGACGTGGACGGCGGCAGCAGCCACGCCGAAGTTGCCCAACTGCAAGCAAGGTCGGCCTCCCTCCTCAACGTCCCCCCCCCCCCCCTGGCCAAACAACAAGCAAAGCTCGAAACTCGGTAGAAAAGCCCCAGCCCTTTGAGCCCTTTGAACCCTTTCATCCTGCAAGCTCCGAGGACATGATCGGGCAGGGCACGCCGCACCAGAAGGCCATCATCCAGCTCCTGCTCTTCGAGGCTCTTACAGAGTTGACAGCCATAAAATCAGACTTCAGAGGCATTGCTTAGTGCAGAGATGAAGGTTTCAGGGGGCACTGTTCTTATTTTTTTTTTGTTTGGTGTTTTTCGTGTGTAGGGTGTGACGGTTTTCGGGGCGTTGGTTTCTGGGTTTATGAGCCATTCGCCGCGTCGTGCTTCGGAGGGGTGGGGGGTTAGCAGTTCCAGGCCCCAGGGTCTGCCAGGAGCAAGAACATACACTTCCATAACTCCTATAGCGCTGAAGGCCAATGGAAGGACACAGGTTGCAGAGGCTTATCGACCTTTCGCCCATGTCTTCCTTGAACCCCAGTAAGAGCCCAAGCCAGAGCCAAAGTCAGCATGTTCCTCCGCATGGCAAGCTCTCAATCCAGTTCTCGACCTTTGAGGGTGATGTCAAGGGACCACAACTTTGGAGCCTAAGTACACCCAAGCAGGACTTCGTCTATCACGCCATGCGCAACACCAGCAAGTCACAGAGTGGGATCCTGCAGCCACTCCACGACCTCATCGAGGCAGCACCCTTCGACCCGCAGCCCCGGATTGCCCCGTCCAAACTCATGGGCTCTTCAACCTTTTTGGAGGTTTGCAGCACCCAACGGTCGGAAGTCTCACAACCGCTGAGCTTGAAGCTTAGGCTGTAGACTCGGCGGTGCGGACAGGTCGGCCGCAACCTTCGTTGCATCCCAACCCCCAAGAACTCAGAGCCCAAAAAATCCGGCAGAGAAGGCACCCAACTCGTCCTCTGGGTGCTTGCCAGGACTTCTTCGACTCACCAGAGCTGGCACGAGGCCGACTCCACCCACTTGTGAATTAGTTCTTCCCCCTAGAGACGAGGTGCCCTGCAACCCCCCCCCCCCCCCCGGCAAAACTCCCAAACCTCTCGAACCCGCTTTAATTCCCCTCCTTGAACCAGGAGTCCCCAACAGAAGCTTTCATTCTTCATTTCCCCCCAATAAAATACAAAACAAAGAAGGTCGCACACCAAGTCAGCAGTGCTGCTCATCTGCGAGGCCTGCTGGAAGAGGTCCTCAAGGAGACGCATCAGATCCGCTTGGAAGGCCCCAGCTTCCCCCAAGCTTCCCCCAAGCTTCCACCAAGCTTCCCCCATCCCTGCGTGTCGGGGCTCTTGTGTAGCTTCGGACCGTTGCTGCATGAGTGAGGACTCTGTCGATCCTGTCTGTGAGATATGCGCATGACCACAAATTAGCCTTCCAGTCCCTGCAGCTCCTGAGCACCGAAGCCTTCCAGGCCAGGTGCAAACCAAGACGGTGCTGCACATCATCGGGCAGTTTGCATTGACGGCTGAAGCTGGAACTCATTAGGGCTCAGGAGAAGGTCATGGGTTTGTCGGTGGAAGATCACGGAGAGGAACCTCAAATAGGGACCTGCCACATCTCAAACATAGGTAGGAGATGCAGGGGTTGCGGTGCTCGGCAATCGCTAGTTGGGAGGAGGTGGAGGCGGCGTCAGATTTCCAATCACGAGAGAGTCTCTGCATGAGTTCGTCTCTTGTCCAGTTGAGGTGGCTTTCGCCGCTGCGTTCAGCCGAATCTAGGCCCAAGTGGATCTGTCTAAGGATTTCGCCTTCATCTTCCGTCAGCTCCCATCGCGCGGACGATACTTCGCAGCCATGTTCCATCAAGCCGACTCGCACCTCGACGCTTTCAAGAGGTCCCGGCTTCGATTAGACGGGTTCTCTGCTTTAACTTGGACTTAAAGAAGGGTTTGGAGGTCACTCTTATGAGCTCTCTGGACCCCGAGAAGCGGGAAACCCAAAGCCTCAAGCGCCCCTGCAAACAAAGGAGAAGGCTCCTGCTCTGAGCCCAAGTTCGGGGGCCTTTGCAAGTTTCAAGTTTCGAAGACCTTGGGGCGGCTCGATCCAAGGAGGGGCTTCACCATCATCCACTACGTGGCTGAGGGCATCATCTCGCAGGACCTGGGGGTCCCATGAGTCCCATGACTTCGAAGGAAAAGTGCGCGAAGACCCGCTCTTGGAGCAAAAGCCTTGGGCACAATGTCTCATGCCAGCTCCGGCGAGGGAGGGCTGCTCCAAGTCCTCAGTTTCCCAGTTCCCCTGGAGGCCATTCAAGCCCAGGCGCAGGCTTCGCTTCGAGACAAGGAGGACACCCGGCGTAAATTAGGGGGGGGGGGGAATATGGGGCGGTTTCGGTTCCGAGGTTGCGGAGGGTTTGAGGGCTTCGGGTTGAGGTGCAGTTTTCAACTTGGTCCAGGAACGGCTCCTGAACCCTAAATCCCTACACCCTAAATCCCAAAACAACCCTTAACAACCCTCAACAACCCTCAACAACCCCCCTGAACCCGACCACCCAGTCCCGAGCCGCCAAATAGCAGCAGCCTTCGCCCCAACCAGCTTGCAGGCACAAGCCCTTGCGGCCGACAGAAGCCTATTCAGCGAGACCCTATAGGCCCCGAACATCCCTACCCTGCAAGGCGGGCGCAGACTCCCCCATGCGCGCAGCCTCCTTCGCATCCGGTGAGGAGGCTCTCAAAGTGTGCAGTTTGATTTGTTGGAGGCTTGAGGGTCCAGTGGCTTGGGTTGTAGGCTTGGTGGTATCCGATGCGACGTCGTGCGCCACGGAATTGCGGCCTGGGATATCGAAGTTTGTTCATACTGTTGATGGAGGAAATCTTGCATCGCTTTATATGGCCAAGCAAAGTAGAGACCCCGCGCCCCCTTTTTAAAATTGATTGTTCTTCCTCGGAAGTGCCGTGGGTTCCGATGACAAAAATCTTGCACCACCTCGGTGTCCATCATCGTCAATATTGAAAAGGGGGTGCGGGGTCATGCTTATGTGTCGTGTCACTTGTTATTCAATAAGTGGTGCAAGATTTCCTCCATCAACCGTAGAGCCCCAGATGCTGCCCCTGGACACGGAGACGGACCCTGCGCCCTCGCGCGCCGGCGCCGCGGCCCATGAGCAGCTCTGGGCTGCAGTGAGGCAGCAATGCTCTAAAGGCCGGCAGGTGTTCGGGGTTTGGGATTTGGAGTTTACATGGGGGTTTGGGGTTTGGGGTTCCAAGTGGTCGAATGTCACGGGGCTAGCGGGATCTGTCGAGGAGTAGACAAATTGGGCAGGAAAGGTCCCGACCAAGCAGGTGAGCGGTCCACAAACGAGCACGACCGTATGATGCTGGTGCTTTTGGGCATCTCGGTGTGAGCATTGTGCTGGCCTGTCGTCCATTTTGCAGGCTTTGTAGCCCCATGGCAACTCGAGCTATATTCACTAAAGGTCCCTTGCGCGAGAGCCGTGCCTCATCCTCTGACACATTATGTATGCAGGTCTGCTTGATGCGTTGTATGAGCCAGTCTGAATCCTATATACACCTGCACGAAGATGGTCATCCGGTCATTTCAAGGACTGCTGGCCATCGATGACAAGGAGGCGAAACTGAAGCAGTTCTTCCGCCGTATTGAGCACATTGAGTGGAAGGAGACGGGTTCCTTCGCTCCAAGTGCTTCACGTCAAAATATGTTAAAATAGGATGCAGGATGAGCCCTTGCATCTTTGCAGCCAGACGTGCTGAGATACACTCGGATCCTAAACAGGAAAGCCCGAAAAACCCAAAGCTCCAAGTCTCTAAATCCCAAACCCTATGCCCAAAAGTTCGGGTCCCCACCCGAAGGAGTCGGAGCCCCGGGACGCCGTAAGCCGCGACGTGGCGGTGCACCGGAGGGACGTCCTCGCCTGCTTTCAGAAGGCGTCTTGCTGTGAGTGTTCAGGGTTCGGAGGCTTATTTCGGGTTTGGGGTTTTGGGATTTAGGGTTTCGGGATTTAGGGTTTCGCCTTTGATGGGTTCCCCCCATACGCACCTGCCATGAGCTGCAGTGGCACTCAGGAGCACCTAGACCGGAATGACATGAATGAGCTGCTCCGGCGCTTCGGGTCCACCACCCTCAAGGCCAGAGTTTAGGGTTAGGGTCTAGACGATGACCATGATTTGTATGAGTGTTGATTTTTTCTGTCGCGAGTTCTTTTTTTTTTACGGGCTGGGGGGAAGGAAAACCTTTAGTTTCTCAGGATCGAGGAAGAAGAGGACGGAAACAAGGAAGGACAGAAAGAAAGAAATACAGAGACAAAACAAAGAAACAACTAAAGAAAGAAAGAAAGAACGCAATAAATAAATAACTACATGAACAAATGAAGGAAGGAAGAGCCGACACAGAGACAAAAGAAAGAACGAACCAAAGAAAGAACGAAAGAATGAAAGAAAGAAAGAAGGAACAAATCAAGAAATAAGGAAAGAAATACAGAAATAAAGACAAAGGAAAGAAAGCCCAGAAGAGAACCGCTTCAGCAACTTCGGAATGCTTTCAAAACCTGTTGTTACAGGGAATCCCCACCCCCCCCCCCACCCAAATGAAGAACAGCAAAACAAAGAATCCCGAACATCGCGAAAACATGCTGCACCCATTCTTCATATTGCTATGCGGCATTGAAGGCCTTTTCCCAAAAACCTTGTCACCAGGCCCTGAACTTCTAAACGCCAAAAAACCACTCGCCGCTTTTAGGGGGACCTGGTCTTCGGCTGGTGCGAGATTCTTCCCCAGCAGCCGCGCGGCCGCAACGAGGGGTTTTGTGGTTCAGGGGTTTGGGGTGAATGTAGGGCTCCTGAAGCATCGTGGCGTTTGAGATGTAGGGGTTTAGGTTTAGGTTCTCTGAGAATAATACAAGAACCGGTTTAAGCTTTCTTTAGAGATTGCAAGTCCAGGGCTGTTACTCGCAGCCACTGCAAGCAACTCAGGCGCTGGGGGCTGGTCACTTCAGGGGGTACGGATTAGGGCGAGTTCGCGCTCCTCTACAAAATGTGGAAGTCCTTGAACTCTGCCAGACCCTAAGGGGCCTCCAATCCCTAAAAGCCCCCGGAAAGCTTTTTTCTGAGCCCGAAGCTGAGGCAGAAGATTCGCACCCTCTGCATCGGCGTCAACGCCGAATCCGTGAAGCAAAAGGCGGGACATTCGGCTTTTGGCTTTGAGCTTTTCAGGTTTTATGCGGAGAGTGTGCAGAGGGCTCGTGGCTGTTCAGCCAAACAGTGCCCGAGGCTGAGCTGAAAGGGCCTCATGCTCGTGAGGCAAAGCCATTTCGCATAGTCTTCCCTAACTTGTTTCTGATCCTGCAAACGATCTCTTAGCTCACCTCTGCTGCGAAAGCCGAGAAACCTCAGAAACCTCAACCCACAGCAAAAGGACCACGGCATCCTTGGTGGCGCTGTTCGCTGGGAGCTTCAGGAGCAAGCAAAGGGCGTGCAAACCCACCCCAGTTCAAGAAAAAGGTCAGGATTCGGATCATGCAGGAAAGCAGTGCCAGAGCTGGGAACAAACCTCTTGAGACCCAACCCCCAAGCCGAAGCCCGAGCAGTTGGTTTCACAGCCAATAGCCCCAGAGATTTATGGGACTTTGCAGGTAGGGTTTCCAGCTTTGGGGTCAGGTTGTTGAGAGCGTCTACGCACAGCTTGGAATGCCCACAGCTCTGAGTCACCGCGGCCTTCCCACCCCGAAACCCGAAGCCTGAGCTCCCCGGAAGCCCTGCCGACTAGGAGGGCTCCCCTTTGGTTGTGGACATCATGTTCATGCTCCTTTGGCTGCCAGAGGGGAAAGCTCCCTTACGACTTACAGCCTCAAAGCCCCTCCCCCTCCCCCCCCCACCCCCCCAAATGAACCCCCCGCTGAACCTCTGAGATCCCAGGCGGCGGGTTTGCGGTGTCGCGTGCGAGCTCCACGCACAGGGTGACACTGAGGAGGAGGCAGGAACTCGAAATCATTCCAAACGGTTTAGGTGGTCAGGGTTTAAGGCTGGCGGCTGGGGACCGCAATGTACGTGTGACGAGTTTTGTGTTTGGGTGTGGTGGGCAGTACATTATGCTAAGGCCTTGAGCAATAGAGCGTCGACTTCCACCATCAGATCTCTTACAGAGGGAAGATCTCAACGTCCCAAATTCCAGGGTTAGAGCTTCCGACCCTCAACCGCAAGCCTAAGCAAGCAGCAGAGGTGTCCCTTGAGATCGCAAGCTCGCAAGACAACGCGAGATGGACTTCGGTGGCTATCGCGGGAGCAAGCTCATTGCAGCCGGGCTTGAGATTTGTTTCTGACCTTCCCGAACCCTTAAACGAACCAACAGAGGGGCGCAGCTAAAGCAACTCGCAGTGAGTCTCGTGGTTCAGGGTTTGGTGGCTTCAGGGTTGGGTGCTTAAGGCTGAATGTCTACCGTACCCTTAAACAAGCAAAGGTGTCAGGGCTTAAGGCTGCCTGCCTTCAACGCTGCAGTCGGCCATCGGCGCACTTAGCTCAAAAGCACCCTCTACCCTAAGCTCGAAGCCCAAAAAGTTCGAATTCCCAGGGGTCCCTACTTGGAAGCCCTTTGACTTAGTAATTAGCTGGGTTATCGGGAGTTTTTCGGGTTTCAAGGGGTACTAAAAGCTTCTATGTAGAGCCAATCAGAGAGCACCATGCTCCCAAAACACTCCCATTTAAGCCCTGCAACACCAAGCTGCAAACCCTGAAGCCCTGCAACCTCAAAGCCCCAGAATCCCAAACCCTGCAGAAACCGGTAAACCACGAGGACTGCTCACCCAAAGGCGGCGAGCCTGCAGCTGCAGAAGAGCCTCGCATGAAAGGTTCAGGATTCAGGGATTTAGGGATTTGGGGCTTGGGACTTGCCCCTTGGAAGTTTTTTTTTTGGAGCAGGTTGGGAACTCAGGGCTTGGGAGAGGGTGTTTAGGGTTGCTGCGGCTGCTAAGGGTTTGCAGCCCTCCCGTGGACCCGTGTGCGTCTCGAAGACCTCTGACAGCACAGTTTGGGATCCCCAACCCTAAAGTCCCGGGGGCCAGCGTTGGAAGGGGGTCCAGCTGGAGGCGTTCCCAATCCCCCCTGGCCCCCTGACCCCGCCCCCCGCCCAGTGCCCAAAATCTAGCCCCTCGAGGATCCACTTTCAGAAGCCGGTGGACGCAAGGCCTGCGGGCTGAGGGGGTTTAGGGGTTTAGGGGTTTAGGGGTTTAGGGGTTTAGGGGTTTAGGGGTTTAGGGGTTTAGGGGTTTAGGGGTTTAGGGGTTTAGGGGTTTAGGGGTTTAGGGGTTTAGGGTTTAGGGACGTTGATTGTCTGTTTTGGGGGTTTAGGGGCTTACAGGTTTTAGAGGTTAGGCTCGTCCCTTATAACAAGGAGGTAGTCGGATCTGCATATCCTCATGATAATTGTAAATGCTTTCGCGCGCCGCCTCGGCAGCCGGGCCGGCCCACGGACAGGGAGGAAAGAGGGTTTCTGACAAAGGCCTCAAAAAAAGGAAAGGCGGGGTCCCAAGCAAGGTCCGGGGAGCGGGACCCCACGGCATCGGTTTGCAGCTCTGGGGGGGTCCCACAGGGCGGGGGGATGATGGGGAAGGGTTGGGTTAGGGGGAAGAGACCGGATCGCGTGTCTGCTTGTTCCAAACGCTTCTCGGCAGGAAGCCGAGGCGAATCACCTGCGGTTACTACGAATGGGCGGCCCGAAGACGCTGTGCGATGCTGCTATGCTCAGGGACGCAGTCTTGGACTCTAGATGGGGGGCTTTCTGCCAACCACAGAAATACGAAAGGACAAAGAGCGAGAATCACAGCAGAGATGGAGGTACTTCAAGATCTCGGTCCAGCCGCCCTCGATTTGCCAGCTTTGCGTTGGCTTGGTCTTGGAGTACAAGACGAAGATCGCTTGGCAGAAGGTCGGCCCTGTCAAGCGCCTCGAATTAAAATTCGGGACCCTTGTGTGTGCCTGGAAGAGGGCTTCACGAGTCCGACCCCCAGAGAGCGCTTCCCACGAATACACCGGAATTCACCATCGAAACCCCAAGACCTGGTTTCAAGCCCAGGTCTTGAAGCCATGGGCTGTGGGTAGTTCTGAGGGGAGTTTTGGGGTTTTTAGGGGATTCTTCTATGAGAATCTGAAGCAAGGTGGCTGCCCCCAGAGATGCTCGAATCCTGGAATGGCCCAGACGGGGGCAGCCAGTCGCTTCTCTACCACGCAGCACGGCGCGCGGGCCGCAACTCCATGATCATCCATTTTCGTGATGTATGCGGATTGTGTGTTTTAAAGTTGAAGTTTGTTTTTTTCGTTAAATCGCTTCTGTGGGCATGAGAGGGGTTGGCTTGGGTTTCTATCCTATCGGATGTGCCGCTATCCGTCGTTACAATGTTGGGATTCCATATGAGCGTTCCGAAAGGCTGGGTCTTTGAGGGTGCAAGGGCTTTTGGAGGGGGCCAGGTTGTTAGGCTTCATGCGCCCCAAAGTTTGCCTCAACCCCAAAACCTAAATCCTTAAACCCCTAAGCCCGGAAGCCATACAACCCAAACACCTAAGCCCTGGAACCCCTCAACCCCAAAACGACAAAATCCGAAAACACCGAACCCTTTTGCTGAGGTTGGAGCATCGGAGCTGCCGCAGGCTGGTGAGGAGCCCGCCAAGGGGGTGAGTGCCGAGGTTTAGGGGGTGTTAGGGGTGTCAGGGCATCGAAGATCGGACAGGTCTTCTTTGTGGGCTCTCCAACTTCTCAACAGCGATTGGGTGCTAGACCTATGGCCGGCAGTTGTCCGTAGGTCTACTTCATCAAAGCTCCAGCTTAAGCATGTTTCTTTGGGCTCCGCCGCGCCACAGGATCTCGGAGTACAGCGCCTTCGGGAGGGAGAGGAAGACACCCTTCGAGTTGAGCCTCGTTTCGAAGGGGGGCTGGACTACTGGGACTCAGCTTGGGGCCTCCTTGTGGCACCCAGATGCCCCCGGAGCTTCCGGGAAGTGAGGTTTGGGCTCAGGCACGAAATCGTGGTTAACATTTCATGTTCTCCTTTGTTGGGTTTAAGAGGATCTTAGACTTCTTACGGGTTCAACGGTCAAGCCTGGTCGCCGCCCCCGGGTCGTAGCATACCTCTCATTATTGTGAGTTGACATGTGCAAAACAAATAGGAGGGTGAATTGCAAGGAGCTGGTTGTGGAACCATTTGGGTCTCTGTTGCAGTTCTTTGGCTCAAGAAACGATTGTTGCTTCGGGCGACGATCGGGTTTGAAGACTGGATCAGCCTTCGGAAGGTTGCGTAGATCCAACCGAGCCCTTGCGCAACTTTCATGACTAAACAGCTACAGAGGCAGTTGAATTCTGACATCCTTTCCATCGCTGCCTGAACGAAATGCAGGGAGTCTGCTGTCCACGTGCCATTGCAGCATGCCTTCTGATTCTGGTAATTCTGGTCGTCCCTTCGTGGCTCCCTGGCTCTTTGCGCGCCTTCGGCGTCGTGGGGCAAGCGGATTTGCGAAAGAAGCAGGACGCTTAAAACGTTTTCGTAGGTGGCTGTCGAAGTGTTTCAGAAAAGCGATTGCCAGACCCCGCATATCAGCGGTCTAGCTAATGAAAGGCTTTGGCAGACCCAGAAGCAACAACGGAGGAGCGGGATGGCCTTCTGGTGCATACTCCAGCCGCTGCCTCCGGCCTCATTCCCTTGAGTTCGCAAGGGAAGAAGTTGCTGGGGATCATCATGAAAGCCCAAGAGTGGTACCCGGTGCAGAAGTTGATCGACAAGTACACAGGAAACGAAATTCAGATTTTCAACGCCGTGCTGCAAAAAGCCCTCAGTCTTCGACGTTACAAGCAAGGAGCTGCAATCTACCAGAAGCTCTGCAACAACAACGTTGGCAAGCAAAGAGCTACGATGACTGCAGCGATCACCATTTTTTCGCGTTTGGGACGCCCAGATGTTGTTCAAAATCTATGGGAAGAGGTTCAACATACCTGCGGCATGGATTCTATACTGGCCGCAGCTCGGATACGTGCTGCTGCCAGTGAAGGAGACATTGAGACTGCAGCAGCAATTCTAGATGACATGAAGAGAACCAATATCGACATCAATGTGGTGCATGTGAGCTCTGCCATTCGTGCCTGTTGGACGGCAGAAGGCAGACACCATAATGCAGCTAAATATATGTTCTATAAGGTATTACCAAGCTTGGACCTGCAGCCAAACAAAATCACGTTCAACAATTTCCTGGGTGCTTTGCGAGGAGCCCCATTAACCGATATTCTGCCTGCGTACAATCGAATGAAGGCCATGGATATCTCACCCGATGCCGTGACGGCTGAGCTTTTTTTGATGTCCCTATTCCCCAAGCCTCGAGAGGAGAGGTGGGACACTGCAGCTGCAGCAGCAGCCCGGCTGCGTGATGGGGACGCCGCCCGCCTGGAGGCTGCAAGGTCCGCAATCCGCGACTTCAAGGCAAGTCGTGTCGAGCTGTCTGAGCTCAGCCGTCACATTGACGGTGCCCTCCAACTGCTCGCTGCAGAGGGATGACATCTTTGCGAGAAATCCCACAGCAGACGCTCTGCCACCCGAATCAACAGTCGGAACATGGCGGAACTCATTCACAGCATACATGTTCCGGGAGTTCAGGATGAGGTTCATGACCGGAGAGTATACCGGTGGTGCTGCTCAGCGACCAGCAACACTAGAATCTGAAGAGTGTCCGGACGCTGTGGCGCTTGCTAGTTTGATTGCAAGCGGTGGCCGAACGCTCGGCAACGCTCCGTGAGCTAGGGTTTGCACCAAAACCCCAAGCTCAAATCCCTAATCCCTGGACCCAAGCTCCTCGCAAGGATGAATCCCGATTCTGAGCTGCTTGCAGACCTGCTCGTGCCGCACTTCCAGCCCCTTCGCCTCGAGCTTTCTCGTCCTTCCAGAGTTTGCGATTTCGGGGGTGCGCTTCTGCATGGCTTAGCGGGATGTGAAGTTGAATTCTCAGTTCAAGGCCAGCTCAATCCCCTCCTTCTCAAGCTCTGACCTACCCTGAGCTAAACCCAAGATCCCACCGATGAGAAGGTTCCTGTGCCGGGAGGCCGAGGAATCTCTGGATGAAGGCGGCCAAGGGGCGGGGATGGAAGCGGGGGGGTTGATCTAAGCTCCCTCCAAAACTGCCAGGATCTATCAGAAAACAATGGGCAATGTATTCTGATAAAGATGACGGAAAAGGGGGCCCATCATTTTAGCTCAACCCCGAAGCCTCAAGTCCCAAGCGGCGGCTAAGGGGCTTTGGGCTTGTGAGGTTCGGGGAGAAGGGCTTGAGGCGGGCTGCGTCTTCCCTCTCTTGCGATGCTACTTGGGATGCTCATGGTCCTCAGTCCTGAGACTACATAGTGGTCCTGGCATTGGGGATCTCGGTTCGAACGTACTTCCGAGTTACTTGAAGAGCTGCTGTGTGGAGGCCCGCGGGACGACGACCAGCTGAATAGCTGGGTGTCGGTGCTCGATAAGGCCGGCTCTTGAAAAGCCTTGGAGCGCGAGGGAGACGGCATTCACAACGTGCTCAGGAGATGGAAAAGTTCTTCCGGGGCCTTCCTTACCGGCACAAGCAGGGCGTCCTTACGGAGGCATCCTCGTCGCGTGGACTTTCGTGCGCAGGGTTTTGGAGTTCACGGCTGTGCAGCTTTGTTTGGTTTGTTTTGAAGCAGCAAGGGGTCAACCAATCTCAACCAATCTCAACCAAGGCCACTAGTGCCACGAAAGGCAACTTTCCCGGAATCAGGGGGCTCAGGGGTTGCAGGCAGGGGTTCAAGAATGAAGTCGGCCGTTCTGCGGCCACATTTCCCAGCCCCTACAGATTCAAAACAAGAAGGTTGAGACCACGGTTCTGGATCTGCTGAGAAGTCCGCAGCTTCTTTGCTGGCTTTTGCTGGCTTTTGCTGGCTTTTGCATGCGAGGCTTGTAACTACCGGGACAACAAGCGGACCGTCTTCCACTACGCCTCCATGTGCCGTGGCCAAGCCAAGGGGGAGCAGCCAGTTTTGCGGGTAATTGGTTGAGAGGCATTTTGGCTTAGTGTGAATACGTATATCCGTACAGATACAGTGGGTGTCCTCTTGGGGATGCCAAGATTAAGACTGCTTCCCCGATATCGAAATTATCAAACAAATATGTGTTTATGTATGTACGTATGTATGTATACATCTCTCTTTATGTATATATATATATATATATATATATATATATCGCCAGAAATAAGACACCGACCCACCATCCCTAAACACTAAAGTCCGAAGGCCGAAACCCCTTGCTGAAGTGAGGTATGGCCTGCACGGGACGCTGAAGGCCCTCTTTGACGAGTACAAGAGGTACGACGACCACCGGCACTTCTTCGACAAGGCCCGTTTTGCATCGCTCCAGCAGTATTTGAAGGGCTTTAAGGGTTTAGCCCTTCACGGCCTATTTGGGAGCGAGAAGTCAGGGCTTAGGTAGGTTTAGGGCTTCGATCCCTGGTTTCGGTAGTCCCAAAGCACCCTGAAGACCCCTCGAAGCCGTGAGTTGCACGACAGGAGAACAAGTCAGCGCTTAGCCTGGTCTGCAAGGAGCTGCACACCAAGATGTAGGGGGGGGGGGGACGGCTTCGAGTCGCTTCGAGGAGTAGTTTCACCAATATCTTCAGAGGAACACACATGAAGCCCAGTCGCTCAACTGCCGCGGCCTGTGTGTGGGTGTCCTAGCTCCTTGGCATGGAGGTTCACACCCACTTGCCAGTTTATCCGTTATGACGAATCCATCATTCTCCACAGAACGTAAGCAGAGGTACTCCGTCGTACTCACCTTCTTGATCATTCGGGGGTAGCTGCGCAGGCTGTTTTGTGACCTCCTGCCCTTATCAGTGTTCGCTGGAGGAAGTCCTTCGCCCCAAGCCCTGAGGCATAAATTGTGAGTGCTGTGACTAGTGCCTTCACGCGTTGATGGTGGCCAATGGCCATATCGCGCACCAGATGGTTTCAGAGGCATTGTTCCCCTCCGTTCCAGCGGGCTCCCCAAAGTCAGAGCATCGGCCTGGGAGTCACGTTCTACGAAGTTATACACGGCGCGTAAGGACGAATGCATTCCTCACAGAAGCCGTCAACCTCCGAACTCGAAACGCCTCTTCGTGTGATTGGTGTGATGGAAGGAGCTGCTGCGGCTCTTCCCGGCCTGCAAGCAGGACCTTTGTGGGGAGGTACTTGGAGATGTCGGCATCCACGGCATGCACGGGTCCACGTGCACGGGGGGACTCGGAGGTGATGTCGGCATTGTCCACAAATAGCACATTCAACACACTTCACGACACCCTGCCCCAAGCATGAAGAGATCTCCCGCACGCTAAAGCCACGCAGCCTGCAGGAGATCCAGCGGTGTAAGGAGGCGATCAGCGAGGACCTCCAGCCGTGGGTGGATCAGAGGCAGAAGTCGCGCCTAAAGAGCATGGACACCCAGGAGGACCAGAGCCTGCCAGTTGCCAGTTGCGGCTCCTGGGTAAAGCAGCCTGTTGTTTTGGGAAACGTGGGGGTTTCAGGCCCCGCAAATCTGAACTTTCGAATCTCAATGCCCCCAGCTGCCCCAGCTTAGCACCTTTGTGAGGGATCACAGGGGGAAGAGTTTCTGTTCCTGTGAAGTGGGCTGTCTTGCCTAAGTGCCCAAATCCAACCCAAGCCGCCCGGCTTGGGGGGGCAAGCCCATGGAGGTTCGGGTGGCGTTTTTCCCAGCTAGGATTGAGGGGCCGGCTGGAGCGTCGAACTCTTGCCTCTCCCCAATGACGCAAGCGGAGGGGGAAGAGATGGCGGGAGGGAACGTTTCCGTTGGCCGCAGTGCACCCCACCCCAGGCCGTCCACTCACTCACTCACTCACTCTCGAATCTGCCAACAGCCGCCTGGCAAGGAGGACTTCGCCCGTGAGACATTCCACTCTGCCGCCGCGGCAGGCCCAAAGCGGTTGAGGGGGGTTCGGGGTGGAGGGCATCGGGGCCTTGGAGGGGAGAGCTATTCGGGCTTGGGGTCTCTTGTTTGGGGGTCGTAGGAACCTGCCAGCCGAGACCCTAGAACACAAGCCATGACGTCCCGCATATCATGGGTTCAGAGAAGCTGAACATCCGAATTCAATTCCAAACGACCCGAAGTCTCAAATCTGAACCCGACGTAGACTCACTGAGCCTGCGCAGGAAACCTTCACTTGTTGAAGAGGTTGATGGACAACTGGGGGGTATCTTGGCAATGGCGGGGCCGATTTTCAGAAAGATTGGGTTTTAGGGTTCGGATTTCAAAAGTTACGCTGTGGAGTTGCTCGCAGAGTTGAGATGGGCGGCTCGACGGATTCAGTATGGCTCTTATTTGGACCTCTTTGTGTTGCACTCAGTCGCTGGTTTTACTTGGTGAGGCGTTGGCGTGCAGGGCTTGTGCTTTCCAGCTCCGGATCTTCTGTTTTCGCACCCCGGACTGGACAACCCAACTCTCAGGTAGAAGGATCGGACCGAAAGCGGGTCGCGAAGAAGACGAACGAGAACCTGGGCTCTGCAGTTGGGGGTTTGGGACCTGAAGCCCTTGAATGGCCCTTAAAAGCCCTTAACAGCCCTTCAACCCTTAGAACCTTAAGCCCAAAGCCCTACCCGCGAACGAGAGAAGCCCAACATCCCATCTGAGGACAGGCGTCATCACGCCGCTGATGGCTGCGTGCAAGGAGGGAGAGGTCGGGCGCGGCAGTTCAGGGTTCCATATGCAGGTGCAGATTCCCCTCCCCTCCCCCCTCCCGAAAAAAACCTCGCAGAAACCCGCAGCCCCCCAACCAGCATACCAGCATACCCAGAAATCCCACAGAGGCTCAGGGGCAGCGAAAGCCTCGCAAGATATCCCCGATTCGAAAGCCTCCGAAACACTCGTTCAGGTCCAGTCCCCTTCCAAAAAAGACACCCCAGACTCCAAGACACCACATGGATATCCTCCCCAGCCCCCAGCACCCCTCCGCCTTTGCATGCGCAAGGTAAACGCTCTAAAGCCCCAGAAGCCCTGACCGCAAGGTGGAGGTCGTCCAGTACCTTCTGGAGATCCTCAGCCCCCCCGAGGGCGAGGACAAGCCCCGGCTGCCGGAGTGCAACAACTTGGGGTGAGAATATATATATATATATATATAGAATATTCTAGTATGTACAAATATACATACATATATCAATGAATCAATCAATCAATCAATGTTTATTTGTTCTTTTTTTGTTTTGATTTTTTTGGGGGGAGGGGGGGTTTCGAAGTTTTCTGGGTGTCGAGGGTCTGGGGTTTTTAGGGTTTAGGATTTCGAGGGCTTTGGTTTTGGGGTGTTTAGGTTTTTGGGTCAAGGTTCTTGGTTGGTGGGTTTAGAGCTCGGGTCTAGGGTATGCGAAAATTTGATGTTTAAGTTCTAGAAGGGCCGGTTTTGGGAAATGCCCATAAAGGATATAGGGTTAGGGGCTTGGGCGTCGTTCTGGGTTGAGGGGGGCTTTCTTGCGGGGGCTCATGGGGCCTTATGGTTTAACGACATTTTGCATATATGCATATCTATTTTACACGTATGTGTACACAAGTATACACCATATGCTGTATTACCCAAGTCTTCCGTGATAGATGAGTGTTTCATTGTCTAGGACCACTCCCCACCCCATAACGTCGAGAAGTTCCAGTGCATTTAGCTTGTAGCAGAGCTCATGGAAGGCGGCTTAGCGCCAGCATATGCCCTTTTAGGGTGAAGTCCTTGTTGTCCAGCACCCAATGCGAACCCCCAAAACACCAACGAGTCCTGACGCAAGCCCAGCGGGAAGCCATGAGCCCAGGCTGAACGCCGACGCCTGGAAGGAGATGTGGAAAGTGGACATGGAAGGATACCGGGGATGAGCCCAACATCCCCTAAACCTCAAGCCACTGACCCAAAGGCCCAAAGAAACCCTAAACATGAAAACCCTGGGCCTAAACGAGCAACAGCGGAGGAGCCATGGAACTTCCGATGTGTTTGCAAATGGGGAGGGCTGTGCCCCCCCCCAACCCCCCTGCTTTTGCTAGCCGGGCAAGCCTGCTTCAAAGCCACTCCCTTGGGGCCTAAAGTCCGAACTTCCAAACTCCCATGGAGCCCAGTGCCTTTTGCTGACGGACAAAAAAAGTTGACACCCCGTCATACTCGCCAAATCTTATTCCCTCTCAGAATCCTATGATTATGATTCGATGTAAAGTTGCCAAAGCCCCCACCCATTCTAATAAGGTCGGCCCCTGCTACTAGGAGGGGGGGGGGGGGGGGGCGGTTTCTGTTCTCTGAATCGGGGGGGGGGGTCTTTTTGGGATATCGGGGCTTCAGGGAGGGGCTTCTCACCGGTCCAAGGGCCCTTCCTGACACAGGCGATTCTTGCTTCCACTTGTTGGCGAGGAAGCTTTTTGAGAAGGCGCCGCCGAGTGGGTCGTGGGCATGGATAGCTTCGGGTTTCATGCATGTGGGTCTTGGTGCCCTGAATGTTTAGCAGAGAGACCTGTCTCATAAAGATGAGATGTGTGAATCCGTCATTTGGGGCTCTTCTAAGGGGGAATTTTGCATGTGGTGTTGAGCAAATATGGTGTGCTCTCCCGCTCTTAGCGTCCCATATATGCGCCCAGAGCTCTCGTCGCTTTCTTGGTTGCTCAATTGAAGTGGTCTCTCCGGGTTTATTGGTCAAGTTCTCTTGTTAGACTTTTCTTGTTTTGCACTTTTTTCAGATATGATCTTTAACAACCAAAGAGTCTTCTGATAGATGCGCTGGGATGTCGCAGTGAAGACGCGGACATATGAACCGCAAGAGAAGTGATTTTTGGGTCCTGCGTGCAGAGCATCTAACACACCAGGCCTCCTCGGACAATGCCTCGGCGGTCAATCTCATGGTTCGCCTGCTGAGCAGGGACCTTCAGGGGATTGAGTGTGCTGTTGCTGCTTTGCGGGGCAATTCGGGTTGTACATGGTTCCTGCCGGAAGAACTACAATCGCTTCTGAGCTTGCCTTCCCACAGGGCGATCGTCGGAGTTGTAGTTTAATCGCCGCCTTGGGGACTCGAGTACAGCATGGACCAGCATCGAATTCGAGCTTACCTACTAGGTGAGTGCCATCAGACGCACGCAGCCCATCTTTCGACAGTCGCACCCCGAAACCCGAAAGCTGCTAGGCCTGATTCACAAGCCCTCGGGCCCGAATTTTCGAGCGCAGATTGCTTGGCAGGACTCCTGGCGCGGCTTCGACTTGCCAAAAGCTTGGGTTGTGGCTGGGGCCGGGGCTGTGACGTGGCGACAATTTCGGGGGGTTTCAGATAGCTTCAGGGCTTCAGAACCTCGGAAGCACCGAGCAGGGTTCTCTCTCTTCCCATGCTGTGGGCGCTGCAGTTTCGATGGAGAAAGCCTTGTCTCCCCTTGCTCTTGTTTGAAGCAGATGCCTTACACAACCACAGTCGGCAGCGATGATTATGATCATAGCTGAAGCCCCACACAGCCCCAGAGCACCAGAAGCCAACAAGCCAACAAAATGCGATTAGTTGAGTCCCGGAGTCTCAACCCGAGGGCGAGAAGACGATGATGGAAATCCTGGCCACAAAGCGGGGACCTGGCCTGGACTGCGGAGGGTGAGGGGGCAACCGCGGCTTCAGGCTGCTTTCTCTTGCAGGTCTCAGGGGCTCAGGGCTTTTCTCGCATTCTTCTGGTGATGAAGGGCTGGCCCCTAAACCCCTAAAGAAGCCTGACACTTGTAACCCCGAACGGCTGAAAACCTGAAGCCCACTGAAGCTCCGGAGCCTCTTTGTGAGGACAAGGTGATGCAGCTGGCCGGCGGCTTGGCCTCCAACTGCTTCGACCTCCATCGCTGCTGGGCTTACAGCTTTTTGTAGGCTCAACTGTTTGTGGGGTCTTTGTAGGGTCTTTCGAGGTTTTTGGCTTAGGCTCAGGTGTAGGGTTTGGGACTCAGAACCCTCAAAAACCCAATAAAATCCTCCTTCCCTGCCCCTCCCTAAGAAGCCCAACTCAGGCCAGCGGTGCCTCTTCGCCGCAAGCGAGCATGGCAACCGAGTCTTCGTGGAGGCCATGATCCAGGAGGAGTGCTTTGTGTGAGTTTGCCTTCTGAGGGCCCCACTGTTTCACGCGCCAGTGGCACGCCGACCTCCAAAGCCCCGTACGCTGGACGCAAGCCGGAGACCAACGGGAGACCAACAGCTTGGGCCTTGTTTGGAGAGCGCGTTCCAGGACGACGACGCCGTCACGCACTGGATGGACTTGCGCAGCCCTGCGCACGAGTCGGTGGCTTGTGTCGCAGTTTGTGGCTTACGGGTTTGTTAAAAATACTGGTTTGTTCAATATGCGCAGGAGGGATCGAAGTGAAGGAAGGGTCGAAACTCGTTAAGGATGCAATACCGTTGAGCCCGAACATGCAAAGGACACGACAAAAAATGATTACGGAAGACGCTCACAATGACATGCTCCCTCTCTCCCATCTGTTTGCAGAGTTTTAGATGCTCTTCAGCGGGAGCCTTAGCAGGTCCTCCTTCGGGTTTTTTCGGTTTGCTTGTTCCGCGACCTTTTGCTGCTTGACAGCTTGTTTCCACAACCGTTTTGGATGATTGTGTGTAAAGTTTGCCATGCTGCTTCAGATGATCCTCTTTGCTGTCTTTTAGGGTTTGCTGGGAGGAAAACTCTCTTTGCGGGCGGGCTTGCCGGGGCAGAGATTTTTGTGGATACTTCTTCGGAAGTCAGGGTCACGCAGCTCCATGTGCGCCGACTGGAGCACCGGTAGCATTGAGCCCCGAACCCGAGAAATTCTCAACCTTCAGGCCAATAACTAAACCCTGAAACCCTCCCAAATTCCTTCCAGCCTTCACACCATCGAAGCTCCCGGAGCCCCCAAGCTCAGCCTTGACCTCAGGATGCCATTGTTGATTGGCTCAGGGTTAAGGGGTCTTAGGGGTTAAGGGGGGCATCCGTCGCAGTAGGTGCTCCATGCGCTGGCGCGTTGCCGGAACTACGCTACCAAGCTGCTCTTGATCTTGGGGGTTGTGGGGGCTCTTTGTAGGGCGGCCCCTGTTTTGGTGGTGGCTCTCTCCTGCCTAAACCTTGGGCGCAGGTTTCGTATGCCTCATGCGAGGCGAGACATCCCTAGAAATCCAGAGCATGGCAAACGCTTGTCTCTTGCGAGCTTGAGCCTGAAGAGGCGTAAGCTTTGCTCATCGCCTGAATAAAGAAACATCTTATTGCATCCAGTTCTTAGTTGCTCCGGCATCATCATCGCTGTTATCTAGAGACCCATATTGAATCCTGAACCACGAAACCCTCTTCAAGCCCCGTTCCCTTCAGAGACATCCAGGATGCCAGTGTGGATCTCTTTCGCTTCTTAGAAGCCCGGGCGGAGATGCAAGGGAAGGTCGACAAATGGCAGGACCGGGAAGGGTTGTTTTTACTGTACGCCCACTTCTCACATGTGCTGCCCAAGAGTAGAATGTCCTTTCGTGCCTCTTGAACTCTATGGGTTTCATTTTAAGACCACCTGAAATGTTGTGAGAATCCGATGTCGCCTCTGCCAGGAGCTGATGCTCCAGCGTGGGGATGCCGCTGGGCTTGCAGCCAAAAATCTGATCTACAACGCATTGTCTCTCAGGCGCAAGGCATTGAGCCTGGGAGCTTTTGGCGCAAAATGAATCCGAAGCCAAGGTCCCACGCCCCAGGGTTGAGGGTGATCTGTGTGTCAGGTCTGGCTTGGAAGCCTAAACCCCAACTCAGTCTTTTCACCGTGCAAAGCCCCAAAATCAGGACAAAAACCGTCAACCTGAGAGCAGTGGCCTGAGTTGTACGGATAGGGTTGCTCCGTCCCCCACGGCCCTGATATACCGATATACCCCTTCGAAGTTTCAACCGTAAGCCCCGAGCCACAAGTCTGGAATTCTGGTGCCTCCAGCGTTGAAGCAAGGCGAAACGGTCGCCACTCCACTGGGCGGCCGAGACTGGCAATGCTCCACGGTTCAAGGGCAGGTTGGTTTGCTTCACAAAGGGATCGTAGGTTGTTTTGGTCATGTTGGGTTTAACCCTGCCGAGCTTTCTTTTGATTTGTGCAAGATCCGGCAAGCTCTGTTTATGCCCACCAGCCGACTGCCAGCCGACTGCATGTTTGTGAGGGATCCATGGCTCTCAACATGCGGTGGTTCGCCCGGCCTGGCCTGGCACGTCCAGCGACCTGTCTGGCGGAGCCGCGCCCGGGTGTTGGATGCATCGGTCGCGTCGGTCGCGCGTTGGGCTTGGAACTTGTATGAGGATGTGCTGGATGCCTGCACCTCGCTGGAAGCTGGTGAGCACGGGTGCCAACAGTTGCGAGGCACTGCAGTGGTGAGGTCGGTGCGGGAGCATCGGCATGCTGTTTTTCTGGATGTAAACGATGTGGATGATGTAGCAAGAGTAGAGCACACAGGTGCAAGAGACACGCTGCAGGTTGTGGTGCCACTGAACTCTACTACAGCGGCAAGCACAGAACTACTGAGGCCGGGGATTCTGCTGAGCTTGTCTGGATGCCCTGGCAGGACACGCAAAGGCCAGACATCACTGTTTGCTGATGGCTTTGCTGTGAAAGGTGTGACACCTGCAGCCTCCCCGTCCTTGCTGGCCACCCTTCTGAGCTGTGCGTTGGCGGGCGTCGTGCGGCGAAAGGATGTTTCCCGCTGGCTCCACGTCACGGAGGGCGAGTTGGATGCGGTGCTGGACGCGGACGTCACAAACGAGGCCGGACGCCGCAGCTTCTGCTCGCGCCGTGCGCGCTTCCTGCGCTTGGGCCGTGAGCACCGCGCGCGCCGCCGTCAACGGAGCCTGACTGCAGAGGAACACCGGGCATTGGAGGCTTTCCAGGGGTGGGGAGAGCTGCTCCGGAACTGCACGGCGCCGCTGCCCGAAGACTGTGCAGCCCCCGTGCTGGCATCGCTGGGGCATGTGGATCCCGTCGCCAACCTGGGCGGTGCACGCCCCCACCTCGAGGTCTTCTCCAAGAACAAGAAGCGCCCACAGGTCCAAGCGATGACGAGGCTTGTCTCGGAGCTTCGTCAGCTTGCACACGATGCGAACTCTGTGACCGACGAGGGCAGCGTGGACGTCGTGGACGTCGGCGGTGGCCGCGGTGACTTGGCAATGGCCGTGGCCGCACTTTTGGGCGCGCGAGTCTCGGTGGTCGAGTCCTTCGCTCCCTCTGCGTATCAAGGCCAGCATCGTGCTCGTGAACTGAACCTGGCTGTGGACTTCCGCATTTCAAGCGCCGTATCGCTGTCCAGTCAACTCGAGGAACAAGAGCGATCGCCAATCGTCATGGCTTTGCATGCCTGTGGTGGCCTCACCGATGTGGCCCTGGAAGCGTGTGCCAAACTTCGTTTGCCCTTTTGCATCTGCCCCTGCTGCTACGCATCGCAGCCTCAGTTGCGATCAAGACCATTGGCACCGCAAGAACAAGTGTTGCAAGGGCTTGCGGAAAGCAACGATCTGCCTCGTGATGTCTCCCAAATGGCCGCCTTTGGCATTAACGGTTTGCGCCTACGCCACCTGGATCCTCTCCGGGAGGGCTCAAAGAGCTCAGACCACCCAGACTTCTTGGCCTTGACGCCGCAGCTGCCTCCATCCTGGATTGTTCGTGTCTACACTTTCCCCCGGGAGTGGTCGTCTCGAAACCTGGTTCTTTGGGGACATCCGCGCGAGATGGGGAGCAACAAAGGGGGAGCGGGAGTAAACTTCTGCAGACCAAGTCCCACTTGAAGCCCCAGAGCCTCTGTGAGAAGCAACACACCGAGGCTGAGCTGATCCGCACGATGTTCCTGATCAAGCAGTCGCCCAAGGCAGGCGGCAGGGTGAGATTTTGACCTCGAGTCCAGAGCTCTCAAACACTTCAGACTCTAGCAGGCTCTAATTTGCTCTAGCAGAGATGAAGCTTCCCCAAACTGCTTCTTGGCACCAAAGCGACTTCCCCAAGAAACCCAAGAGGCCTCTCTCAGTGCAAACTTGCCGCAAGAGACTTACGAACGCGCCTCAAACACAAAGGGCCCCAAAAAAGAGAGCGTGAAAGGCCGGAGAGGCCCCTGCACTCCACCGAAGCTTCTCTGCGCAGGACTTCAAGGAGTGGTTGAACGCCAAGGGTGTGGAGGACAAGTCGCCAATTGAGCTCTGCACGGATGCGGACGCGGCAGAGCACCTCGCATGATCCCCACAATGTTTGGGACTCGAGTTTGACGGCTCAGATGAACCGCCTGGGCTTGTGTGGAGTCTGCCCACCACTCACACTCACATCATCAGTCCTTTAAGTTCTGAACTCAACTCGAATCTCAAACCCTACACCGTCTAAATCTTAGTCTCTAATCTAGACTCCCCTCCCCAAGGCCCTTTTAAGATACGCCAGCCCACCCATGATTGTACAAGGGTAGTCGAGGGTGCAACCTAGGATTAAACTCGAACCCTCAGCAACTTGAGCTGCGTGCTGAGGAGCCTGTTCTGCAGTTCGCTTGTCTTGCCGGAGGACGGCGAACGTACGGGAACTGTCTTTTGGCCCAAGGAGGGTGGGGTTTATGGCTTTGGGGTGCAGGGGATCGAGGGTTTCTGCAGACCTTGCAGATGTGCTTCGTAGGGCCCTCTGAAGCGCATCCCAACAAGATACCATTAGGAGTAGCAACTTGCATGAAGCCCTGGCACATTTAGCCCTCAAGGCCCTCCACCACCGAGAGCAGAGAGAGTTCCACTTGAGCATCTGATAAGAATTCGTTTCGCGGTTGCCTCAGATTTTACCAAGGACACTGCCACCAGATGCTTACGTAGTCTTCGTACCTGGGGCCTCTGCACCTCCTTCCAGGACCTCAATCAGCTGGCCCCGTCCGTCGCTGTCCGGATCTCGCAGCTCCAGCTGCAGGCCGACGGAGGGATCCGGGAGTAGTGGCGTCGTGGCAGGGTTTTGATTCAGGGGAGTTTTAGGATTCGTTCGTCTTCAGAGCTTGCAAATTGGTCGAGGATTTGCCAGGCTTTGGGAAGGGACCACCTTCTCAGGCCCTAAACCTTGGACACTAAACCCCAAACTTTGAGGCTTCAGGGAAACACGGCGATGAGCAGGAGCGAGCGTGCCGAGGTGTTAGCAAGGCTGGCTTCGAGCTGTGCGACAGGTACAGCAGAGGAACCGGAACACACAGGATAGACGCGACATGCCCGGTGCGACTGCACCACCCTTTGGCTTTTGTGTTGGCCCTTTGAGGGCCCAGGCCCACGTCCCCGAAGGCCATGCCCAAGAGACCTCGATCCAGAAAAAGAGAGCAGCTGCTTTCTCAACCGAAGCTTGACACATCCACCATCAGGAGGCCCCCACGAGGCCTCCAATTCCCAAGAAATGGAGTCCCAGGGCATGCCTCATCTTTGCACGGAGCGCACAGAGAGAACTCTTCGGAGCCTTTCTTAACGCTTTTGCTGCACGTTTCCCGACAACCGGGGACATGAAGAGAAACTAAGAGGGGGAACCACGCGTAAGTGGGAAGTATGAGCGGTAAGGAAGTTCCTTTCTGTTGAGGTGACAGGAGAGGAAGAGAGAAAGGGAGAGAACAATTGGACATCCGAATGATATGTGATCTAACGATGCAACACTGGCGCGTCGAGATGCAACCGCTGCGGAGAGCGCGGACATGCGCATGACACGGACTGCAGCAGGAGTAGCAAGTAGCGGGCCGTTATGGAAGCGCATGAGAACCTTGGAAGGCTTCAAGGTGCCGCTGCGCTGTGCTGCTGTCAAAGCCAAAAACTCACCGTGCTGTCGGGTTTTTGAAAACGCCACTGAGTATGTGGTCTTCATGAAAACCCCCCAAGCCCACCAAAGCTAAGATTTGGATGAGTGTGTTGGGACGGAACGTGAACATCAGTCGCACGCCATACATGTCCCGCGTAGTGGTGTCTCCTCAGCTCTGAGATTCCCCAACCGAATGTCGGCTTGTCCTTTGGGGGGGAGGTGCACATCACTTTGCACACAGACCACGCCGATCGTCCTGAGAGGCGCCTGGGGCTCCGGGGTGAGGGTTCAAGGGCTTGAGAGGCTTGAGAGGGCTTCAGAGGCCTTTTGGGGGCTTTAGGCGTTTGTGGCGTGGTTGTTCGTTTGTTGTGCTTTGGGGCGGCTCAGGGTTGAGGGCCTCAGGCTACGGTTTCAGTACCAGGAGGTACGTTGAGTCGGAACACATGAGTTTCTTCGTTCAGTTTTTGTAAGAATGGCTTGGCAATGTCGCACGCGCTTGCAATCCCCTCCATGCGACGTGAGCAACCCTGGAGGCAACTTTAAACCTAAAGAATCTTCGGCAGCTGTTTCTTTGGGCTGAAAGCCGTCAGCCGAGGTATAACTACTTGGTCAAGTCCTTCAGGGACAAGGTGACCGGCAAGGATCTGCTGCACAAGCTAGACACGGTTCCGAAGGACGGGCGGAGGTGTGTCTTCTGCCTCTTGAAATACCGAGCCCAGCACAAGTTCTGAGGACGAACCGCACACATTTCACACACATTTCGCGCACATGTACATGCAGATGTCCCAATACCCTCCCCAACGGAGAATCACCCAACTGTGATAGCACCGTTGGACGGGCCACACGCATTCTTCTCTTCTACTTCTCAGCTGTGCTGGGATGTCCCCAAGAGGACAAGCTTACCGAAGCCTTGATCATAATGTGCCTCGTCGGTCGATTGGATGTGGTCTTGGTGTCTCATTTGAGGATGCAGGGGTTTCAGGATTTGTGATCTGGCATCTTCGGGAAGCGACGAGCAAGCTGGGTGTCTGCCGTGGATTTCGAAATTTTTTTGGTTGCTGAACTCAAGGCTTGACTCCCTCGAAGGAGAACCTGAACTCTCACCAGCATGCCCTCCCAAACGAGATCCAACTCCCAGGCCTTAAACCCCGAAGTGCAAAGACTACACCCCCAAATGCCCAAATCCATCGAAAGGGCCTCGAAACTTTCGCGATTCTATGGTCTCTTGCACATATTCCGCTTCGCGTGTTAGGGCCTAAGGTCCCACTCAATCCATTGTCACCTCCCCAGCTACCCGCAGATGTCGAGGCCCTTCCCCCACCGCACTAGGGATCGCTCAGAGAATCTATTCATCAACAGGCGCTCATCTCTCCAGTGCCAGCATGGCAATGCTGCATCTTTTGAGGACGCTGATGCCTAGACATGTTCATCTGTTGTGTGGGAGCGTTCGCGAGGCCGCTCGTGACCAGCTTTGGCCCTTGCAAGTTGGTGTAGGTGTGCCCTCAGGAAGCGAAGCTGCCGTGCACGCTGCGCGACACTGGCTGCAAAGCCATTCTGGGCATGAAAACCGCGTCCTGGTCAAGCTTGACTTCCGCAATGCCTTTAATGCAGTGTCTCGCGCGTCCGTTCTCCGGGAGGCCCGCGCCCGAGTTCCGGAGGTTTCTTCTTGGGCCGACTGGTGTTATGGACAGAGCTCCCGGCTCCGTTTTGGAAAGCACGTCGTCGCTTCCACATCTGGGGTGCAACAGGGCGACCCTCTAGGTCCCCTTCTGTTTGCCTTGGCCCTTCAACCAGCCCTTGCAGCGGCCGCTGCAGCGGCGCGCCTGGACTTATGCTTCGCGTACTTGGATGACGTCGTGTTAGCTGGCGGCCCTGCTGACGTGGCGAAGGCCTTGCGTGCTCTCTGTGAGGTTGCCGGCCAGGCCGGCCTTATCCTCGAGCCCACCAAGTCTGAAGTTGTCCTTCCTGGCGCCGCCTGCAGCCCTGACCTCCGCGCCCTGCCGCCGGGCCTGGTACGCCGTGTCGGCGAATTCGAGCTCCTTGGTGCGCCCATAGGGGGTCTCGCTTTCTGCAACCAACACTGCGTGACCCACCGTGTTGATAAGGCACAAGCTTGTCTGAACGCCCTTGCTGAGCTACCGGACTCGCAAACCGCGCTCCTCCTACTTAGGCATTGTGCTTCCTACACTAAGTTGGCCTATTCCATGCGGGTGACCCCGCCGGCGGCCCATGCAGATGCCTTGCAAGAATTTGACAGTCGCGTTCGAGCCTCGCTCGAACTAATCGGGGGGCTCCAACTCACTGATCGCGCTTGGCAGCAGGCGACCTTGAGAGTTGCTGCCGGCGGTTTGGGGCTGCGCAGCGCGGCCAAACACGCCCCCGCAGCATACATTGCCTCCGCCTCCTCGTGCTCGGAAGCTTGTGCTGCGCTGTCGCATCAGTACGTTTTGGACCTCGCCCACCCGGCAGCCCAATACAATGCGACGGTGGCCCCTGATGCTGCGCTCCCCCCTCAGCCTGTGCCCGTTAGGCAGCAAGAGTTGTCAAGCGCCATTGATGCCGCTGAACGGCAGGCCTTGATTGCCTCTAGCGCGGGCGAGGCTGACCGTGCGCACTTGCAGTTGCTGCAGCAACCAGGAGCCGGTGCCTGGCTGCTAGCCCGCCCAGCCGAAGCCCTCGGTCTGGCCCTTGAGCCGGCTTTCTTCCGCGTTTTGCTCCACCTCCGCCTTCGCCTCCCCGTTGCACCGTCCGAGGGCTACTGCCCGTTCTGCGATGGAGTGGCTGACCGGTTTGGAGACCACGCCCGCGTGTGCCCATGCGGGGGAGACCGCTGCAAGCGCCGCAACCGGCTCCGCGCGGTTCTCGCAGAGCGGGCTCATGCTGCAGGCTTATCCCCTGAGATTGAAAAGCCAAACCTCCTCCCCGCCCGCCCTGCTGAACTTGGAGCCTGTGAGGCAGGCGCAGTTGGGGAGTCCGTCGGGGGTGGCCGCCGACCAGCCGATGTCTTTGTGCCTCATTGGGGGTTGCACGGGCCTGCAGTGTTCGACCTTGCCGTCACGAGCGGCTTGCGATGTGGGGCAGCTGCCGCCTCTGCTGCAGATGGCTCTCACACTTGTGCGGCTTACGAGGAACGCAAGCGTTCCCATCTTAACACGGCAGCCCTCTGCCGAGACCAGGGGCTGCAGTTCCTCCCCCTCATTGCGGAATCATCCTGTGGTGGCTGGGGACGTGAAGCAATCAAAGTCTGGCGCACACTCGGGGCGCTCCTGGCCGCTAAGTCCGGTGATGGATCGGGCGCGGCCACCGAGCAGCTTTTGCAGTGCCTCAGCGTCACGCTCGAACGCCCGTGCTGTCTTGCGCCGCCTGCCCGACGGCGCGCAGTCCGCCTCCACTCCGCTGCAAAACCCGTGATCCCGAATGCTCCCAAGCTGGGCGCCTGTGACAGAGCAGACCTCTGCCCTTGCTTATCTTGCTTGCCCTCTGTGCCCGGCCTGCCTGGCCCTTTTCGCACCTGACCTCTGCTTGGGCTCGTCGAGCTTCCTCTGGCCTCCGCTTAGTTCCATCAACCTTCTTGCGCATAGCTTGTAAAGTAGCACACGCTGCTACGGCCCATCGGCAAGCATGGGGCTGGAGGTCTTGCGGGACGCCGGGGACTCCTGCAGGTGTCGGGGGTTCGCCCTACGGCCGCCTTGCTCTCTGCCTTCTGATGGTGGGGTGGACGCATCCTGCATCACCGGGTGTCGGGCGCGAGACTCACAAACAGGTTGGACGCGGGGCTTTGGCCGTGCCGCATTTTGTTGGGCTTGTTCACAAGCAACGTCAGCCCCAAACCCTTAACCCAATGAGGTTTGAGGGTTGTACATCCCTGCTGATGAATGAGCTTTCTGGAGGGCTTGTGGTTCCCCCAAATTCAAACCCCAAAACTACATCTCGCCTTCCATTGCCTGAGGCAGAACACTGGCGATCCGCAGCTTGATAGCAGAGCTTAGTGTTCGGACTTCGAAAGTTTCTGAGTTGTGGTCTTGTCTCATGGCTCTCTTAGGCTTCGGGCTTTGGGGAACGGTTCCATACGGAGATCATCCCATCAGGTATCAGTGCCCACTGCTCCATCTGGCGGTCTGGCTCATGCGCCGGAATTGGGTCATCTTCCTTTTAGAAGCAGACGCAGACCCGCTCAAGAAGGACCGGGGGGTCTGCAGCTTTCCGTTCCTCCAGTTTCTAAAAATAGAGCCCCAAACCCGAGAGTTTAGGGCATGAAGGCAAAGCTCGCCCTAAGCCCGAAACTGAGGTGTTGCAAGGAGAGTTCGAGCAGAGAGATTTCGGGCTTCTAGGCCTACACGCCCGTAAACATGCGTAAAGACAACCGGGAAGACCCCAAGCAATTTTCCTTGGAGATGCTTTTGGAGAGGACACGGCCGGAAGAACGGCTGTGGACATCGCCTTCATGCGGTCGGGCCGTCGCCCCAGGGGGCGAGTTGGGAGGGTTTGTGAGGGTTTGTGAGGGTTTTAGGGTGCCGTGTTCCTGCCCCCCCGCCTTCTTTTTTTTTTTTTTTGTGTGTGTGTGTGTGTGTGCGCGCGTGGTGGGAGGGCGTTTAAGGGGGTAAAGGGTTTCGGGCTGATTCGGGCTTGGGGGATGGGGCGGGGAAGGGGGCTCACGATGTGGCTACTGAGGCAGTTGTAGTGTAGCTGCAGCGCTACCTTCTAACCCCGCGCTTGGACCTGCATCAGTGCACTGCATCAGTCCCCGCCCCTCCCCAGAGCTCCCGCCGCCGGGTTTGCAAATCCGCGTGCAGATAGTCTCTTCAAGAAACTTCGCGCTTCCGAATTCTGCTCGCAGCCAATGTGTCGGCATGCTTCCTAGGAGAGGTCCTCGAGAGCGACCCTGAGGAGTGGAAGGGCAGCCGCAGCCAGGATCTGGATGTGGGCGACGACGTGCCCTGGATCGTGGACTCCAAGTTCTGACCCAAAGCCCTAAAAGGCCCTCAAAGGCCCTAACACCTTCAGGGCGCGCTAGATGTTGACAGAGACTTTCGCTGTCTTTCCTTTAAACTCGGAGAGGCTCGGGGTGTAGAATGGGTCTTTGGTATTGCGTACTGTGTATGATATATATATATATATATATATATATATATATTATACACACATATGCAGATGTACAGGGTAGGTGTTGTTGCTGTCCTCATCATTGTCGCCATCATCCTTTTCTATTTCTAAAAGCCAAGTAAGGATCACCACCATTCCGATTACGACATATCATCGCCGTGTGACCATGATACGGAAATTATTATTCTTGTTCTCATACGTACTTCCACTGCGGAAGCAAGTACCATGTCTGCTGCAGCTGAGCTGACCTTGCAATCCCCTTCCCTAAGCCCGAAACCGTAAGTCCTCAGCACTTCACCGTAAGTTCTACAGCCCTAAGCCCCCCCCGCCCCCCCCCAACCCCTAAACCGCAGCTGCGCTCAGGTCTTCATCAACTCCCGAAACCTGCAGGCCAGCGGTGGGAACGAGATGACTCTGGGTCTCCATTTTCAGGGCTTGGGGTGCAGGATTTAAGGGTTTAGGGTTTAGGTTCAGAAGGTTGCGGGGTTTTTGTGGCTTAGGCTTAGAGTCTTTCAAAGTTGGGGATTTGGGGCTGGGCTTGTGGGAGTTTGCGCAAGCTCGTGTATCACTTGAAGGTTCGGTCTTCATTGTTTCAGGCTTGTGGGTGGTAGGGTTTTCGGTGGAGGCAGACTTGTCCTCGACGCATCAGCGTTGGCGGACTGAACCATGCAACCCTACACCCTAAACCCTTTGAGCGTCGACCCTGAGCTCAAAACCCCTCGCGAATCCTGAAGAGTCGCAAGCTTGGCTCTTCGCCCTGGAGCAGGATGTCAGCCGCTTTCAAAGGACTTTCGTTTTAGGGCTTAGCTTAGGCTTTCTTTAATTCTTAGCAGGTTTGCCACAACAAGGAGACATGTTATGGGGAGGGGATGATACCGATGATGCCCCCAAGGATCTGTGCCAAAGTCTCCGACTGGCAGCTGGGGCAAATCTCGGAGGGCCGCCTCCCACCCGCGGACGACGAGGCGCCAGGGGAGTGATAAACAGGGGGGTGGGGGGGTGGGGCTGCCGGGGGAGGGGGGGGGTTGCAGGCCAACATGTCGTTCATCTCCATTCTGCCCCCTTATATTAAAATCCACTTGGAGGAAGCATTTGCGCCCTTCACCAATCAACAAATAGGCTCAGCAGCCGAGGAGCAACGCGAATAGACCAGCTGCGCTAAGCTGCGTCTCCCGAAGTCCCCAAGCCAAGCCCCACATCCAGAGCCATCCGTAAAACTCCCCCCATTTTGAAACACCAACCCCTCAACGAGACATGCAGGTCGGCGGCATGGGTGACTTCATCTTCGCGGACCTCCCCATGAGGGAGGTGGACTACTCGGAGGTGGGGGTTCTGTTTGCTGTTTTGAGGATTGAATATGTAACTACGTACACAAATACATAGTCAACACGAAGGAACAAATAAGTCAAGACACATACAAAACACACGAATATAAATAAGCAGATAAATAAATATAGATATAAATATAAGCATAAATATAAATATAAATATCAATATCAATAGAAATATAAATCTAAATATAAATATGAATATAAATCTAAATATAAATATAAAATATAAATAAAAATATAAATATAAAATAATAACAAATAATTGTAAACGCTTGCGCGCGCCGCCTCGGCAGCCGGGCCGGCCCCAGGACAGGAAAGGAGGAAAGAGGGTTTCGCAAAGGAAGGGCAGAGAGGTTAAAGGGGGGGGGGGGGGTGAGGTGGGGGGGGGGGGTTGTGGGGTGGGGGGGGGGGGGGGGGGTGGGGGGGGGGGTGGGGGTGGGGGGGGGGTTTTTTGAGGCATCCCCGCGGGGGCATCGGTTTGCAGCTCCTCCAAGCGATTGGGGGGGGTCCCACAGGGCGGGGGGGGGGGGGGGGGGGGTGGCGTCAGAAAATTTGGACGGGGAGAAGGGTTGGGTTAGGGGGGAAGGAGGCCCGATCCGGGTCTGCTTGTTCCAGACGCTTCTCGGCAGGAAGCCGAGGCGAATATATATATATATATATATATATATATATGATATAGCTACAAATTGTAGATATAGCTACAAATATAGATCTATAAAATAGATGAAAACATATACGTATAAAGTATATATATATATATATAAACACACATGTATGTATGTATGTATATATATATATACACATACGTGTATGTATGTATGTATGCATGCATACATACATGCATATATATATATATATATATATATAGTAGTGTAGTGCAGGGAATGTAATGTGATGTAATTCAAGTGATGCACATACTTTCCTGCGCAGCCCACCCCCCCCCCCCCTCCCCCGACACTTTGCGGGCAAGGAGAGGGAAGGCGCGCGCTTGCAAAAGCGAGACGAGGCCTGCTGTAAAGGTGCAGAGTGGGCTGCTTCTAGCGCCAGAGTTCTGTGCCACCGATGACACTGATTCTGGAGAGCCATGCACCTCAAAACTCTCAGGGACCCCCCTTCAGGTGCTGACCCCAGGCTCCCAAAGCCTCATTCCGGGAGGTCTTGCGCTGCCGAGATTTTTTCTACCACACCTCAAAGGCCTGGGGGAGCTCAATCATGAGTACTTAGCTGAGGGACGTCCGTGGCCGTACCAAAAGTCTTCCACTTAAAACCCTGTGCTTCGCTTTGCCAAGTTCACAGGGTTTGGGCCCCGCCGATTGCTGGAAGCCCCTGACCCCTGAGCCAGACATCGAATCGAAGACTAAATCCTTGCGCCGCTTAGCCTTACGACGAGCTTTACACACGGAAGGTCTTGGAGCTTCTTCTGGAGAAGATCCACCGGAGAGGTCGGTTGAAAGAGTGCCTGGCCATCGAGGTGCCCCTGTGCGGTTTCGGCGTTTGGAATGCGAGTTGGGAATTGAGCCCCCCAGCCCTGAACCTTAGCTCGGGTTGAGAGTCTTGGAGTCTTGGAGTCTTGGGGTGTCAGGGGGTGTCAGGGGCCTGGGGTGCAGGATTCCCGAAGCTTTAATGCGATCGCTGATGCTTTCCCTTTATGTGCTCCGGAGACCTTGAGCAACGCAGAATCATGAACGAGTTCCGGATGCAAACCTTCTTGGTGAATGTGAGGGCCGTAGATGCAACAAGCAACAGCTCACCCTGGGGCCCCGAATGCACCACCGGGAGGAGGACCGCGATCCGTATGGTGAGCCTCGCGGCCTCGACCGGTTTCTGGAGAGAGCCGACCATCACTCGTGGTGGATCCAACTGAGGCGCTTGGGTTTAGGGAGCTCAGGGAGCTGTACGTGCAGGAAGGGTTCGCCCTGCTCTACGATTGCTAATCTGCCCGGCAAAGCCCCGAGTTGTCAACCCACAACTGCAAACGATATGCACGGACGGTACTGTGCATACCTGAGGAAAGAATTCGTGAGCCAGAGCTTGTTGAACTTCTTGAGCCAAGCCTATGACATCCGAGACTCCAGGCGGATGCTGGCATGGGTGGGGCTGTGACTTTGTGGGTTTTGTGATGAGGATTGGCGTCCGAAAAGCCCTCATTGAAGAGATTCGGGCCGGCATGTGGAGTTGATGCAGACTTCGTGGTGATGTCGTGGAGTGCTGCACTTTCTCCCAATTTTTCAACAACCCCCAACTCCTCGGCCCCGGAATGCCCCCGCAAGTCCTCCCCAAACATGCTCAGTTTGCAAGGCAAAGTTCAACCCAATTGAGGACCCAAGAGCTGTCGCATCCGCTCTTCGAGTAAGGCACATGTATAAGATACCGGGAAATTGATCCATGTCCTATCGCGTCAAGCGGAAGCTGCCAGGGTGCCAGAGATACTCCTCGCCTCCACGCGCGGCGCAGCCGCAAATAGAAGCCCATCCTGCAAGACGGGCGCGAGGTTCCCTAAGCTGGGTGGGGACCTTCTATGCTGGCTCGTAAATTCAGGGAACTGTGCTGCCAGTTCCCGGTCAACTGTGCAGCCAGGTGGGAGAAAGGCATCATGCCGTAAATTTGCCACTAGTGCACACGGGCTGCCACAACAAACCCAAAGAACGCATCCCGGCGCTCCTAAACACCCCAAACACCCTAAAGCCCGAAAAGCCCTGACCCTTAAACAGCTTGAGGCTTGTGCTCCAGCGACAAGCTCAAAGACCTGCAGCCTGCCCATCGCCCGAAGAAGTCTGGCGGCTCCGTCCTGTCACTGGCTGCCTGGTGTTTGCAGATGCTTGGCCTGGAGTATCAAAGCGAGAGTTCTACTGCAGGGATACAGTGGCTTCTGAGAAGTTCAGGAGGGTACTTGGGGATTAGGGTAGGCTCAAGGTTGTTTCTGGTATTTTCTTGTCTTCACGTCTCATGCCTCGACGTTGATCATCACTATGCGCCTGTAGGAACAACACTGGCAAGCACACCAACAACTTGGTGCAGTTCGTCCACAAGATTCTCACCTGCTCAGACCTCCTCGAGTGCGATGAGGGACTGCTGCTTGAGCTCCGGGCAACCGGCCACGAACGCATTGAGGTGGGGGTGTGTGGTCATGGCCATACACGACAAGGCGGTGCACTTGCACCCTGTATCCCTGCGCGCCTTGAAGCCCCCAAGTTCCCCTAAACATCTTTCAGGTGAAGATCCGCGAGCAGCTGATGGAGCAAAAGCTGGCCCGTTTCTCTCAAGAGCCCCGTAAGATCAGCCACGTCATGGATACTGTGGGGGGCTTGGGCACCAATCTGCTGGAGCTGGTGGTGCAGCACGCCAGTCACTACAAGATCTTGAAGCTTCTGCAGCTGCTGACAGACCCTGGGTTTGGGCTCTTCTCGACGCTGACCACTGCGGACTCGGAGGCCTTGCGCCTGGAGATCCACAGCGACCAGGGCGCACACCGCTTCACCCGGAGCGGGCCGCAGGAAGGTGCAGCCGGTGCAGCGGGCTGCCTGCTTGTTGAGGAACTGGCAACCGATGCGTCGGTGGTGGACGACCGGCAGAGGTGGCGCTCCACACGAGTGAAGGGTTTGTGGCTGGAGAGGGGCAGCGGGGTCGTCTACATCATGCTGCAGACGGGGATCCTTCGCATTCATCCGCCCGCCAACCTGCGGCCTCGGATGCTCACGAAGCTCTTCTCCCTGGCCCGCGGCCTTGACCTCCACAGCACACCCCACCCTGTGAGTTTGGCAGGGAACAGTCTTCTGGAGCTGGCTGTGGAAAGGGGGGACGCTTCCATCGTGAGGCTCCTGGCAACACACTTAGGCTTCGGCTCCATGTCGGAGCCCTCACTGTCCACCATCCGGATCCCTGGAGGCGAAGCGACGCCTGGCCAGAAGGAGGCGCTGAAGTCCAACAACCTCTTTGGGAGAAAGGCGGCCCTTCTGGAGAGCAGCTCCAAGGACGTGAAGGCCGCAAGGTGCCGCGGCACCACAGTAGCGCGTTTGGAGGGTTTAGGGGTTTAGGGGTTTGGAGGGTTTTCGGGATGCTTTTCAGCTCTTCGGGTTTCGTTGAGTTCGGCGTCTTCGTGGCCCATGGAACCTGGCTTCCAAACGCTTCCCGGGGCCCTCCCCACCCGCGAAGCCCGAGTTGGCTCTTCGGCGATGTCTTCATGCCGGTGGAGTGCGGGAAGTGGTGTAGCTGCTGGGATGCTCTATGGGGGGGGGGGTGGTGGGGATCCGAGACTCCGAAGCCAACCTCCTATTCCAGGGGATATTTCGTAAACCGGCTCTCGTTTCAAGAGAGCTTTTTTGTTTACAGGAGATACAGGAGATACAGGGATCTCTCTAAACGAAGTCGGAGTTTGGGAAAGCATTCTGGCTTAGGGCTTCTTTCCCCTCAAGAGTCGGCTGAACCTGGGGTTTTAGGGTTTAAACTTGGCTTTGAAGGGGAGAGGCCATGGGCCCGCTGGTGAACTTTGCTGCAAATCATCAACGGTGCCAACGATGCCAACAGCGAAGATGCACCGTACGCAGCTTGCGATGCACGATTTCTAAGACAATCACTTTGCAGGTGCACAAGGGTGATCAGCCCTTGCATCCACTGATCTGCCGGATTGGCTCCAGCCCGCCTGCCGAAAATCGGCATACAGACCTGCTTCAACACGGGTGTCACACACAGGAAGCTTCACCGGTATGCCTCTGACTCGCTTGGAGGGGAGGGTGGGGGGCAAGTGTCCCGGGAGCAGCCGATCCGAGGTTATCGGGTTGGCACCTGCCGGCCGCTGCAGCGGACCTACTTCGAGGTGTGTGTGTGTGTGGGCTGAAAGCCTGTAACCTCTTGAAGCGTTCTCAATCACAGGCCCCAAACCTCTAAGTTTAACGCTGCGCGACCTGCCTCGGCCTGGCCCAATGCAGCTCCCGGGGGTAGGTGAAGACAAGAGGGGGTGGGGGCGGTGGGGGGGGGGGGTTGGGTGGGGGGGGGGGGGGGATTTAGGGAGTTGGGGGCGGAAGGGAGGGGTGGAGTGGGGGGCATAGGGGAGGGGGAGCGATGAGAGCGGTGAGAGAAAACAGCAGAGATTGGTGAGGGGCGGAGTAGGTGGTAGAGGGTAGGCCTGCAGGGGGAGGGATGGCCGACGCAACACCTCTCACCTGCAAAACACCCCAAGACAAGGCCAGATAAACGGCTCCCAGATAAATACCTCAAGCTATTTGGGAGGGATTAGCTGTGAGGAAACCCTCAACTCTGACCCATACCAACAACGCCACGCCCCGCAGAAGGGGGCGGGGGTTGACCTCTGTTTCAGCCAGAAAATGCGGGGGTGCCTGTTTCACACCCTAGACACCTTCGGCCCGAGGCCTCGGCGGATAGGCCCCTTCTTCCTAGATGTCGGCCATTTAGCTCGGAAGTTTGGAGCTGCCCCAATTCTAGACTCCTCTCTGCAGGTCCGCGCCATCGAGATTGGTCGGGGACTCCATGTGGCCTTCGACGAGGGGAAAGAGGAACTGGGTTTCGCAATTTGAAGCATTTAAAGGTCTGCGCCATGACATGCCCAGCTCGGAAAAGCCCTAGAAGCCCTCTTCCAGGAAGCGGGGCGTGTTGAGATCGTCAACCTGCTGGGCATGGATCAGCATCTGGGCCCTTCCAGCTTTTCCACCTTCATCTGAGCTCCTTTATGCACACGATGTGGTAACACCAGTCTCGAACTGTGCATTTGGTAAGCTCACATCCGCCGGCTTTGCCTTAGATTCAGCGAGGCAAGGCCACATCTACACGCCTCTCCCTCCACATGCGACACCGCCCAGCGAAGGGGTGAAGCTGTGGCAGGCGGGGAAAGCAGGGGCAACATTGCTACATGGTCAGCCTGCTTGACTGTGCTCTTTGAATCTCCCTGCTAACCTGCCCAAATTCTGAAACATTGAGGATTTAGGAGTTAGGCGCTTTGTGGACAAGGGTCAGGAAGGGTGCAAAAAGAGTTTCTCTCAGGGTACTCAGGGTCGAAGGCAGCTCGAGGCGAAACTTCCCACTTGGCTCAGCCGTTCTGTCAAAAGCCGGAACCTCAAAAGCCAAAGGCCCTTACGACCCTTGAACCCAAAAGAGCCCCAAAGCCCGACATCCCAAAAACCTAAAGACTGAAACAGCCCGCCGCAGGGCTCATTGTCTTGCATTCTAGTAACTTCGGATCCCACGCATGTCATGCTTCGGCTGCCCCAAAATATCTCCACATCCCCCGTTAAAACCCCTGCAGCACTAAGCCTCATGCAGCGAAGCCCAGGCCCTCAGCTCCGACAGCTGGGCACGCGTGCGGGGTCACTGCTGGGAACCTGCAACTGGATTGACGGCACCGCGGTTTCAAACAGCTGTTGAAGAGGACGGTGGAGGTTGTCTGGCGACATTTCCAGCTGTGAATCACCAAGTTCTGTGAGCCCTTGAAAAGAACTGGCTTGCTGGTCCCTACAACTGCTCGAGCGCCGCGCTAATCCTGAAAGCCCCTAGCCCAACACCCAAACCGCGCCAAGGCTTTTTTTCTTGTCCTAAGCCCTGAACCTCCTCGACGGTTACAAGAAGCGGAATTTTTCAGGTGTAGAGCCGAAGCCCCACTCCCACAAGAAGCCTCCGCACGCCGCGGATCCGTGAAGTACTTCGCATGGATGCGCAATGATTAGCCCCAGTTGGGGAGTCCTCTGAGGCCCTAAAATCCACACACCTGCGTAGAGAGACAAAAGAGCCGAGCAGCCAAGGTCGAGATCGAAGACTTGAGCCTTCCAGGGCATGCTCCCGCGGAGGCCGAGTGCTTGCGAGTACACTGCGTTATGCACATTGTCTGGTGTTCTTCTTCTTCTTAATCTTCTTCTTATATTCTTATTATTATGATTATGATTATTATTATTATATTATTTTTATTATTATTATTATTATTATTATTATATTATTATATTATTATTATTATTATTATTATTATTATTATTATTATTATTATTATTATTGTCATTGTTAATTATTATTGCTCTTGCCTCTATTGCTCAAATGTTCTTGTACTACATCATTCGACAATGCTATCTTTTCTTTCGACTAGCCCATTCTTCCATCCTTCGATCGTTCCATTCTTCCATTCCCCTGCTATTCTCTGTGCGGTTTCCGAAAACCAGGTGCCTTCCTTGGTTATGCTGAGGTGTGCCCGAAACACCAAGGGATCAAACCTTAGAGAGACTGGCCCCCTCCAGGTTCACCAGTGCAGATTCATGTGGGTTTTGGGGTTCAAGGGGGTTCAGAGTTCAGGGGTTTAAGGGTTCAGAGTTTGGGGCCCCAAATTTAGGGCCTAAGGGTTCAGACTTCTGGGGGCTTGGGTTCAAGGGGTGATGTGTCAACGTCTCCGAAGCGGTGCCTTCCGAATAAGGATTTTTTGGGTATACTTCTTGGTGGTCTGCGTGCAAAATTGTTGAGCAAAAAGTGGAACAGCTTCAATACATTCTAATGCATTCAAAATAGCTGTAATTTATCAACTTCATTTAAAAAAACCAGGGTGAAACGATGATGAGTCATTCCGTCGGCCGCTCTCCTCGTTACCTGTGCCTTTCGGGGCGCTGCTAACTTTCCGCAGAGTTCACAGACCTACAAGCGGGGCAAGCTTCTTAGGTGCTGAGTAGATGTAACCTTTAGCAGCTCGTTTCGGGGCATCACAAGGCCGTAAAACCCCACATATGAAAGCTTCATCCACAGGCAGCCCTATACCGCCCTATACCCTAAAACCCAGAAAACTTAGTCTTTAAGTCACAGAAGCCATCTTTCACGCAGGACGAAGCGGAAACTGAGTCCGCCTCAACCAGCTCCCTACCAAATCATTGGGGGGTTTCAGGCTTTCGGGCTTTCGGGGTGGGGGTTTATGTAGGGGGTTCGGAGATTCGGACTTCAGGGCTCATTTGTGGGCTTCCAGAATTGAGGGGTACCTGTTTGAGGTTCCAGCAATCATCGGCATTTGGGGCACCTGAGGTGCCCCTAGTCTAAGGCGGACCCGCTTCTGGATAGTTGACTGTCGGCAGATGTCTGCAGAAGTTCTGCAAGGCATGGGGGTCTAGATGGCCCTTGAAGGTGAAATCGCAGCAGCCAGCTTTTGGGGCTTCAGGCCTAAGGTGTCCGGCGCACAGAACCCTCAACCCTAAACCCTGAACCCTCAACCCTTTAAACCCTCAACCCTAAACCCTAAACCCTCAAGCCTTTAAACCCTAAACCTTAGAATAGGCTTCCCAGACACCAGGCATCTTGTGTTGGGAAACTTTGACGAGCCATGCCCAGTTCCGGGTTTGCGGGTTTCGGGTTGAACCCTATCCCCCTCCTTGATAAGGGTTTTGGGGTTCTGTGGGGTTCTAAGATGGGCTTTAGGGCTTCAGGGTTGCTTACCTAGATCACCCCTTTTCCGGGGGCGTGCAGCAACCAGGTTGGGGCTTCCAAGTGACCCTCCAGCTGAAGCGTCAGGGCCCGCCCGAGGCAGCGTTGAGGGCCCAGGGCTTGGCGTTCAGATTTGGGGTTGCTTACAGCTTCGGGCTTGGGGCTTAGGGGCTTAGGGTTTGGGGGTTTAGATTTTAAGGTTTAGGGCTTAGTGAGACGCAGGGCTTCGGTTGTTCATGGAGTTTCGGCCCCTGCAGGTGAAAGTAAGAAAGTCCAAGGGATGTAGAGCGACCCCACCCCCCAAAACAGCTCACAGAGGGTTTAGGGTTCTGCAGGAGTTCTGCAACAGTCGGCGCCTACACATACACAAAGTTCGCTTCGAAGGTGTAAACTCTGATCCTCTCAGGGTCCATCCCTTTTTGACTCGAAGCCCCGAAACCCAAAACCCATACGTCCCCATTTATGTTGGCACCAAATCCTCGATCTCGCCGGCCCGGGAGATCTGACGGCCTGACACTGACAGTCGCGCCCTCTTTACGTTCACATGCGTCTTTCCTTGAACATCCCTCGAACATCCCTCTGCTCTGCAGCCTCAACCCCTCTTGGGTTTAGGGCTCTTAGGGTTTCTGTAGGGTTCAGGGCTCTTAGGGAGCCTGGGAAACCTGAGTCCGGAAGCGAAGAAAAACTTCGAGAGATCGCAGGTACTGGTCAAGGACCAACTCCCAGAGAAGAATGCCATCGTGTGCTACGACGGTGAGGCGGGTTCTTCTACGACTTGCAAAAGGAGCCCCAAAGACTAAACCCCCAAAAGGCAAATGCCAAAATGCACGTCCTTGCCGTTTGTGTAATTCTTGGCTTCAGGCTCTCTAGACCGAGTTCTTGCAAAGAGGTCCTTTCAGCTGTTTCAGGTTTAGTGTGCAAAAACACGTGCAAACCACCGGGCCGATAAAACGTTGTTGGTTTAAGAAGGTTGGCATGGTGAAGGAGGTGCTGGAGGACAAGTTTGTCTGGAGGACTTTTGCGGATGGCTCCTGCCGTGAGATTGCGCTTGGGGTGCCCTGGCACTGGCATTGGGGGCACTTTTCGCAGGGCAGAGGCCCCCCCCCCCCCCCCCAAGAAGGGCTGCACGAAGCCGGGTTGATCCGCATGCTAGCAGCCGTCTCGTTCTTGCTCTCCTGTCAGCCTCCAGAGCATAGACCTGGAACTCTTCTTAAGCCCAAGTTATCCCAAACCCAAACCTTCGAATTCCACCTGTTTTCTTGAGGGTTTGGCTGCCTTCTAACTCCCCCGCCCAACTATGCTCAAAAGGGTTTCCCCTTTCATTCCCTAGTTGCTGTGGAAACTCGTGCCCTCTATTTTGGCTTGGGAACTGCCTGGTGGGCTAGGAGGGTTTGCGTGCTTAAGGGGCTTGGGGTTTCATGTGGTTCAAAGTCAGGGCGCCCTTTTCTGGAGGGTCCTCTGTGGCGAGATAAGAGGCTCCCCATTCTAAAACGGTACCAGAGGGAAGGGCCCTCCCTATTCCAAGGAGGTGTCGGAGTCCAAGCCCCTGACGCTGGCGGATGGCTGCAGCTATGCTTCCCGTCTTCTTACGGATTGTGCCCCCGCCCCCCCCCCCCGGCCGCCCTATGTTTGAAGAAGTATGTGAGCCCATTTTGAGGCCTTAGAGTTCAGCATAGGCAACTGCATGCTGAGCCTGCACCGAAAATTCAGAGCATCGATTTTTTTTCTGTGCCAAGCGGTGCAGCCGCGTCGTTGGACCGCACGCGCCCCGCTCTTTCAAGAGGGTGTCAGCTCCTTCAACTGCGGACCAAAAAGTGGTTGCCATATGAAATACATGTGTCGTTAATCCATCGACTCGACTCGAAGGAAGTCCAGTGCAGACTCGAGAAGTGTTCTCCATGTGACGGTGGCATTGCCCTGAAACTGGCGGGGTTTGGAGTAGCCTTCTGCATGATTTGCTTTCGCCACCTTAGCCGATGTTGCGAAACCTCCCAGCGCCAGGGGCCTGCACATGTAGCCTTGGTGATCAGATGTCACATCGGAAGTATCTAATGGTTTCGCCTACAACCGTAAACCCCACCCCGCAAACTTCTGGAGCCCATAACATCCCAGATTTGTCCAGGTTCTCATCTCTCACATGGACTCCTCCGAGGTAGCCTTCTACATCGATGCTGAGGCAATTGGCTTCGTGCGCTCATTGTGTGTGTCAGTGTTTGAGAACTGACAGGCAAGACCGTGATGTTTAAGCACAAGCTTTTTGCTATGTGCACAGGTGTAAATGTGCATATCTCATGCTAAACAGCATTTCGTGATCTTCGGGCCTGTGCTGGCTAAGGGGCTTCGGGCATTGGCGTCAGTCTGTTCAGAGCTTTTGGGGGCTCCGGGGTTTGAGTTGAGGCTTGCGCCTGGTCTGTTCACGCCCAGGGCATGATCTTCGACATGAACGAGGAAGAGTGCGGGAAGCTTCCATTCTACGAAGATCTCCGTCAGCAAGTTCAACCCGAAACGCTTTCTCTGCTTTTTACCTAAGTTTCCTGAACTCTAAGCCCTCACATCGCGGGAACCCTGCCCCCCCTCCCACCCCCAACCCTGCGCCGAGCCTCACCAAAGTCTGGCACGTTCAGCCATGGCCCTGGACCAAGCCCTCAATGACTCTGACGCAACCATCATCAATGAAGAGCCCTTTATGATACCCCGATAAGTCGCCCCAAGAGTTTTGAGGAAGGCCATGGGATGCCAAAGCCCGGAATCTTAAACGACTCTTCAGCTCCCAAGCCCGCAGCCTTAAGCCCTCCAGGGTTTAGGGATGTTGAGGGTTCAGGGGTTAGGGTTCAAGGTTCAGGGTTTATGGGCCCAGGTTCAGGTTTTAGGGTTCAGGGTTCAAGGGCTCGAAGCGCTAACCCGTCACGCCCAAAGCAAGGATGGCAAGCCCCTGCTTGCCAACTACTTGCTGAACTCGGCCTGTAGCATCTTGGGCACGCGAGATCACCAGGCAGGACCGTGAGTGGGCTGTCGGGTTTAGGGTTGGGGGGGGCCTAAACCCTAAAACCCCTAAAACACTCTAAAACCCTACGGTGCTTTAAAGTTCTCCGGAGCCAAGTTGGGAGATGATCTCCAAAGTGGACGAAAGCTAGGGGAACATCCGCATGTACGTTGGGACCTTCAGAGCTGCTTCGTGCCACTGCTTCTCCTGTGATCGCAGAATTGCGATGGTCTCTCCTTCGGTGCTCCTTAAGGCTTCAAGTTGCGGTGGATAGCAGCATCGGCCGAGAGACCCATCTTGAAGATCACAGGCCAGGATGATAAAACGGGCAGTAGAACTGTAACAGGCCGCGACGTGGCGGTCCAGCTTCTTCGTGACCAGAGGCCAGCACTCTGCGAAGCTTTCTGCTCAAGGAAAGCACCGCGAGCCGGCAACCTTTGGTGACAAGAGCAAGGCCACGTACTTCTATGCTGCAGTGAGTTGCAGACTGCGAGATGTCGGCCACATCGAATGGTATGTTTGGTATGTTTGGTTTGTTTTTTGTCGCCTTCCTTTGCGTGACCACAACACCATCCATCTTGGCATGTCTGATGCGCGTCCTCTCCTTCAGAGATGTGGGGAGGCATGCAATGGCGCCGTCTTCGCATTCGCAAGTTTGGCAGTGAACCAGGTTCGGCTTCACAACATTGAGTGGCTTTTTTGCCTCTGACAGGCTGCCGAGCCATTCGCTGCAAAGTGTGTCAGTGGTGACCGTGCCCGCGAGTGCCATGCGCGTGCGGTCAGCATACTCTGCTGTGGCAGGCGGATGCCATGGCAAGTTTGGGTTAAAGGATGTTTGGTTTTCTTTGCGGTTCGGGGCTCAAGGACGCTTCATGTGGCCAAGGTTGAAAGTTTAGGGGGTAAGTCCAATACTAAAGCGCCAACTTGCCCCCCTGTGCGCACGCATGCAGACGTTTGTGCGGAACATGGGCGCCATGACATCCGGCTGAAGTTTCAAGCCCATCAAGTCTCAGACACGCAGACAAGCAGTCAGTGACTGTATTCGGGTTCCCCGCCCTGCCACATCTCGGCTGCCAGCCACCTGTTACTCCTACGTCGCAGACACAACTGGCTCCGGGTTTCGCAGAGTGCTGCCCAAGGAAAGCCGCCACGACCTTCGCGAAGCAATGCTGTCTCGCAGCTTCATGTATTCTTACGGTGTTGTTGGGCTGCGACAACACAAATCGCAGCTCGTTCAACTCATTGTTCAGGACTCGGTCCGAGGCAAGCTCATGTAGCACAATGGCAATGCCTCGCACAAACGGATGCAAATCAGTATTGCGGAGATCCCAAGCCCGAACTTGCAACCATGTATCCGTGCCAGCGTCCTTGCCAACTTCTCAAACCCCCGGTGTACTCGCTGCCCGCGAGGGTTTTTGAGGTAGCGTCGCAAGCCTCTCCGCGGGGGCCTTCTGGGCAATCTTAAGCAGGTGCCGAAAACAACCCTTCCCTTTTGCGCAAAAAAACTCTAAACCCTAAGCCCTAAACCCTAAACCCTACACCCTCGAAATGCGGGAGGCAGCGGACAGCCCCGGACCTGCCGACCAGAGCCTTCTGGCTCTCTTTCGACAGGGCATCTCCCGCTGCAAGCGCTTTTGGGGGGTTGAAACGGTTTAGGGCTTTTTTCGGATTTTGGTTGGGATGTTCACCCTTTTTTGCTAACAGTCCTCAATCGGGATTCTAGTACCCCTATTGTAATCCCGATATTGGACTGTTGGTACGAGGGCCACAAGGGGGAATGTCCCAAGGCTTATAGGGCTTTAGGGCTTCAGGGGTTAGGTGATTAGGGGGGGGGGGGGGATTCAGGTTCCGATCAGGGGACTTCTAAGATTTTTACGGGCTTTGGCTGGTTGCGACTAGGAAAAAGGCTCCTCTTGCAGACTTGTTGTTGAAAGGGGGTACTATTGAGAAAAGTGTACCTGGAATTTGGGGTACAGCCGCTGTACATGGGATCTTGTTCGCCTACTTGGGCGATTGCTTTAGGTTGTCTTGTGAAGGGGAAGGTTCTTTGAACAAACAGGGGCCAACACGAACCTGACCCCCTCACCCAGGCTCGAGGTCTAGAGCCCCCGACCTCCAAATTTTCATCCCTCAACCCGAAGACCCCACAGCCCTGATGCGCTAAACCCTCAAGCCCCGAAACCCTAAAACCCCTAAAGCCCTGACACCCCAAAACTCTCAAGCCCTGACGCCCTGAAACCCGAAACCCTAAAACCCGAAAGCCCTAAAACCCTAAAACCCTAAAACCCTAAAAACCCTAAAACCCTAAAACCCGAAAACCCTAAAACCCTAAAACCTAAAACCCTAAAACCCTAAAACCCTAAAGCCCTAAAACCCTAAAACCCTAAAACCCTGTTCAGGCATGCCGTGGCTTAAAGATGTTCCCGAGAAGAAGTGGCCCATGGCTGTGTTGCGCCTCGGGCTTTACATTGGGGATGCACATTTTGGGGTTCCTGCAGCAGGGACTCTAGGATTTGGGGGGGAGGGGCATGTGCAGGAGATTCTAACCACCTCGTCGGTTCATCGTATAGATTTGGCCTTTGCCCCGTAAAGTGCTCTTGTTTTTTTTGAGTGGGGCTCTCGGAACCGCACTGTGATTCGATCGGTGTGAGTCGAGGTACCAGCAAGTAGGCACGCAGCTGCTTTCGCAGAGCTTGGTGGAAGATCCGCTGCTGAGCCGCACAGAATTCCAGCGCTTTGTTTCGGTTTGGAAATCACGGCTAGAGGTCTTGAGATTTTCGCAACACCCAAACTCTGCCATGCATAGTTTTCACGGTGGAGCGAAGAGTGCCGCGCGGCCCAGGAGCACTATGTCGACTTCAGGCCACCGGTGTCCAGGGCACCACTTCGGCCTCCTGCGCTACGAGCTCCAGGCAGCAATGCTGGGCACTACCTATCTGGGCTTTGGATGCCCGAAGCCACATCCCATCACCCTAAACGTAGAAGCTGGCCCTTGACTTGCTGAGAGTGCAGGGGACTGGTGATCCCAAAACTAAATAGCAAGGAGAACTTCGGTGATGTAACCCCCCTGAAAGAGTCACATTGCAACTGTAGTCATCAATCAGGTATATACTTGGCCGGGGTTGTGGTAGCAGCTGGTAGCAACTTTGCCTAAACCTGAACCCTAAACCCTCAACCCTAAACGCTGGTTAAAGTCAAACTCAGAAGCCTGCGCTCTCAGGGTCGCGCGACGAAGGCCATGTTGTGCGGCACCTGCCCCAATGACGCACCAAGTGGCCAGGCGATCTATTGCCACCTGCCACAAGGAAACAGGTTGTTTTTGTTGTGTGTTGGCGGTGTGTGTGGTCTAGCCTTATCGTACATCGGGCGCCCGGCAACTCTTGTCTTCAGTTTGGTCTGAGGCCGTTGCCACAGCTACTGAAGATTGCTAAACCCCAAACCCTCAACAGTGCAATGCTCAAGGAGTAGCAAGGGAGCGTAGCCTTGAAAGGGCTTGGGTTCGGGTCTTGCAGGAGAACTTTGAGAGCTTCGGGTTGCCCGAGTTTGCCCCTCACCTTCGGCTTCTCAGGTTGCCCTGCGTGGCGCGACAACAAGCGGAGCGGCGGTTGCTGCGCCAGTTCCCGCTCCACTTACGCCAGGCACAGCCAAAAGAATCTCCCGCCACCCCCCAGCGGGGCAATTGGGACCTTCGGATTTTGGGTTCAGAGCGCGAACTCTCCATGCCCCGAGCGCACAGCCCCAAAGTTTGTTTAGGCACCTGCCCTTTGCCTGTTTGAGACATTTTCTGTGGATTCATAGGGTATATAAAGGGCATATAAGGGTTCCACAATTCTGTGCCCATATTCAGGGACCATGTACCTACCCGAAGACTGTGGAGACATTGTTGGTGCGCTCGCCCCGGCTTCGGCAGTTTTCTGTGCAGAAGAACTGGTGAGTCTTCGCTTGGTGCCCGGCCATATCGCTGCCTTTTGTCAGTAGGTATGCTATTTGTCGGACTGCAGATGCAGACCCAACTCTCAGCCCGTAGGAAACGCAATTAAATCGGCGCTGGATTTTACTCGATGTTTGTTGGAGGTGTGTTTCGTGCATCGAGATAACGGAGACCACGAGCGAGACCGAGAAGCAAAGCAGCTTGTTTGAACTCAGCTGCTTGCTATCCTATCGACAAGGCAGACCACCCAGGATTCTTATGGAGGGTAGGGGAAGCTCCCGCTATGACATAACCACTGTCAAGCTTCAAAAGGCTCGCAACGGCTTGCGTGCTCTGCAGAAGCTGAGCATTCCAGATTCCGGCGTGAGCTGAGACACTCAGCTTGAATCCTAAACCCTAGACCTTTCACTCCACGTTCCAAAGGCAAGTACACCGCCTTTCTGGATGGGGCACCGGTGATCGCTGAGAAGGAGGAGGGTCTGAGGAGTTGCAACCAGGATGCATTTTGGACACTATGGGCTTTAGATGGCTTTGTTTGGGTTCAGGGGAAACAGGGGCTTATGTTTGAGGGTTGAAGGCTCATTCAGTTCTGAGCGTCTACGGAATGATGACTCGATTTATTGGCGAAGCTTGTTCATTCTTGCTCCTCTGTAGCAGCAGGGGTTATCTTGTAGTTTGGAATCCAATTTCAGACCAGTTCTCGGAGGCTTTGGTGGGTTTGAACACCGCTTTGGCCCGGATCTCTGCAGCACAGTGCCGGTGCTGACTTAGCAGGTGCTAGTCTGCAGAGCCCCCCCCCTCCCGGTAAAAAGAAAGACAGCATGTGCCGTCCAGAGCCGAAATCACCCCTACCCTCTAAGCCTCTAAGCCCTGTTCCCGGAAGTTGCTTGCCCGGCAAAAGCCACAAATCCAAAAGCAAGCGCCAAGGCAAATGCCTTTGGGTGAGGCTGCCGGAAGAGGAGCCTCCGAGAAGGGGTGGAAGCAAAGGGAGGGGGGGGTCGGGGAGCGGAGGGGAGGGGGGGAGGAGCGGGATGGGGCCCCTCATTTGCTGTGAGGATCTCGCTGGCGCTTTTCTTGAGTGCACAGACTCTGCGACCAACAGGCTGTGTGTGCATTTCGGGGTCTCGGGAAAGGATTTGTGTTTAGGGGAATTTGTGTTCAGGGTCGTGGAAATGGGGGTTGGTTTTTTCGGGTTTCATGGGGGGGGGGTGTGGGGGGGGGGGGGGGGGGGGTGGTTGCCGGCTTCGGATTCGAGGGTTCTTGTGTTCAGTGCCCTTGAAAAGGCAGTCGGGCGGCTTATCCGGGTACGCAGAGCAGATCATATCACACCAGCGTCACCAGATAAGGGTACCTGTGTGTACAGTAAAGTTCAAGTCACCTTTACAACGGACCCCCCACCCCCAAATAAATCATTCAATGATAAATTATAAGCACAAAGGACACAAAGAAGCTAAACCCACATGCCCCATGTCCTAGCTCTGAACCAGGACTGCCTTCCTAATGGACGAGCCGGGCATCAGAGCCGGGGTGTACAGCCGGGACGGCACATGGCAGCCCAGCTTTGTTCTTCGATTTCGGTGTTTTTAGGATGCGGTGGTCCACAGAAAAGATGTGAGTCTCAAACAAGCTCACGCACCTCAGGGGGATCCTCCGAGATGCTATCACCTGGCTCAAGATGGAGCAACCCTGAAGCCCCAAACCACAACACCCCTCAACCAAGAGCCCGAGGTATCTTTGCCGGGAGCCGGACATGGAGAAGCCCCAGAAGGAACACGCTGGGGAGTCTCCCCCCCCCCCCCCCCCCGCCAAGATAAAATGAGGGCCTGTGGCACCCCGAAGCACTTTGCGGACGGTGTAGGCACGGCATTGCAGCGCTCAGGGCAGGTGACGTCCTGTAGTTCCATGGTCACTTGCAAATCCTACCTTGCCTCCCCCTCACCCCCCCCCCCCCCTCCCCAAAGTCTTCACCTCCACCCATATGTATGCCTTGACCTCTAAACGAAACCAAGCCCTACGCCCAAACCTTTGAACCTCAGAGCGGCAAACAGGAGTTCCTGGAAGATCTGCTGGCAGGCCGCCTCACCCCCCTGGCACACTGCAGGTCGCTGCAGGGCAAGGACCTGCGTCTTGGGTTTGGGGTTTGGGGTTCCGGGTTTTGGACTTTTGGTTAGATAAAGAAGGCTTCGGGGTGCAGGGAGGTCAGGGTTTCGGGTTTCCAGGCTTGTTTTTTTCAGCAGAGCCTTTTGGAGTCGGACTTACAGGGATGTCCAGGCCCTTTTTGGGTCGATGGGTTCTCGTGGTTTTGCAAGGTCATCTGGGTTGGGGCAATATGGCAAAGAACCTTCGCACTTTGGTTCACAACTTCTTCAGTCGACCTAGAGCATGAGTCCAGGGTTTGAGGTTAAGGCTTGAGCGGATAGATGTGAGCTGTGAGCTCGGGAGGATTTATTGAACTTTAGGCGGATTTAAACTATGCTCATTGCATGTATGCCTTTTTCGCAGTGGCTTCCACCATGGACTGAAAGTAGCAGACCCTTCTAGAACCCGCGGGTCTGCAAGGGTCAGCCCCGACCCAAGACCCGAAGCATCTGGGAGGATGAAGAGAGCGGCGAGGCTGGCGATGCGTCCAGCTTGGAGATTTCGGAGTACAAGATGCGGGCAGTGCCTCTTGCCTAGACCCTAAGTCTTGGTTGCAATCGGGGGATTCCCAGAGTGTAGGGAGGGAGTCGGCTTGCTGAGGAAGGTGCACTTCAACATCGCCCCCGCCAAGAATTCCTGGCTGCACGTTGCCACCAAAGGCGGGGGCAGACACGTCTCGAACCCGCAGGGAAACCCGAAGCCTATCGATCCCAAACTTGACGCCCCTAAGCTCCTGGAATGACAAGAGCCCCAGCCGAGCTTCATGCACATCTGTCTTTCGACATGTGTAGCCGAAGCTTTGAATCCGAAACCGCTGGACAGCCCTCAACCGCTACACCCTCAAACCCTCAAAAGCCCTGAAACCCGAAATCGCAAACAACCAGAATTGCATAGATTGCATAAACTCAGTTCCAGGAGGCGGCCTTTGCCAGGAGCTTTGCCGGTCGGCGGCGCTCCAGAGAGCTGAAGTTTTGTTGGAAGATCTTGAGTTTGGACTAGGGGGGCCTTCGGGGTTCAGGGTCTCAGGGGTTTGGGGCCTAGCAGGGCCTGTAGGGCACTGTATCGGGGTTAGGGTTAGGGTTGTTGGGTTCGGGTCCGTTTCTTGAAGAGGGGACCTCAGGGCCTGACAATGCTACTTCACCTCCCTCGAAACATTTGTCACTGACAGCATGGCTTGCTTTGCAAGTCATGTGTGCCATAGCTTCATCAAGCGATTCTGATGGTGACTGCCACAGCCTTGCATGCCGTCAGCCGTCAGCACAGGTCTCCTTCCATCCGCTATTTCAGGCTCCACCAAGCTCCAACCCGATTTGTCCACAAGCCATGTTCTCGCTCTTCTAAGAAGGTGCCGCTCCCCCGCTGCCAGAAGCACGACCTGCCCCTTCTGGGCCGCCACTGGGAGGCGAGCGCACAAGAGAGAACTCGGTTTGAAAAAAGAGAGAGAGAGAGAGAGAGAGAGAGAGAGAGAGAGAGAGAGAGAGAGAGAGAGAGAGCGAGAGAGAGCCTCGGACTGGCGCGCGCCTTTCGGGGCAGCTCTCCCCTCGGGGGGGGGGGGGGGAGCTCAGCGTGTGGAGAGAGACTCAGAGCGAGAGATAGAGAATGTGTTGATGGAAATGTTGGGTGAGAGAGAGAGAGAGAGAGAGAGAGAGAATGTGTGTGTGTGTGTGTGTGTGTGTCTCTGTGTGTGTACATGGACATGTTAAAAATAATGTGAAAAACAACAGAGTAAGCGCTTACTTGTGCTGGGTTTATTTGAAGAGGATATTTGTTTGTGCTGGGCCCGAGCCCGAGCACTGAGAAGCAGGCATGAACGAGAAGCCTGAGCCCTCAACCCATCGCGCAGTTTCCGCTATTCTCACTACTCCTGCGGGCGCCCATCGCATGGAGGGCTGCGTATAT